AGTAAGGAAAAGATTGCACCGAGTTTAGTGAGTTCACTGATAGCGGGGTTGGTCTCATCAATGCAGTGTTTTTTATTTATTTTTTTGGAAAAAAAAGACCTGAATTGAAGCTGAACGACGAAGCCAAATATGTCCAATCTAGGGTTTAAAAATTCGGAGATAACATGTGGTTTGATAAGTGCGTGTAAGAAGTTAAGACTCTTATTTTTAAGTGCTCGAGTGGGCATTTATCCATGGCGATAAGGGAATCTACTTCATTTTAATTTACAAGTGCACTTAAATTGGTTTCATGCGATCGCTTTTATACTAAATATATCAAATGTTTGATTACGATAACTTCCAGCCGAATGCATTTTAGTATAAGCAGTATTTCATTGCAGATAATCAAGAGATCTTCGATGATATCAGCTTCAGGACTGATCATTATAAGCTTTCAAAGAAGATCATCCATCAGTTGAGAGGAAGTTGCGTGATCATTGCGTTCATTTTTACATATTTTTCTTGATCTCGACTATTTTCGCGCTTTGTCCTTTCTCCTGGTTTACGACACTGTCCTCACCGTTCAGCCAGACTGGAAAACAGACGCAAAAATGTTAAGTGAATTATGCACAGGTCAAGCGAAAGATCCAGAGCGCAGGCTTTTCTACATTATGCTAGCATTTTTTCAAGCCTTTTTTAAAGTGAGGCAAAAGCATTGAGCATTATTCGAGCATTTGAGTGACATTTTCATGGGAAACAATTTCATCTCCGGTCAGAGGAAATAAAAATGACTTAAACTCGAAGTTAAAAAACAAACAAACAAATTAAATCCCTAATAAATTACAGCGTTGTAGAGGATCATTTTTTGCTGTATTAAAACTTTTAACTTGCATGCATTGTTTTTATACCATTCATACATTTTAGTCAGCCTTAAAACGTTTAGAGTTAGAATTAATAAAAATGCCGCTCTCTATGATGAGTATTTTTATCCGAGCATTTGAATGAATTTTTTTGGTGTGACCGAAAAAAGCACTATGTGTAAAAGACTACCAGAGCGAGAATCCACGAATGACGAATTGGTACTTCGCGCCTTATAAACAGTTCGTGACAGCCGAATTCAAGACGTTAGAACGCGAAAAGGTAAAATTGAACCCAAGAACCAATTTTCAAATACAATTTTATTTTATTTTGTTTTATTTTATTCAGATTTTTCTTTTGTAAAAACAATAATGGTAAAATATTATATTAATAACGAGTTTTGACAATTCTCTTTTGATAACTTTTGCAAAAAGAAAAAAAAGATTTTTAACCTTTCCTTTCTTAGCAGCATATTTTACTTTTTAACACCCTGTAAATAATACCGAGGGAAATCATTGCTAACAGATCTCATTTTTAAACCTGTTAATAGAGTTATTATTTTCACAAAAAAGCCTTATTCCCAAACTTTCGGTATAATTTAAGGGAAATCTATATAAACGGTCACTTGGCCATTTCCCGAGGGTGACCGTTTTATACACGAATTTGACTGTACTTTAGTTGGGTATCGCGAGCACTTGTGTGACTGAATATCTATCACACCAACCTTGCAGAGCGAATCTATTCAGAGCCGAAGGCACGATTCATCATGGTATTACGACTTCAGTGAACCAGTTGAGGACAGGACGAGGGTGAGTTGCACTTTACTTGCAAGAGCCTTGCAAGGCTATTGCGAGGCTATCATAGTTGCTATTTTGCTAATTCCTCTTTGAGAGGAAAAGTGAACGGCAAACTCAAATTCTATTAAAATTACTCAAAATACCTCTTTTGAGGTAAAAGGACGACGATAAACGGCAAGGAAGGTAATACAACGTTTGTTTAACATTGATCCATTACATATTTAGCGATAAATTATGACTGCCCTTGGATTTACTGTTTGCTTCATATGTATTTACTAATAATGATTACCACTGATTGCAATCGGTTACACAAACAGATTGTGTGGGTACCCTGTGATTTGACTCAGGCTTATAACTTGAAAGAAAAGGTTGGAGGGAAGCCAGCTTGAAAATGCGGTGCCGACGCTTTCAATTTTGGTAGTAAAGCGTACACACCACCTTTGGGCTATAAAAAGCTGGAAATGAAATGGAAACGTTTTTTTAAACGTTAGGTCCGCATGAATGTGGAATGACAACTGAGATGGTCTCATAAAGACTCTATAAACGGGAGACTCGTAGGTGGGGTTGTATTATATGGGAAAATCGCTGGTAAACTATTGATTATGGATTGCTACGACCTTGGACTGTGACTGAACTGATCTATTCCTCCCTTTGCCCAGGGGCAATAATTCCACGCATCGGCGAGTGTACCCTCCAATAGTTCTAGCCTAGTTGTGACCTTAAATTTGGATTGTACATTCCTTTTCCAACTTTCTGCAGACCAACACGCAGCTGGAAATTTACCTCAAGGAGACGAATATCAAGAAGGCCACTCTTGAGTTCGAGGAAGTCGAACGTGGATTGAATTCGAGACGGAAAGATTACTGCTGCCTCTGCTGGTGTTTCTGCTGCTCCTGTGACTGGTACTGGTAAGTTGAGCCTGCGTTGTAAGTCTGATAGACCCCCTCACGGCTTTTTTGGAAAAAAAAAATCAAAGAGCAGTAGGCGAATGTCCGTCGACAATACTGGAAAGAAGGCCTTGAAATAAGGGGTCTGAAGTCAAAGCGGTTTGGTGGTAATGGTGGACGAATTTTGCGCCAGTTTCCACCGCAACCTCGGAATGGTCAAGCCACTTGATAACCACAGGGAGAATGGGTACAAGCTCTTGGTGCAACGATTTCTAGGATGGTCTCGTATGGTCGATCGGATGGTATCCAATAGCCGCCTGTAACCCGGCAATCATTGCCTATATTGTTTACTCACATGATCCAAGTATCGCCACGCCAAAAGCTTGTACTCGTTCTCTCTGTAGTTAACCAACAACACAAGCTTTATTTGCATGTCTATATGAACTAAGTCACAGTATTGCAAAAGCTTTAAGATAAAGTAACAAAGATAATAAGCCAATTAAAAAAACAATGATTGCAATGGTCAATCAAGTGTCATCAATATGATTTGATAACAAATTATTACTTAAATCATTACATAACGAGATAAATTTTGAAATGTGAATTTAGAGAAAAATTCCTTGAATTCATCACTTTAATTATTAATTCAGTGCAAGATAGCAGATTAAAATTGACAAAATTATGTTGGATTTGATTGTAGAATTTTCCCCTTGGGACTGAATACTTTGTAGTTAATTGAGTGAGAAATTAAGGACCAACGTCACAGAAAAATACACTACTGAGTTATTCCGAAATGACGGAAGATACACTCTTAGGTTTTTCTCACGTTAATTAACCCCCTTCGTCTTAGTTTGGGTTGAACCTAATCAGGATTTAATTAACTAAGACTTACCTATGTAAGATAATGACCGCCAATGAAGTGATATAGTAAAAGAAAAAGTAATCGGCTGATTTCGCGATAGGAAAACCAATATTTCGAGAGGCACTTCCTTCCTTCTTCACTGAGTTCTGGCAATTCGCTTTCGTGTTTTTGCTTTTGTTTTTGTTTTTCACCTATAAACTTTACTTACTCTCCCTAGTAGTTCTTGCCCGGGGGGGTTACTTGGGTTAATTTTCGCTGGGTATGTGCCGCTGGCCTCTCACAACCCCTACCACATTATAGCCTATTCTGTGGCCAAATATAGACCCCATCTTAGTCACTTTTGGGAAAATGTCATTTTCGAGATTCCAACTAAGTAACTTTCTGCGGTTTACATCTACCTTATAAAACCTTTTAACTAGGTCAACCTGAAACGAATTGACACATTGGTTAAACTTAATGAGGTAAAAATCTTCCCTTTTTTAAATCCCTACCTACCTGAATTTTCTGATCCCCCAAATCCCGAAAATGTGCGATCCCACTCTAGTAACTCTAACGAAAATACAACCCCATCATAGTCAATCTAGCCGTGAAAATGCGACCACACCCAGGGGCAAACCCTATTAGCCTATTACTAGTAAGTACTCCCCCCCGGAGTTCTTTTTTGCGGTGGAACGTTTTTCTTAGTCATTGTTTCCTGAAATACCGCCTATGGTCGCATGCGTGGACACCGTGCCCTTTACTGCAACCAGTTACTGTAAGCTAAGACAAATCCGTCATCACTGAGTTATTAGGTCCAGTGCTGGAATAGGAGTTGCCTGCACAACTCATAACTTCACCAAACAAGGGTTTTTTCAGTTTGCATGTAAACTGATTTATTGTCCGAACAGACTAGCCTCCCACGCAGGCGTTTTGTGGGGAACTCGTTTTTCATCAAACGAACTCCCTTAAAAACTACTGCGTGGGAGGCTACGAGCAGACTGCCTTTTGATTAAAAACGGAGTCAAGACTTTGCAACTTTTCAAAGAAACCATGTCTTATTTTTATAAGAGGCTAAATAATAATTTCTAAATGGTCTATCTTCGTGGGTGAAATTGCCCCGCGCATCATGGCTATTCACAGTGATTCACGTGTTTGCGTTAATGACGTGTAGCCCTCCCTCTAAAAATTGTTGCCCCTTTAAGGGGCGCCTGCCTTCTCGTTTCCGTCCAGGGTGTGGTTTTATCTATCTCTTTCACAAATTTACATTTCATATTTTCTTTTAATTTAGAATTTAGTCTTTCTACTGGTTTTCAAAAGAGAACGCAATAATAAAGTGAAGAGTGAACAATAGCAAGGCTGATATCTCATACAACAGAGATGGCGAAATGTTGAAATTTGAGGCGGCGTTCAAGCATTTTAATTTCTGAGACTACTCATGACCGAGGCATAACATAAGATTAAAAATACTAGATTGTTTTCGAAAACCAAAAAGACCACTCAAACATTTCGCTCAACGCTTTTCATTCAATCAAATGTTTCGAAACCCCCGAAACACACTTCAATACCTGAGGCGTGTCAGGAAAGCGAGGTCAGCTGTCAAGTATGTACTCTATTTTTGTCGCTTCCTGTCTGTCAGATCTTTTAAACCCATGACAAACACACGCACCGAACTTTAATCTTAGCTCGAAAGTCTTATGCGTTCTCAACGACAAGGAAGGAACTAGACGAAATATTTGTGCACGTTTAAAATCGAGTTTATCGAGATTGCAGTTCAAGTTCCCAGAGGTCTTATCTATCTTCCGGTACTATCAGCGACAATATTATAACTCAACCTTGTCACTCTACACTGCAAATTTATGCGTAACAGCGAACCTCACGAGAAACCTTCAAAAATGAAATGGACTTGCGGTTTCCTATCGAGAGAAAGAAGCGAGGATTCCCTTGATACCTTCGAGCCAGAGTAAGTCAGTGTTAGTGTGGTATGCCTGTGGCTTTTAAGACTTAACGTGATTTCACAAAAACATGATAACGAAATTATAAACAGTCACTATTGACAAATTTCAAACTAGCCTGTAAACAAAACCAGAGTGTTCACGAAACCGGACACTGAGGTGACTGAGTTTTGACACTATTACTAATGAATTTTATCATTGTTTCCTTTGTTTAGCACGAAGTAGGTCTATGTATTTGTTAAATAATGGTATAATTGAACAGCACCCGCTGTATAATTTTTGTTTCTGATGGGTCCTCTGAAATCGTTGTATTAGTATTTTGTACTTTCGTTTAGTTGAAGTGATGTTTCAACTGAACTCGAAAGAACAATTTGCCGGTATTTCAAACAGCGAAAAAAAGGGCAGGTTTTTTTTGGTGGACCATGCTCCAGTTGGGCAAGTTATCACGAAACTTTTTGTCTAGTGCATTTGATATAGTGTTTCTTGATTTAATGATCAATAACGGAGAAACAAACCAATATCACAAAATTAGCATATATTGATTATTCCAATAGCCAATCTTTAAACCATGTACGCCGACTAATGTAAAGCATAAACCATTTCATATCCGACTTTTCTCGGACGAAATTCGGGAATTTCGAAGTACTGGCAAGAAAACTAACTCGAAAGTTAGATTGATTGTCTTGGCGAACTGAGAAACTAACTCCGGTATCGGAGAGAAAAGACCAGAAAACCAAGGTACAATACCGCCAAAGTAAAAGTAATTAAGACCGGGCCGTCAAGTCAACCTCGCTTTTCAGTAGTTTTCGTTTTGCCCTACCACTGATTTGTTACGTGTTTTTCTTTTGAACGGTTTTAGTAGTTTTAGTAAACGACTGCTAAGACAATATATCTTCACTTTGAGAAATGCTTCATCGAAAAATGTATCGTAGCGTGACCAAAGTCATCGATACATCCCGTGTGTTGCGCAAGTGTCAAGTTTCGATTAAAAAAAAATTCCTTATTTTTAAACCCTAAATATCAACGCGCGTATTCTCCATACTGATACCTATACATTCTTGTGCTACTCACCGAGAAAATTTCCCTCAAATCGGAGCGGCTATGTTATTCTCGTGACTTCATTGCGGAGCTACGAGAGAAAATTTATGATCTGCTCTTTATAAGGGTTCTAGGGATCATAAGGGCAAGGGTTTGGATTTCCGCCTTGTTGTGAGTAGTGTACTTTAAAGGTAGTTCATGAACGATTATCTCAACGGGCTTTTGAGAAAGGATCATGCTGTGTAGTGTGATACGTAAACAGCACCACAGGAGTATTAGATTTCACTTAAAGTTTTTCACGTATTCTCAAAAAGTAGACTCCCGGCACTTTTATTGTTATTGAAGGAGGTTGAGTCCTCTCCCGATCGCAGAATGATAAAACTTCTAACTTTTGATAACTTGTTTCCGCCACTTCGGCATGTTGTTTAAATGACGAGGGATTTCACGGTTTCCGCCAAAATGACGCTGGTTCGCATGCGCGCACTTGTTCCCAGGGCTTTTCTCTTCAAGCCCTGAGTCCGAGGTCGATGAAACCTCTTCAGCAGTTCTTTACTCCGGGGGTTCTTTACACACAGTCTCCGAAACCAAGAGAGAATGAGCTCATTCTCTCTTGTCGAAACTTAACTGACTACACGTGACTAATTTAAAAGACACCAGGAATCGTACCTCAGGGAAGTACGGCTCAATAGGTTTCATGCATCATAATACAGGGGCACCCAACGACAATTTTCGGAAAAATATCTGTTCGGAAGACGATTTGAGATCTAGAATTCTCGGAACAGTTGTTGTAAAAGTTCTTGCTTGCCTGCCTCTCCTAGGATTTTCGAACATGTAAAAAATGGTATAATTGCCTATTTTTAACGGATTTTTACCCTAAAAAGGTCACCTAGAATTTTCGGGAGCCTTTTTCTGGCTGAAATTTTCGAAAAGGTAAGTTTTGATCCCTATAATTTTCGGATCACTAGACTTTCTGCTAGGAAATCCGAACAGATGAAAAATTTTTAGGGGATAAAAATATGCCTATATCTACCGTTTAAATACTAAAATACGTTTAACAATGCTATGTTTAAGTGGTTTTGAACTATATTCTCGTTGGGTGCCCCTGATAATAGACTCCCAGAGAACCTTCCTGCCGCTAGAACCCTGTCATTGAAGTAGTGGGCAAATAAGAAAGAGGCAAAGACTTAACAAAACACAGAGTCAGAATTCGCACCTCACAGAAACACTGCTGCACATGTTTGCTTTTATCAGCCCCTCTTCGTGGATTATCACCTACAAAGCCTAAACTTGATCTCTTCAGAAACCGTAACTCCGGACCAAAGTACATACTGGTTTTTTGGGACATCAAAACATTTAAAACAGACTTCACTGCACGGCGTCAGAAATCACCTCAGAAAATTACTATTCCTATCGTTTTCATTTGAATGGCATCAAAGAAATTTAGGCAGTGATTTGAACAATTTCCTTTATATTCTCAGGTTAAGAACTGTCGTTCTTATATGGAAGAAAAACGGCGCCCAACAGGAAGGCATTAATTGCACTTGTACTTGGTTTTTTTTTCTCTTTATAAGATATTACTTCATTATATGAAGAGGTTTTAAAATTGACGCTTGCTGAGAGCCTTAAACGGCTCAAGCCTCGACTATCAGACTTCAGTTTTAGTTGGTTCCCTGATCTTTCTACCTTATCACTGAGCCTAAATTGCTTTTGAGGATCTCAGTAATGTTTTTTGCTCCGATTGGAAAGCTTAATTTTCTATGCGAGTGATATGTTTACTCTCCTCATGTACTTCGCTACTCAGGATATATGAAATCACAAAGGTGGGCTCTCCTCATAACTTTATCAAGGTTACTTTGCTTTTTCTTCTTTTTTTAGTTTATGTAAGTGTCAATGTATTTAGCGCGAAGGTTCTAATCGAGGATACTGTTTTTATGTCTCCTACCTGGAGACTGGACTGCCATTTCTAGTGGGCATACGAGCCACATGAAGGATTGGCCGCAAGACAAAGCCTGTATCGTCTTTATAGTGTTGTTCCGGCCCCGGAGATCGCGAATCCAGCAACCTCTCGCTTTGCAGGTCACCATTATATTCTACGGGCTTAGAAAAGACAAGATTACTCAGCTGCATTTTCCTGCGTCTAAAACTTTCTTTTAGGCATAATAAATTAGCAATCCAGAAAAGTTCGCTACTTATCACTTTCATCTCAGTGACCAAGAATATTTCAACCTCAGTCTCATCAACAATATCATAAGGAAAATTTGATCAATAACAATTTTCATTTTCATTAATCCACTATGGTCAAAAGTCAAAAGTTAAAGCCAATCACCACATCAATTGATATGATTTTTTTGGTAGAGATATGTAATCAGTGGAAGTTATTATAATCGCAGGCTACTCAGAAATGCACTGTTCTTGCACAACAGAAAGAAGCAAAGCTGATGTGACAATTGGGAATAAATAATTTTTCTCTTTTACCAATGTTCAAAAGGCACAGCCTTCCTTTCTTCCTCAAGGTCTTACAGATGACTAGGTTAACTAGCTAAGACTTTTATGCAATAGTTTTCCTACGGAACGTAAAAACTGAAATGCGTTCGCATTCCAGCGTTCACGTGACCTAATTTGCATACCGCAATCTTCTTAATGAAAACACCGTGCAACGGTGGCTAATTTAGACCAGCGGTTCACCGTAGAAACTTAGTTGCATCAAGAGTTTGCAGAAGAGGTTACGTTAAAATTAAAACTCTGAATCAGCGGAGTCAGTGGTAACATGAGGAATATAAAAACCTTTTAATTTAATCACCAATCTTAACTGACGTTTAAAACACCACCTAGGATGTTTTCACATCGCTGATCCTAGCAGTATGCAGTACTTATTAGCAAATGGCCCAACCCTTCCCGTCATGGCTTCCTCTGATCAATCACCGAGCCCACGCGGCATTCTGGGATATATGTCCTGCCGAGCCGATTCAATGCTCGTACCGCGATATGACTGGTGAACAGCCGGCGAACACTACGTCTCTCCCAATATTCTGACCGTTCAATTCTCCCATAGCAAAACTTATTATCTCTCCTATTGTTTGGCTTTCTTTGAAGTAACGAGGGGCTTGAAAAATGACATAGCAATTATTGGATTCGGCTTTCGTATGATATGAAGAATTATGTAGATCGAGGAGGATATAATCGGCTCGTCGAGAAGGATACCTTGTCCCCAGGGACTTCTCGTTTTGCTGTCCCTTTTTCTGTCGATATTTTGTAATACTCAGAATACTGATGACATGTGACTGGATATCGAAAACGTCTTCCAAATTTGGTCGACGTCGACCAGCTTTGAAGAAGTGGCCAGAGTTTCAGCCAATCAGAAACGGAAAAATGTTTTGAATGAATAATGATACGATGACTAAGGTTAAACTTAAAATGGCTTCTACATGTTGTTAAATTTAATTCCTTTATTCCTTCATCCAAATTCCATGGTAAGCCGACAAACGTAATCTCTTTTTAACACCCAACCGTACCTGATTGAGAGCCGAAATCCAGCTAGGCGAAAAATTATCTCTTTTTGCAAAACATCAGTATAATGACATAATGATTTAGTATCGTTTCGGTTAATATCCACCGGTATCGGCTCAGTTAACAGATCTTAGCAGCCTGCAGTGTCTGCCCAATAACTGTACACATGCAGGCCAAGTCAAGACTCACTGAAATGTTAATTTGCACAGTAACGTATAAAGAGGTTGGGAACACTGGAGATACGTACTGCTCAAGAGCTTTACAGCTGTTTTTCAATGGTGGTCGCTCCCACACCGTAAACAGCCTCTTCCGATTTTAGTACCACTTGAGGACTCTTGAAATAGTGAAACCTTCACCAAGCCGTCATTTCCCGAACTAAATCCACAGAAACACTAAAAATCATCCATCTATTTATTGCATTGAACAAAGCCGTCTTCTAATTAACTCGATTGATGCCAAAATAGCCTGAAACTGACGGTCTACAATTCATTCTTCCCTGCGAACTGTAACAGTGAGGTGCACATATCGTGCAAATGGGACTGAAGACAGACAGATTATACTATTGAAGTTAAGTCGGGAGAGAGTCCACTTAGGATTACCTATCCGTAAACTCTCTATGTCCATGGTAGTGAATTAGTGCACATTGCGATAATTATCAAGGTCACGGTCAGTGTGATGCTGACTCGTCCCCAGTCGTCTCTTTTGTCCCCTAATTAAATGTTAACGAGGGAAGCGCGTGAAAGATGCGCGAGGGGGGAGATGGGATGGAGGGAACAGGTTTTCCTTGCTATCGCACCCTTCGCCGAGATGCCGTAATAGTCTCCCGCGACCGTTCTGTGACATCTTAAAAATGATAAGGGACGACTGGGGACGAGTCAGATTATGACGCACCGCTGCCTACAGCCCCGGTAGATAATTGTTATAATTTTGCAAGGTACTGCATGGGCTGCATGGTTTTGGTTTAAATCTACAAACAGCAGCGTTAAGCACAAGCATACAAATACTTTTTACAAAATTTAAAGAGTAACACTCTAGTAACATCAATCAAGGAATTGACTGTCAACGGCCTGAAAGGTTGTCGAGATCGAGGGCTTGCAGTATCGAGCGGCCAACTTGATTTCGTATGTACCAACGGGGCGCTTATCTATTGTTATCTGTATTTAAAATCTCGCATATGCAACGTTCATCTCGTATTCGTATTTCTCTGTTTAGCCCTCCCTCACCCCGCCTTTCTCTTAGATTGTTTGTGTTGCAAACCGAAATATCGCCGTAAGGAGTGACCTGCGATCAGACGGCCCTTCTTCCCGAAAATAAACTCGCACCGAGTTCAACTCGACTTGTCTCAGGCCTTGCGCGTTAAATATAATCCCGCAGGCTGAGTACTGTTTAAAAACCCATGGCAAACACTATACCTTTGGCAGACCAGGAAGCAAAATAGCAGAGAACGTCTTCACAGAATGTACAACAACAACAACAACAACAACAACAATGTATTTATTTAAAGAAATATAAAGTTTACAATTTTATGTCCTGCAAATAGCTATAATGCTAATCTAGGCAGGACAAGACTTTAAATAAAGACGTTATTAAACTACATAAGAAAAAAGAAAAGAAATACAAAAACATACAGATAGAAACACCCTACATATAGAGGGGATTTTGTTATTTGAAAAGGACTAAAATTATCAGGTTAACTCCACAAAATATTCTATATTTCTTCACAATATATTCTATATAATATACTGTTACTCTGTCAATCTGTTTAACAAATGCTCCTTTTTTTTTTTTAAAAAATACCATCTTTAATAGTCTATGAAGGTGCAAGTTTGGTTGATGAAATATTTTCGATGTTTAAAGAACTAAAAAGATTCTCCCATAGTTTATAAGCATGAAAGGAAAATGGACTATTATCAAGGTCAAGAATTGTGAAATTGTGGTGATAAATATAATTATCCTTTCTTGCCAGATGAAATACCGTGAACTGCCAGAGCCATCAATTTTGATCTTAATCCAGATAATTCAGATAATTGAGAGGCACGGTTAAAAAAAAGCATTCTGCAGACGGAATCCCTCGTTTCTGAACAAATCAGTGAGCAAAAAAGAACTTCAAAAAAGATCCGTTTAAATGAGGAATTCCAAAGACGTGCATAATACGTTATTTTAGACTGAACAAATTCAGAAATAAATTCTTTGTCTTCTGTTGAAGCTTAAAACACTACCATAACAAACCTATAATTATGCGTCCGCTTGGCGCTGCTACAAAGGCCTTACAAACAAGCGAGACAGTCGACTGACTCACTTTAACGCGTTACCGTTGGGGCAATCTCTAAGAGTTTTTCTTGATGAGAATAAAAGAAAACAAATCGAAGAACGTCAGGGACAACTTCGAAGTCTCTTTTTTTGAAAGTTGTCAGTCTTCCAGAAGAGTCCACATTTGTCCAACTGACTAGTCACGAGCAGAAATATTTCAGTTGCTCATTGATAGATTTCTCTGCAGTTTTACCTCGCTTAAAATATTTAATATTGTACTCGGAAGGGAAGAAGGAGCAATTTGTTACGCGAACAGAAATTTGGTAAGAAAACCAAACAATGCTTAATAAGACACGTGCGCAAGTTTGGGTAAACTGATTTTGGTTTTTGTCTTTTTTCTGATTGGTTGACAAAGTGGCGCGAGATATTTCAGCCAATCACAAAGCGTTGCAATATACAAAGCCAGAGTAACCGCTCTTGTTGGTTTAAGACTTTCATCCCCGATTCTGATGAGCTGGGAAATGACTGAGGTCTCGCTAACAACTGGTATATTCATCTTTGCAAATTTCGGCTGATTAGAATTTGGTGTGGTTTTAAGAACTTTTAAGAAATAATCTGCTTACTGCTTTTTTGCAATAATTTTTAATTTTATGGGTCTTGCTTAATCATTCCAACTAAATCTCTTTACTGCAATAGAAATTTGCAGCTGTCATTGTGTGTCCTCATTAATTGCACCACCGGCTCAACTCTCGTTCATGTTTCATAGTGAATATCAACATTGGCTCAAACTAACCATTAATTGCTTTGATGTTTGAACATTTTTCCCAAGCTATACAGAGGCGTAAAAACGTACGAAGACAGTTAATAGAACTGAGTTTACATTGTGGTTTAAGGAATAAATCCTGGTTTTACAAGGATCACAAACGACGTAAATGAAATCACGAGTGTGATTCGTGTGAACTTTAAATACAAACAGCACAACAGAAAGCATACTGATAAAATTGAATTGTTTCATCAGAGTTAACACACCGTCCAAACATTTTCAGCATTCGAGCTTTCGTGTTGCGATAACCTTCGTATTTTAAGAGGGCAAATTAAATCTACATAAATCTCTTTTTTCCCTTTCTTTAAGAGGATTAAGGCTAAAGACTGTCAAATTAAACAGAATTAAAAGCCTAGATCGTCGACCTCAATACCATCCCAGAGCGTCACAATGCATTAGTTTTTGGTGGTAAAATTTGTCAATATAATATATTGCATGTGAATGCGAAACCATTTACCCCTGGAAGGTACCCGAAACACGGCTCGAATCTTTCGCAATCCATCATTCATTAGCATTGTGTTTGGGATTTCTTGGTGTCGGAAGCACGCCATCAAGAATGTTTCTCCTAGAAATGTAAATTATTTCTCTAAACCGCAAGCCTGCCATATAAAACAAAGATACTGGTTTGTTTTATTTGATTTCGTCAGCTGATTACGATTTTGTTAGTGGACCAATATTTCATATGATTTTCGTCTTCTGTTTTGTCTTCTATAACAGCCCAGCGAGACGGTTCAGAGTCGGCAGTATGGATACCACGAAAAACAACAGATACAACCCAAAGTAAGTAAAAATTCATGAAATGGTTTTTTCATTCAAATGTTTTCCGTCCATTCACCTCTGATGGTATAAGACTCAAGCATTGTCAAAATGCGGCAAAATGCCATTGTTTTTCGTAGTGACCGTATCGAGAGATCGGTCTCACTGCCGGATCTCATAACATACGATACTAAATTAAAAATGCATCTTAATAGCTGTTCCGCCGTTCCGTGAACCGAATTCCACTTGCCTTACGTTTGACTTCGTCATTTGAAATAAACCCCACTGACTAAAGGTTCTCGAGTCATGGACATTTTGTTTCCTACTGCTGAAACACTCTCCTAGTTACATGTTTAAGTTAAGTGGGTCTTCTTTCATTACTGAAATAATGTTTTTTAAAACCGGCGGAACTATTTGTGGCATGTTGTTTTAGGATAACATATGGTTTTTCCACGAGATTAATTCGCGGTAGCGTTTTTTTCTTGAAATAATCATCATCTGTTGTTAGCTTTAAAAAAGTAGGAAAGGGAATATCGTGCCAATGCTTTGTTATGCCTTCCCGTATATAACCCACACCGGAATTGTAGAATCGTCGAAGCAAAAATACTGATATATTAACCTTAATTATTCACCAGCCATTCAACTTGGCGATTCACCTCTTCACACTTGTGTAGACTGTTTGTCCTGTTTGGTTAGCATTACTTTAAGTTCTAGTCAGTGAAATTAATCTAAGTTTGTTCACACCCAAAAGAAGTTGTGTTCGATTTTGGAAACACTTTATGTTTAGGAAATTTAGTCAAGCGTGATGTTCTGTCTTGCAGTTCTAATATCAAGTCGTTTCGATACATTTTGGTTGTAACAATCAGTGCGAGACCTTTAATTTGTTTTCCACACGTCGCAGACAAAACTTTTGTCTTTGTTGATACAATATCGTGTGTAAATATTGTCTAGCAGACATAAAGGTGACATTTATGGAAGAAAAAAAAAACCCTTCTGGGACGTCTAGGAAGTTTTGTCTTGATCAACTTCTTAACTGAACAAAAAAGAAAACATATCACGAAGTTTCAAAAGAATTGTTCCGTATGGATTCACTGGTTTAATTCGTGCCTACTTGCACTGCTTTGCTTAATTACAGGAACAGTGCACATTCTTCCTTGGGTTACCATGACAAGATGCCTACAACCCTTATTTTTCACGAAGCAAGTTTCAATTTTTGAGTTAAGAAGAGATCGTGTCTCGCAAATTAAGCTGATTTGACATTCTGATAAGGAATAAATTTTTCTTTTCATATTTCTTGCTGGGATTATTTTTTTTAGATGAATTTTTACATTTCCTGACATATATTTATCCATTTCCCTTTTTCACTGTAACACGAGCCATCTTCTAAGAGGTCTTCTATTGTCGGCACCAATACACACTTTTCTCGTGACCATAAGGCCGAATGGGGATTTTTTATTTAATATTGGAAAGATGACCAGTTTAAAAAGCAGTCTGTCTCCTTTTCACGCAGATATGTCTCTTGATTTGTGTAATGTGGCTGACTATGTGGAGGCGATGTGCTTAAGTGTGTCTTTTCAAACGGAAGCTTTTGACCACCATGTCCTGATCGCAGATCATTTGTCATGTTTGTTTGCTGTATAACTGACTCGCCCTCAGGCATCTCTCTTTGCTCGTGTCACGCGCGATATCTTGGGAAAGATGCAGCTTCATGCACTCGCCTTTTTTCGCGCTAAAGCGGTGTTTCCAACTTTCATGGTAATATCACAAAATTATAACTATGCAAACGAAAATCCTTCTCAAATCAAAATTGTTCATTATTTCCGAAAAGGTTCGGCTTGATTACCAAAAGCTGTTCGGGAAATGAGCCCGCGTTCCTCCGCCGAAAAAGTCTCGTGGTAGAAATTGACGTTTGCCGGACCCGAGAGTGTGGCGAAAATACAAAAAGGTTTTTCCCCCTTGGAAATATGATGTTATAATTCTCTAACCCTCCTTACGCTCCTTGTACTCTGTAATCTATGCCGTTATCACTATGCAATGTCTTCCTTATTTCAGACCAAGCAGAGAGGAAGTGCAAGAGTGGGGAATAAGCTTTGAAAAACTACTTCGAAGCAAAAGTAAGAATCTCACCTAGTGTGAAAGGATAACTAGGGCGTACGGAGGTGCATGCGAAATAAAAGAGATTCAAAATCACGTTTACGGCAATCGGCAAATGCCAGATTCAAATTGACGATGTTTTTGTCACAAGATAGGAAATGAACAGATTTTAACTGTGCAAACTAATTCTTATCTGTGAAACAGGCGTGAAACGGTATGTTTTTTGTAGACATAGTGAACCAAGTAAATCGTGGCGACAGGTGAAGGAGAATCTTGGTCACGTGGTAGAAATTGACGTTTGCCGTAATCTTGATTCTTAACCTCTCTATTTATAGGGAGAAGGCGACGACGACAGCAACAGCAACGCCTTAAACACAATTTTAACTGATTTCTTCGCCAGTCCCTGCTAAAACTACAACGTGAAAAGACCAAAGTTTAAGTTTACTTCATTCATATTCCCTGAACCTTATGAACCTCTTTTTTAGCCTGCGAGCAGGCTCACGTGTGCGAGAGCGGGAAAAATGTTGTCGGCGGAGCAGCAGGCTAGCTCTTTCTGTAAGCAATTCTCCCTTAGGCCACCAGGAAAAGCCAAAGTGGAGAACAAAAGTCTTAACACGATAGAGTTATGTTGACTCCCTTACCCCCTCGTCCTTAAGCAGTGCTGTATTTTGTGAGCCCCTTACACTTTATCCTGTCCCGTAAAGTGTTCGTTATTCACAACATTGTTTGGAGGGGGTGGGAGGGGATGGCCATTAGAGGCCTCCAAACTATTGCAAAAGTGGATCTCATGCTACAGTTGCATATTTGATATTTGTTTCTACTGTTGAAGGAAGGGTTTCAATAATTGTTCCAGGGATTTTTTACCTCCATTGCAGTTTTACCGTGCGAACGTACACGGGATACAGACAAAGACTTGCAAATTACGATTTCCTGGAGAAATAGTCTCCAAAGAGTTTTGGTCGTATTTTTTCGCATTTTTGTTTGAGTTCTGTTGGATGACTCGAGGTCTGCGTTTTGTTTTCCTTTGTCTAGCCGGTGTAATGATTTTCCACGACTTTCTCAAGTCCCAGTACTCTGAGGAGAACTTGTTATTTTGGTTAGCGGTGGAGAAACTCAAAAAGGAAACAGATCAGGCAGCAGTCAAGGAACTTGCCCAGTCGATTTACAGAGACTATCTTTCAGCGGAGTCTCCCAAAGAGGTGAGCAACAACGTGTACATCATATTCGTGAGAGAATTATTGTCAAATTCAGAGCGCATTTTTTTCGGAGTACGCGAAAACGGTCTTGCCTCAGATCATATAAATTCTTCGCCACCGAAAAAAGGGAAATCCGAATAAGGATCTTTTTGCCATGGCAACATCACGTCCTCGGGCTCCTCGTTGGCGACGTCAAAAACACGGTTCAGTTAGGTCATGCACACACTGTACCTGTTGTGCACCATTTCTAAATGGAAAAAGCGTCAAAGATACTTTATTCAATTCTCTCCTAGCCTGCGTAGCTGGCGGAATTGTCTTTGCGTTTGGCGGCTGCCGCGAGAAGCGAGCTCTCAAGGCGCGAGATGCCTTCCCATTCTCCGCACTTATTCTGCCAAAACTTTGCTCGCGCTAACGAACCCGCCGGCTAATCCTCTCCAAAAAAGGCGGTAGATCTCAAAATCCGGCTTTGTGTGTTATCGGTTGAATCGCCGTAGTGTGTGGATGTTGTGGATTCATGATCGGTTTTGGGATTTTTCCTGATTTTTTTTATTCAGACATCCGGATTTGGATCTGCCGCTACTACCCGGAAAAAATGACGAAACGCACCCTTTGAAAAACCGTGAGCACCCGGAATATTTCAGGAATGTTTATGTACCATGTACCAATATTATGTAGCAAAGATTAGGACACGCGAGACAAGCCACAAAACTACGAACTTACTTCCGTCGTTACTTGTGGTTTAGTTTTTTTACTCTTGATTGGTTTTTCTCTTATCGATGACTTAAAATAATACTGCAGATATATTTTAGTGGTTCATGGTTTTCGCCGCTTTACAACAAGTAATAAAAAGAAGTGTGGCCAAGCGTGAATCCTGAAGTAAAGCGTAGATGTTGGCGACGATCTGTAAAATCTGTTCCTTTGATTCCAGTTGCCCACAGTACCCTAATATGGGTCATAAATCGCAAAGTTATTGTGGAGGCGGGGGATTAAAATACACTTAAAGCAAGACTTATTTAAAATGATCCGTTTCTTCGGGATGATCAGGATGAGGATTTATGATTGCAGAAGACTCGAATCATAATGCATCAATTAAGGATCAATCAAGTAACCGATGAACCCTCGTCCAGATGGGATTTATGATTAGCGGTTCCCTTTGATGCACCATGATCCGAGTGATCTTGGATCATTAATCCTGATCCGGATCATCCCAAAGGAACGCTTCGCTTTGAACTGACTGTGCAGTGTGATTCTAACTTTCTGTCACTCGTACAGCCAGAAATGAAAACAGGAGCCGGAAAATGATCAGAATTTTATAATGGTGTTATTTAACAATTATTCCTCGAGCCCGAATGTGCTATTGATTCAGAGGCCATGAGGGCGAAAGGAATAATTGTTTTAGTAAAATCCAACTACTTGGTCAAAAATATCGAGACAAGATATTTTGAGCTAGTTAAAGCTAGACTTTAATCCTTTTTTGCCGCCAAAAAGCCGGCGCTTTTCGCTACTAGTGGGCTATAACATATAGCCCAGTAGTAGCTCAACCAATCAGAACGCAGCATTGATAATAGACCACTACAGGGAAAGAGTAGGCTGATTTAGCAACAGAACGGGAACATCAGTTGACGACGGCGCGCAAATCAAACAACTGGCTTGACCAATCGCAGAGCGGCAAATTGGGCACCGGAAGTCGAGTTTAGTCCTTTCCGCGCGCTTTCCCGTCGTCACCTGACGTTCCCTTCCTGTTGCTAAATCAGCCTAATGGTTCAAGAAGAGATCATTTAGGCCATCACATACCGGACAGCTTATCGTGTGGACACGGAAGGATATTCAGTATAGTGTGAACAACTACGGCCCGGTAATGGATCAAGTCGTTCACACATCTCGGTTAGCCGAGAGGGCTTGATGCTCTAAACCCCAGTCCTCGCTCCTGAATATTTACTTCCGTCTCGGTGGGTTCCAGTCTTCGCCCCTACTAATCCACTTCCGCTACTATCCGAATACCTGTTCACGCTCCAAAGTGAGGCACGGAACCTATCTGATATTTGCGCTTGTATTTCAGGTCAGCATAGACCACAAGACGCGTCAGACGATTGAAGAAGTCATGGAGGAACCAGATCAGACGGTCTATGACCATGCGCAACGTCACGTCTATTACGTCATGTACCAGGACTGTTACCCAAGATTCTTAGTGTCAAATGTATTCAAGGCACTTTTGATGAGTAGTGATTGATGACGTGTTTCAACACAACCACTCAATTTGCTCTTACAGTATATGAATAGACCATTTTATAGTTGTAGATGGAAACGAAGCTGGAGTTGACCTTGTTTTGACACAACCCTTGTTGCTTTTTTATGTAAATCATGTTGTTCTTAAGCTAACTAGAATTTTTCAGCATAATTCCCATAAGAAAACAAAGGGGGTTTGCATTAAAACAAGGTCAACCTTAGCCTCACATTGACACGAAGGTTAGGGTACTAAGCCCATAACGATAAAATAGTCTATTTCAAAGGTCCCAACCACACGACAAGAATGAGAAAGGAGATTGTAAATATTGAACCAAGAATGTTTAGAAAATTGAAATATCGATGAGTAATACAGTCCATATTTCTCGGATCATTTCATTCCTCCCATCATAAAAATTTATCAAAAATTCGGCAAATTGGGACTATTTTCCTTTGTAAATTAGAATCAATGTACACGATTGTTTAAGTTGTGTCCTCTTTATCGAATAATCCCATGACTCCTCTCTCCTCGCCTATTGCCTTTTTTTTGCAGAAAATTTGCGGAAACGAACTGTTATTGCAAACACCATTTTCATATTTTTGTTAAGGTATGATTGTAGCTAACACGAAATTGTCAAATTTTAGAAGACGCAAGTATTGTGAAGTAATTTATTATTTTTATCCGGTTTTGATAACATACAAAAATTGATTTACAAATCAATCGGGTACATTCTTATCATAGTACGTGAATAAGATCCATCAAGAACGCCGTCGCCAAAAAACCTACTTGAAGACATTTCTTATCTTCGATACTTCTCTGAAATAAAAACAGCAACCAAATTCTTCCTGCTCTCCTGCTTCACGTATTTATCTGATATCCGGTCACCTGGCCACCGACAAAATCACTACCAAGACTAGAACTTAGCTCTATTGTCTTAAAAAGTTCAAAGTATACACAATAAATGAAAAGAACTTTCATGAACAGCCATTTTCTCTTCACCATTTCTTTGTCATATTTCAAAGAAATGACAGGTGACTGTGAAACTTTTCGGCTAGGTTTTTAATCTCACAAATGGGAGCATGAGAAGTTCGACGCAAGGATTGTCAATTAGGATCGACAGATTTCGAAGTCAAATTCAAATAAGCTTGACGAAAAAGTAAAACTCTTAGGTAAGTAGTCCTAGGTATTAAACTGTGTCAATTATTTCAGAGTTATTCATTGGTGGCGTGTCACCTTCTTGGTTAGTGAGATGACCGTAAACCATTTATCTGATTGGTTTAACAGTGTTCGTCAGAGTTAAGACGCAGAATCGTTTATGTATTGGGTAAGCGTAGTGCAGGGCAAGGCTTAAAAGGCGTGTTCGTTTTGGTCATTGCGAAATACACCTACTAGTTAAGCAAAATTTTGGAAAAAAGAGTATGTGAATTGTTTTAAAAAATGAGTAAATGGTTTACCGAAATTATATCAATAGAATAAATGGAATTCGTATAATTATATAAAATATGTTACTGTAAATTATTCTCGCGAAAATTTTCTAATGCGAGGGGTTTTACTATTTAATTTTAGCCCTCTGTGTTATTGTAATGGTTAATTAGTTCTATTTCGTGGTGATCTGTATATTGCAGTGCCTCTCATTAAAAGCTGAGATTATTTTACCGTGTACACGTGAAAGAGGTCTCGTATTCTCAGTTCGGAAGATTTTATCTAAAGGGGTTGTGTCACGACATTTAGTTCAAATCATTTCCTAATGCTCTTTGGAACTTAACGTTCACAGAGAAAATACTTCTAAATGACAAAATAACAGCTTTTAATATCCCACAAATAGTCTTCCCGATCATTATATCAAACGTTTAAAACAACAAAATGGACTTTAAAAAACTAAGTTTTCAAAATCTACAATGCATCCGTTTCAGTCTTCTTCAAGTTTGCCGTGTTAGTTATTCTTTCTTTTAATGTAAGTATTGATTGTCTTTATGTTTCACTCAATTTGGTGGTAGTTCTTTGAATTTTAACAAATTTTGTGACACAGCTCCTTTAAGAGCAGTGGACTAGTGCAATCCTGCGCAACAAACATTTCCCATTGTCTCTTAAGTTTCTCTTCCTGTTAGTCTCGCAAGCAGCTGTTTGGTTTGGTCACGCAGCGCTCCTCCACAAGAGGAGGACGGGAGGACGGGAGGAGGGGATAAAGGTTGTGTGACCAGACAAAAACAGCTGCAAGGGAGACTATCTTCCTGAAGTTATTAGTACTATGTTTCACTGGCGTAAACCTTTCATTCTATATTCGTCATCTTAGTCAGCCATACTTCCTAGAGAGACCACATAAGAACGGCCATTTTGCTTTGTCCGTGGGGAAAGGAAGCCCTTAAACTTTCTTTAAATTCAACCCACTTAATACAGACACCCCATTAACATGGACCCTTTCTACCACCCCCCTCAGTGTCTGTATTAACATGGTTTGACTGTACTCGATCTTGAATTAATTTCTGAAAAACCATTCTAGTTGCTTCTGGTCATTCTTTCACTTGGAATCATTCTGTACGTTTGAAATGTTTTCAAAGGATTGGACGCTAATAAAGTAAACTTGCCCTCTTCATTCAATGACTAATGACTGCAATTTGACCTTCAGGTAATCTTTCACTGGAATGATATCAGCAGAGCCATAATTATCTTGCATCCAGACATTGACAATTTCAAGTTTGAGTGTCTGCCAATCTGTAAAAAGAAGATAACTTGGTTACTAGATTGAGTAAATGCATCAGTGACAAGAAAATAAAGTATAATGACAAAAGTAGTGATGATGTGCAACGACACTGATGATGGCTGCAAAGACATCACTTAATATTATAAAATAACTAAGGCTTGAAATTTGGTGCAAGAGGTATAAAGAAAGAATGATAACTTTGTGATAACTTACCATGACCTTTAGGCCAATATTTCATCACAGGATGTCTTGAAAACAAAGCATTTTGAGCAAACTTGATCTCATCAGGGCCAACATGAACAAGCTTTAGGTTTTAAGAGACAAGAAAGAATGAAACATTAGAGTCCTTTAGTTGGTGCATGATGTTTAAAACACTGATTAACATTGATGAGAGCTGTTATTGCCTATAGACCTTGTCACGGTTTTGGAAGCCACGCTTGAGATGTAACAGTGTTTGGATGAGAATCTAATGTCAAATAATTTCCGTAAAACGGCTGTTCTGGAAAAAAATGAATTGTAAACTAACGCCACACAGCAAAGGATTCTAAAAACAAATTTTTTGGGCCATTACTGTGCTTAAATTTCTCCAGACACTTGTTTTAGATTTCCCACATAATTATTTCTCTGCAATTTTCCCAGGAAATTTTAGTTGGGAGGAAGAAAAATTTTTACAAAAAAATGTATAGAAAATTTGAAAAAGTGGTTCTAGTGCATATAGCTTCATGTAACACCCTCAAATTTTTTCAGTACATTATTCATATTTTTTCAGAACAGCCATTTTAAGGAAAATTATTTCACATTAGATTCTCATACAAACACTGACACCAGAAAAATTCTCACGTGTTTGGCTACTCGTCAAGATGGCTTCTAAAACTCTCCCAAGATCTATTGAAGGCAGAAAAAGGAAAACACTAAGGTTTAAACATTAAAGTGCAATTAACTTACCTTTCCTGTGAGAGAAACTCTAGAGCAAAGTGGTTCCTCTGGGTCCCAGTCATGTTCCTTGCAGTAATCACTTTCCGCTTCAGAGACTGACAGACTTGCCCAGTTGTTTACCTTTATGTTTTTGTTTACAGGGTCAAAACTTGACAGGTAAAAGTATGGTATCCCTGTGCTATTGTCGACAGTCCCATCACTGAACGATGTAACCACACTAAAAGGAGCTCCATTCAGTGCCACAGAGATAGTTGAGATAGATCCCCAGATAGTGTTGTGCACAATGTACCTTGCTGTAGATAAAAATTGAAGAGGGGAGTTAATTTAAGGTGGCTAAATGCAATTTTGGTGAAGATAAGCTTGAGACATGGTTGACTAGCAGTCTCTAGAAAGAGATATGCAAGTCGCCCTAATCACGTCACGGGGCCTCAGGGATTTTTTTTACAGCTTTTCTCTATGACTCACCTGTTTTTGCCTTTTCTGATCTTGGAGGGGGACTATAAGAAGCAGAACTTTTAACACTAGACATCCTACCCCTCATCTGGTGTAGAGGCCTATCCCTTGTACTGTAATGTGGCTTGTCCTCATCTTGAAAGATTTCAAGCTCATAATAACCTGAATTAAAACAATAAAAAATAGCCACAGAAAAATCACCTTTCACCCAGTTGTTCCAAGAGTAACAGTTGGCAGGTATAAAAATAAAAAAATTCAGCTAACTTGTGGAATTAACCACTTAAATCAGTGAATAACAGTCCCTATGAGCTCCTATAGCTTAAAGGGCCAATTATTACCATATCATGAAATAAAAGTGTCTCTATATATGCCAACTCTCCTGGACTATCCGGGAGTCTCCCAGATATAGCACTGATCTCCCACTCTCCCCAACGGGACACCAAATCTCCCAGATAAAATGGACTTTCGAGATTATCTGTGCTTTAGTTTGAAATTTAGCCCATTTTTTAATCAAAATTTGTAGGTTTTTTTTATTCATTGTACAATTTCTGGGACATTTTTGCTCTTATTTTGTCACTGACAAAGATTATTTTGTTAGTACAATGATGAAAGCCAATTTTGATTGCATGTACTTCATCTAAGACTCCATATAATGTCCTAAGCCAAGGTAGCTGGGTCAATTTGTGGGAGGGGGGTAGTAGGGCTGTTGATATTCGGGGAGTTGGGGTGTAGTGCAAAATAGGGAGTCTCCAGATTTTAGATCTCTGGAGGCTGAGGGTCCTCAATAGGTTTTTTGGGATCTGGGATTTGCCTTTTTTGGAGCCCGGGATTCGGGATTCTAAAGAAATATGGGCGAGGATTTGGGATTGCATTTATGGACGGGACGCATTACTACAAAGCAGGATCCAGGAAATCGTCGCCTCAAAGCCCTGAAATCCACGGTTTTGGATGGCAAAAATTTTAAAGTAAACTAAACTTTTGCTGTCAGCAGTGACGGAAACAAACGCAAATTTAAACTGAGCATTGGACACCACATTGACACGTGGCTTTTGTGACCCCTTTGGCACAACCTTTGTCATGAACTTTGCCATAATAAGATCCAGTTACACATAGACCTCTTAAGAAGCCCTTTGTTTCTATTCGCTACAACAGAATTATATTCTAAGCCATTGCTAAGATTAATTACTGGAAAGGCTCAAAACTCTTTTTATGGATGTGACCGAAAACACCGTAAGTCATTAATTTGGTGACAAGAGAGTTTAAGCTTCAATGTATGCAGCAATCCTCCTCTCAAATAAGCCCCCCCCCCCCCCTCTACTAAGGCTCCCCCTCAAATGGTCTTGAAGTAAAATAAATTTTTAGAGGATTTACGGTAAATGATGTGACCGGGATCGGGATTGGCCGATGAAAACGTTCGGGATTTCGGGATAAGGGGAAAATTTTGGTAGGGGTGGCGGGATTAAAGAACCGAGGTTGGCATCTCTGTGGACCCGAGTAAGTATAAAAGTACCTTCAATAAAGGGAGAGCCGACAGTAAATGGAATGGCCCAATATAAGGATAAACAAACCTCCGTTCAGTGACTGCTGATCATACTCCGTGGTTTGAAAACCATAGTAGGCTACACGCGCAAACAAACACATTCCCAGTACTAGCACAAGTAACAAAACAACAACATGGCAAGCAAAAAACTTGTTTTGCATACGACTTTCTCGTTTTAAAGTCACCAGAGCTTCGTCCTCCTCTTCCGTGGAAGTAGGACCTTCCTCCAGGAGCTTGTCAATTAGCTTGGCTTTATCCTTGTAAAAATCCATCACAAATCAAATGCCTGTTGTTCGCACACTGAATTTCAACGCGGAAGAGTATTCCCTCGCACCACGAAGTCTCATGTCATGGATGATAAATGGATCAAAAGAATCGCGAGACCCTCACAACTGCAAAATGCAAAACGGTTTTTGATTGGGTTGTGTCTCACCTTCCCTAACCAATCAAAAATTAGCTTTTTTCATGTGCCAAAGGGCGTTATGGGTATTGGTTACCAAAAACATGGCGGATCACCAAAAACAATTTTGGAATGTTGTTTTGCTGACAAGTTTTGAAATCTAACCTACAGCAAATGTTTGGATATTTGGTTATTGGAGTTCTGTAGATTTTGTCAGTATCATTTCGCGGATGCAATATAAAGTGCGAAAGGCCTGCTCGAACCATTGTGTTCACTTGACAACATATTATTGAACGTCTCATATTCATCGTTATTTTCCGTTCGATTTCTGGCCTTATAAACAATTCTATACAATGGCGGACGATCTAGCAAGTTTTATTGAGTCACAGAAAAGAAAGTTGGAAAAAGAAAGAGCAGAAGTATTGCGTGCACAAGAAAGTGAGGTGAGATTACTTTGCACGTGATTATTCTAGCTCAGCTGCTTTCTCGTTTTGGAGGCGGGAAAATTTTTTCCTTTCTTCTTTTAGTTGGCCCCTCTAAGATCGCCTCGGTGTAAGAAACTGTAAAACTCACGAGTGACGTAAAACAAAGGAAACAAAGAAGTCGACACAATAGAACCTATGAAAACATAAGGTGCGAAACAAAGAAAAAGTTCACAGGTTCTTACCCCCAAGATCATGTCATGTAACTCTGCAGTTTTGGTTCTTAGCGGAAGGAATAGATTGTAGCAATACAATCGAAACAATTCTCTTGAGGGTTATAAGACTATCTGGGAAGACAAGCAAATTTCATGTACATGTATATCCATACTAGAATTTAAAGTGAGTGGAGAAAATTCAGAAAGTTATTTGATGAGGAATGCCATTATCAGATGCACTGTATGAGAATCATTTGAAAATTCTGAGTATGACTTCCATTTAGAACATAAACAAGGTTTCATATATAGCCAGAGAGGCGGCGTCAAAATCATTGGACTGGGATGAACCATGATACCGGTTACCAGATCCCTGTGGTCTACCAGGATGTGTTGTGATGTGAACCACAATATAAATCATGTGACAAAATTTCAAGCTCTATCAGGTGGAAAGGATTCCAAGATGAAATTGAATGCTTGTATGCTATAAAAATAGTTTTTGATCCTTTGATACCTCGTTTATGTTCAAATACACTGAAAAAGTAGCTTAGTAAATTTTGTGATAATCAGTTTTGTGCTTGTATTTCAGGTCAGCATAGACCACAAGATGCGTCAGACGATTGAAGAAGTCATGGAGGAACCAGATCAGACGGTCTATGACCATGCGCAACGTCACGTCTATTACGTCATGTACCAGGACTGTTACCCAAGATTCTTAGTGTCAAAATGTATTCAAGGCATTTTTGATGAGTAGTGACTGATGACGTGTTTCAACACAACCACTCAATTTGCTCTTACAGTATATGAATAGACCATTTTATAGTTGTAGATGGAAACGAAGCTGGAGTTGACCTTGTTTTGAGACAACCCTTCTTGCTTTCTTATGTAAATCATGTTGTTCTTATGCTAACTAGTATTTTTCCACATAATTTCCATAAGAAAACAAAGGGGGTTTGCATAAAAACAAGGTCAACCTTAGCCTCACATTGACTTGAAGGCTAGGGTACAAAGCCCATAACAGTAAAATGGTCTATTTCAAAGGTCCCAACCACACAACAAGAATTTATGACGTTATTGAGAAAGGAGATTGTAAATATTGAACCAAGAATGTTTAGAAAAGTGAACTATTAATGAATAATACAGTCCATATTTCTCGGATCATTTCATCTGTCCCATCATAAAAATTTATCAAAAATTCAACAAATTGGGACTATTTTCCTTGTAAATTAGAATCAATGTACACGATTGTTTAAGTTGTGTCCTCTTTATCGAATAATCCCATGATTCCTCTCTTTTCACCTATTGCCTTTTTTTTTGCAAAATTTTACGGAAAAGGACTGTTACTGCAAGCACCATTTTCATATTTTTGTTAAGGTATGATTGTAGCTAACACGAAATTGTCAAATTTTAGAAGACGCAAGTATTGTGAAGTAATTTATTATTTTTATCCGGTTTTGATAACATAAAAAAATTGATTTACATTTGGTTACATTCTTATTATAGTACGTGAATAAAATCTATCAAGAATGCCGTCGCCACAAAACCTACTTGAAGACATTTCTAACCTTCGATTCTTCTCTGAAATAAAACAGCAACAAATTCTTCCTGCTTTCCAACTTCACCTAATTATCTGATATCCGGTCACCTTGCCACCAAACCATCTCACCACCAAGACTAAAACTTTATCGTCTTAAAAAGCCATACATATACACAACAAATGAAAAGAACTTTCATGAACAGCCATTTTCTCTTAACCGTTTCTTTGTCATATTTCAAAGAAATGACAGGTGATTATGAATCTGTTCTGCCAGTTTTTTAATCTCTCAACTGGGGGCATGAGAAGTTCGACGCAAGGATCATCAATTAGGATTGACAGATTCGCATTTGGGTGAAAGTCAAATTCAAATACTAAGCTTGATGAAAAATTAAAAATCTTAGTTAAGTAATCCTAGGTATTAAACTGTGTCAATTACTTCGGAGTTATTTGTTGGTGGCAAGTCGTCTTCTTGGTTGGTAAGACGGTTTGGTGGCAAGATGACCGTAGACCATTTGTCTGATTGGTTTAACAGTGTTCGTCAGAGTTAAGACGCCGAACGGTTTATGTATTGGGCAAATGTAACGCAGGGCAAGGCGTAAAAGGCATGTTCGTTTTGGTCCATGCAAAATAAACCTACTAGTAAAGCAAAATTTTGGACAAAAGAGTCACAATTGTTTTAAGAAAAATGAGTAAATGGTTTACTGAAATCATATCAAATGGAATTCATATAATTATAAAAATATATTGCTAAACTATGTAAACTATGTATGTAACTATGTAAACTATTCTTGCAAAAATTTTCTAGAGTGAGCAGTTTTACTATTTAATTTTAGCCCTCTGTGTTATTGTAATGGTTAATTTGTCCTATTTCGGGGTGATCTGTATAGTGCAGTGTCTCTCATTAAAAGCTGAGATTATTTTACCGTGTAATGGAGGCCTCACATTTTCACTTCAGAAGATTTTATCTAAACGGGCTGTGTCACAGCATTTAGTTCATTTTGTTAATATAGCCAAATACCTTTGCTAATGCATTTTGGAACTTAACGTTGGTGAAGAAAATACTTCTAAATGACAAAATCACAGCTTCTTATCCTAACAATATGCCTCCCAAGCATCATATCAAACATTAAAAACAAACCTGTTAGGCAAACAAATTTTTAAAACCCACAGTGCATCTGTTTAAATCTTTTCCAAGTTTGTCCGTACCTTCTTTTGTATTTGCCTGGTTATTTATTCTTCCTTTAATGTTCTGAGCATTTATTTTTAAGTTTCACTCAATTTGGTGGTAGTTCGTACGTTTTGGATTTTGATAAATTTCGTGACACTGCTCCTTTAAGAGCAAACTGAGTAGTGAACTAGTGCAATCCTAACCAATAAGAATTTCTCTGTGCAACAAACATTTCCCATCGTCTCTTAAGTTTCTCTTCCTGTTAGTCTCGCAAGCAGCCGTGTTTGCTTGGTCACTTAACGCTCCTCCACCAGAAGAGGAGGGGAGGAGGGGATAAGGGTTGTGTGACGAGACAAAAAAAGCTGCAAGGGAGACTATCTTCCTGAAGTTATTAGTACTATGTGCCACTGGAGTAAACCTGTCATTCTATATTAGTCATCTTCGTCAGCCATACTTCCTAGACCCACTAATTCACAAAACCTCAGTTGTTCAAAAGGTGGATAACACTATCCACTGGATAAATCTCTATCCACTGGAAAGCCCAATTCCAAACAACTGGTTTCCCTACTACTTAACCTGCTTAATACAGACACCCCGTTAAAATAGACCCTTTCTATGGCCCCCCTCAGTTTCTGTATTAATGGGGTTTCAAGGTATTTAATTGGATGCTAATCAAGCAAACTACATTTAGCCTTCTTCATTCAATGACTATGACTACAATTTGACCTTCAGGTAGTCTTTTACTGGAATGATATCAGCTGGGCCATAAATATCTTGCAACCAGACATTGACGATTTCAAGTTTGAGTGTCTGCCAATCTGTAACAAGAAGATAACTTGGTTACTAGACGGAGTAAATGCATCACTGACATAAAAAGTATAATAAGAAAAACAGAGATGCTATGCAATGACACTGACAATGGCAGCAAAGACATCACTTAATCATCAGCGTGCAAAGAAGGTCATGTCCGATAGCCCGGGGCTAGGGGATTTTGCTATAGGGCTAGTGATATTTGTTCTTAACTTGCCTGACAGGCAGGTGCTGTTTTTTGGGGAAATTCAAGTTACAGAAGAATTGTAATCAATCCTGCTAATCAAAAAGGGTTTTTGGGCTAGTTAAAATGACTTGTGGGCTAGTACATGCTGTAGCTATAGCTTGCACGATTGGCAGGCTGTAAAACTGACTTTCTTTGCACCCTGATTATAAAATAACTAAGAACTGAAATTTGGTGCAACAGGTATAAAGAAAGAATGACATTTTTGTGATCACTTACCATGAAACTTAGGCCAAGATTTCATCACAGGATGTCTTGAAAACAAAGCATTTTGAGCAAACTTGATCTCATCAGGGCCAACATGAATAAGCTTTAAGTTTTAAGAGACAAGAAAGAATGAAACATTAGAGTCCTTCAGTTAATGCATGATGTTTAAAACATTGATAAACATTCAATGATAAGAGCTGTTATTACTTATAGACCTTGACATGGTTTTGGAAGCCATCTTGATGAGTAGGCAAGCGCATGAGATATCACAGTGTTTGTACGAGAATCTAATGTCAAATAATTTCTGTAAAAAGGCTGTTCTGGAAACATTATGAATTGTAAAATAAAGCTACACAGCAAGGGATTCTACAAACAAATTTTTTGGGCCATACCTGTGCTTAAATTTCTCCAAACGCTTGCTTTAGATTTTCCACATATTAATTTTGTCTGCAATTTTCCCGGGAAATTTTAGTCGGCATGAAGAAAAATTTTAACAGACAAATGTATAGAAAATTTTACAAAGTGGTTCTAGTGCATGTAGCTACATGTAACGTCCTCAAATTTTCTCAGTACAATTCATATTTTTTCAGGACAGCCGTTGTACGAAAATTATTTCACATTAGATTCTCATACAAACACTGTAATTTCTCATGTGGTTGGCTACTCATCAAGACGGCTTCCAAAACTGTGGCAAGGTCTACTTGGAAGCAGAACATGTATACAACAAGAACACTCTTACAGCGATGTTTAAGTCTCGCTTGCTTGGAGATTAGATCGAGAAATGAGCAGGCGATTAATTCTACAAGAAACAGGATTTACTCACTAAATGTTTTTCACTCCCTACTTCTGGATATTTACTTTTTATTTGTTTCTGAATTGATTTAGTACGCATGTTATACGTCTGCTGTCGCAGGCTATACGTGTGTATAAATACACGAAAATTCAAGGGCCTTGATTCCAGAGAAATTACATCATTGCCAGAGATCAAAAAAGGGATTTTCATGGCATGTCATTTCGATCATTGCCAAAAATAGACCGCATGCTCATCACAAGACCCATTTGCAAACAATGAAAGTTTACAACACCCAACCAGTTAGTCTTTTGCTAATAAAGTTTTCCTTTTTTTTCGACCACCGAAGTATTCATGTGTTCCAAAGTAATCAATGCTTTTAAGTGATAGAATTCATCGACAGATGCATTCTTCACAAAACATGCATGGCTTTGGCCACACAACGATTCTTATTGCCAGTTTCCACGGTCTCCACTAGGAAGGCCAGTGGGACCACAACGGTTGTTTTGTGTACTAAATATGAAGGAAAAAACCCGCTTGCAGATTATGAGTCTTGCTCCTTAGGCTAAAACATTAAAATGCAATTTACTTACCTTTCCTGTGAGAGAAACTCTAGAGCAAAGTGGTTCCTCAGGGTCCCAGTCATGTTCCTTGCAGTAATCACTTTGTGCTTCAGAAACTGACAGACTTGCCCAGTTGTTTTCCTTTATGTTTGTGCATATAGGGTCAAAATTTGACAGATAAAAGTATGGTATCCCTGTGCTATTATCAACAGTCCCATCACTGAATGATGTAACCACACTAAAAGGAGCTCCATTCAGTGCCACAGAGATAGTTGAGATAGATCCCCAGATAGTGTTGTGCACAATGTACCTTGCTGTAGACAAAAATAATATTAAACAGGGGAGTTTATTTAACGTGACCAAATGCAATTTTCACCAAGATAAACTCAAGACATGGTTGACTGGCAGTCTATAGAAGGAGATATGCATGTCGCCCTAATCATGTCACCTGGGCTCAGGGATTTTTTTTACAGCCTTTCTCTATGACTCACCTGTTTTTGCCTTTTCTGATCTTGGAGGGGGATTATAAGAAGCAGAACTTTTAACACTAGAAATCCTGCCCCTCATCTGGTGTAGAGGCCTATCCATTGTGCTGTGATGTGGCTTGTCCTCACCTTGAAAGATTTCAAGCTCATAATAACCTAAATTAAAACAATAAAAAATAGCCAAAGAAAAATCAAGTTTCACTCAGTTGTTCCAAGAGAAAATGTGGGCAGGTATAAAAATAAAAAAAATTCAGCTAAATTGTGGAATTAACCACTTAAATCAGTGAATAACAGTCCCTATGAGCTCCTATGGCTTAACCCATTTGCCCCTGAGCCACCCGTGGAGATCCACGTCCTTTCTACCGCTTGTGACGTCATCAGTTTTAACGGTCAGGGGCAACTTTGTCCGCTAACTTCTGCAGAGTGAAGAGATGTTTCAAACCATACCAGAATGAGCACAATTCAGTCAAGGACACCGGGGGAAAAGGACAAAAACCATGTAACATTGACCTGAAAATCTTATCTAGATTTTCGTTCGCAGCAAAAGTCTTTGGTCACGCATCACACTCTACGGAGCGTGTACGTATATATATGTGTTTGGCTTGTCAACACTTTGACTTCAACAGGGCCGATTGGATCTCCGATAATCTGCATGTGATCACCAGCTGATATTTGCGAACAATGGGAAAGGAACTTATCTTTCGATTCAGCAGACGTTCGTGGGGCAGGAACGCGTGACGAACCACTAAGAACGTCTGCGTGGGAGGCTACAGATCAAAGGAACTTGAAGATGTCGGCAGAGTCGCTTCCTCTTTGACTTTCCCGACTCATTTAGGAAAGATCGAAGCGACTCTGCTAGCAGGGTACTGATAAGGTGGACCATGGTAAATGATGTGACCGGGATCGGGATTTGGCCGATGAAAACGTTCGGGATTTCGAGATAAGGGAAAATTTTGGTAGTGATGGCGGGATTAAAGAACCGAGGTTGATTGGCATCTCTGAGTAAATGTAAAAGTACCTTCAATAAAGGGGGGCGGACAATAAATGGAATGGCCCAATATAAGGATAGACAAACCTCCGTTCAGTGACTGCTGATCATATCCCGTGGTTTGAAAACCACAGTAAGCTACACGCGCCAACAAACACATTCCCAGTACTAGCACAAGTACCAAAACAACAACATGGCAGGCAAAAAACTTGCTGTGCGTATGACGTTCTCGTTTTAAAGTCACCAGAGCTTCGTCCTTCTCTTCTGTGGAAGTAGGACCTTCCTCTAGGAGCTTATCAATTAGCTTGGCTTTATCCTTGTAAAAGTCCATCTCAAATGCCTGTTGTTCGCACACTGGATTTCAACTCGGAAAAGCACCCCTTTCAATACCATGTCTCGTGACCCGGCTGGATGATAAAAAGATTAAAAAGGCACGAGACTCTCACAAATCGTTGTTGATTGGGTCGGGTCTAGCCTACGAAAACATCCGTTTCTCCTCGCTCTTCGTCGCTGAGGACGTTTCGCGCTCCACGCGAACGTCCTCTGCGACAAAGAGCGAGGAGAAACGGATGTTTTCGCAGGCTAGGTCGGGTCTCACTCAGTCCTAACCAATCAAAAATAAGCTTTCTTCATGTACCGAAGGGCGTTATGGGTACTGGTTACCAAAAACATGGCGGATCACGCAAAACAATTTTGGAATGTTGTTTAGCTGTCAAGTTTTGAAAGTGGTTTCTTACGCTAAACTACAGCAAATGGTTAGATATTTGGTTGTTGGAGTTTTGGAGATTTATCAGTATCATTTCGGGGATACAATATAAAGTGCGAAAGGCCTGCTCGAACCATTGTGTCCACTTGACAACATATCATTGAACGTCTCATTTGATCGTTATTTTCCGTTCGATTGCTGGCCTTATAAACAATTCTATACAATGGCAGACGATCTAGCAAGTTTTATAGAGTCACAGAAAAGAAAGTTGGAAAAAGAAAGAGCAGAAGTATTGCGTGCACAAGAAAGTGAGGTGAGATTACTTTGCATGTGATTATTCTAGCTCAGCTGCTTTCTCGTTTTGGAGGCGGGAAATTTTTTTTCCTTTTTTCTTTTAGTTGGCCCCTCTAAGATCGCCTCGGTGTAAGAACCTGTAAAACTCACGAGTGACGTAAAACAAAGGAAACAAAGAAGTCGACACAATAGAACCTAGGAGAACAAAGGGTGCGAAACAAAGAAAAAGTTCACAGTTTCTTAACCCCAAGATCATGTCATGTAACTCTACAGTTTTGGCTCTAAGCAGAAGGAATAGATTTTAGCAAGACAATCGAAACAATTCTCTTGAGGGGTATCACACTATCTGGGAAGACAAGCAAATTTCATATACATGTATTTCCATACTAGAAATTAAAGTGAGTGGAGAAGATTCAGAAAGTTATTTGATGAGGAATGCCATTATCAGATGCACTGTATGAGAATCATTTGAAAATTGTGAGTATGACGTCCATTTAGAACATAAACAAGGTTACATATATAGCCAGAGAGGCGGTGTCAAAATCATTGAACTGGCATGAACCATGATACCGGTTATGAGATCCCTGTGGTCTACCAGGATGTCTTGTGATGTGAACCACAATATAAATCATGTGACAAAATTTCGAGCTCTATCACGTGGAAAGGATTCCAAGATGAAATTGAATGCTTGTATGCTATAAAAATAGTTTTTGATCCTTTGATACCTCATTTATGTTCAAATACACTGAAAAAGTAGCTTAGTAAATTTTGTGATAATCAGTTTTGTGCTGGTATTTCAGGTCAGCATAGACCACAAGACGCATCAGACGATTGAAGAAGTCATGGAGGAACCAGATCAGACGGTCTATGACCATGCGCAATGTCACGTCTATTACGTCATGTACCAGGACTGTTACCCAAGATTCTTAGTGTCAAATGCATTCAAGGCACTTTTGATGAGTAGCGACTGATGACGTGTTTCAACACAACCACTCAATTGGCTCTTACAGTATGTGAATAAACCATTTTATAGCTGTAGATGGAAACGAAGCTGGAGTTGACCTTGTTTTGACACAACCCTTCTTGCTTTCTTATGTAAATCAAGTTGTTCTTATGCTAACTAGTATTTTTCAGCATAATTTCCATAAGAAAACAAAGGGGGTTTGCATTAAAACAAGGTCAACCTTAGCCTCACATTGACTCGAAGGCTAGGGTACTAACCCCATAACAGTAAAATGATCTATTTCAAAGGTCCTAACCACACAACAAGAATTTATGACATTATTGAGAAAGGAGATTGTAAATTAATATTGAATCAGGAATGTTTAGAAAAGTGAAATATTGATGAATAATACAGTCCATATTTCTCGGATCATTTCATTCCTCCCATCATAAAAATTTATCAAAAATTCGACAAATTGGGACTATTTTTTTTTGTAAATTAGAATCAATGTACACGATTGTTGAAATTGTGTCCTCTTTATCGAATAATCCCATGATTCCTCTCTTTTCGCCTATTGCCTCTTCTTTGCAGAAAATTTACGGAATCGGACTGTTACTGCAAGCACCATTTTCATATTTTTGTTAAGGTATGATTGTAGCTAACAAGAAATTGTCAAATTTTAGAAGACGCAAGTATTGTGAAGTAATTTATTATTTTTATCCGGTTTTGATAACATAAAAAAATTGATTTACATTTGGTTACATTCTTATTATAGTACGTGAATAAAATCTATCAAGAATGCTGTGGCCACAAAACCTGCTTGAAGACATTTCTAACCTTCGATTCTTCTCTGAAATAAAACAGCAACCAAATTCTTCCTGCTTTCCAACTTCACCTAATTATCTGATTTCCGGTCACCTTGCCACCAAACCATCTCGCCACCAAGACTAAAACTTTATCGTCTTAAAAAGCCATACATATACACAACTAATGAAAAGAACTTTCACGAACAGCCATTTTCTCTTAACCGTTTCTTTGTCATATTTCAAAGAAATGACAGGTGGTTATGAAACTGTTCTGCCAGTTTTTTAAATCTCTCAACTGGGAGCATGAGAAGTTTGACGCAAGGATCGTCAATTAGGATTGACAGATTCGCATTTGGGTCGAAGTCAAATTCAAATACTAAGCTTGATGAAAAAGTAAAAATCTTAGTTAACCCATTCGCCCGTAACCGCCCGTGCGGATCCAGGTCCTTTCTACCCTTTGTGACGTCATCAGTTTTAACAGTCAAGGACAACTTTCTTCGCTAACTTGTGCAGAGTGAAGAGATCTTTCAAACCATACCAGAATGAGCACAATTTAGTCAAGGAGACCGGAGAAAGAAGCAAAAAACCACGTGACAAGGACCTGAAAATCTCCATGAAAATCTTGTTCCATTACCCACCTACCTTTCCTTTCACCTAATCCTAAGATCCTAAAAGCTTTCCCAAAAACTCTTCCCACCAAAATGAAGCCTACTAAATGCCCAGCAAGAGAAAAAAAAAATGAGGCAAGAAAAGCAAAAAAAGAAGGGAGGAGAGAAAGCGAAAAGTAAAAGTCAAGACTGCTGTGTCACTTTTAAACCCAAAAACTATGTCAAAATTTTGCTTTCTGTGCATGCCCGAACTTCGCAAGCTCATACTTTGCATCTGGATCAGAAGGCCGCCAAGTGTACGACCTGTAAGCCGGTTTGTGGTAAGTTTTAGCTCTTTATAGCACGACAGTGACCAGAAAACCACTCGACTAGCTTCAAAACGCGTTTTTCGGCAAAATCTCCAGGAGCGAATGGGTTAAGTAATCCTAGGTATTAAACTGTGTCAATTACTTCGGAGTTATTCGTTGGTGGCAAGTCGTCTTCTTGGTTGGTGAGAAAGTTTGGTGGCGAGATGAAGGTAAACCATTTATCTGATTGGTTTAACAGTGTTCGTCAGAGTTAAGATGCCGAACGGTTTATGTATTGGGCAAATGTAACGCAGGGCAAGGCGTAAAAGGTGTGTTCGTTTTTGTCCTTGCAAAATAAACCTACTAGTAAAGCAAAATTTCACACACAAGAGTGACAAATTATTGTTTTAAGAAAAATGAGTAAATGGTTTACTGAAATCATATCAAATGGAATTCATATAATTATAAAAATATATTGCTAAACTATGTAAACTATGTATGTAACTATGAAACTATTCTTGCAAAATTTTTCTGGAGTGAGCAGTTTTACTATTTAATTTTAGCCCTCTGTGTTATTGTAATGGTTAATTTGTCCTATTTCAGGGTGATCAGTATAGTGCAGTGTCTCTCATTAAAAGCTGAGATTATTTTACCGTGTAATAGAGGCCTCACATTTTCACTTCAGAAGATTTTATCTAAAGGGGCTGTGTCGCAGCATTTAGTTCATTTTGTTAATATAGCCAAATACCTTTGCTAATGCATTTTGGAACTTAACGCTGATGAAGAAAATACTTCTAAATGACAAAATCACAGCTTCTTATCCTAACAATATGCCTCCCAAGCATCATATCAAACATTAAAAACAAACCTGTTAGGCAAACAAATTTTTAAAACCCACAGTGCATCTGTTTAAATCTTTTCCAAGTTTGTCCGTACCTTCTTTTGTATTTGCCTTGTTATTTATTCTTCCTTTAATGTTCTGAGCATTTATTTTTAAGTTTCACTCAATTTGGTGGTAGTTCGTACGTTTTGGATTTTGACAAATTAAGTGACACTGCTCCTTTAAGAGCAAACTGAGTAGTGAACTAGTGCAATCCTAACCAATAAGAATTTCCCTGTGCAACAAACATTTCCCATCGTCTCTTAAGTTTCTCTTCCTGTTAGTCTCTCAAGCAGCCATGTTTGTTTGGTCACACAACGCACACAACGGGGAGGAGCGGATAAGGGTTGTGTGACCAGACAAAGACAACTGCAAGGGAGACTATCTTCCAGAAGTTATTAGTACTATGTGCCACTGGAGTAAACCTCTCTTCTATATTAGTCATCTTCGTCAGCCATAACTCCTACACCCACTAATTCAAAAAACCTCAGTTGTTCAAAAGGTGGATAACACTATCCACTGGAAAAATCTCTATCCACTGGAAAGCCCAATTCCAAACAACTGGTTTCCCTACTACTTAACCTGCTTAATACAGACACCCCATTAGAATAGACCCTTTCTATGGCCCCCCTCAGTTTCTGTATTAATGGGGTTTCAAGGTATTTAATTGGATGCTAATCAAGCAAACTACATTTAGCCTTCTTCATTCAATGACTATGACTACAATTTGACCTTCAGGTAGTCTTTTACTGGAATGATATCAGCCGGGCCATAAATATCTTGCAACCAGACATTGACGATTTGAAGTTTGAGTGTCTGCCAATCTGTAAAAAGAAGATAACTTGGTTACTAGACGGAGTAAATGCATCACTGACATAAAAAGTATAATAAGAAAAACAGAGATGCTATGCAATGACACTGACAATGGCAGCAAAGACATAATTAATCATCAGCGTGCAAAGAAGGTCGTGTCCGATAGCCCGGGGCTAGGGGATTTTGCTATAGGGCTAGTGACAAATACAAATTTTGTTCTTAACTTGCCTGACAGGCAGGTGCTGTTTTTTGGGGAAATTCAAGTTACAGAAGAATTGTAATAAATCCTGCTAATTAAAAAAGGGTTTTTGGGCTAGTTAAAATGACTTGTGGGCTAGTACATGCTGTAGCTATAGCTTGCACGATTGGCAGGCTGTAAAACTGACTTTCTTTGCACCCTGATTATAAAATAACTAAGAACTGAAATTTGGTGCAACAGGTATAAAGAAAGAATGACATTTTTGTGATCACTTACCATGAAACTTAGGCCAAGATTTCATCACAGGATGTCTTGAAAACAAAGCATTTTGAGCAAACTTGATCTCATCAGGGCCAACATGAATAAGCTTTAAGTTTTAAGAGACAAGAAAGAATGAAACATTAGAGTCCTTCAGTTAATGCATGATGTTTAAAACATTGATAAACATTCAATGATAAGAGCTGTTATTACTTATAGACCTTGACATGGTTTTGGAAGCCATCTTGATGAGTAGGCAAGCGCATGAGATATCACAGTGTTTGTACGAGAATCTAATGTCAAATAATTTCTGTAAAAAGGCTGTTCTGGAAACATTATGAATTGTAAAATAAAGCTACACAGCAAGGGATTCTACAAACAAATTTTTTGGGCCATACCTGTGCTTAAATTTCTCCAAACGCTTGCTTTAGATTTTCCACATATTAATTTTGTCTGCAATTTTCCCGGGAAATTTTAGTTGGCATGAAGAGAAATTTTAACAGACAAATGTATAGAAAATTTTAAAAAGTGGTTCTAGTGCATGTAGCTGCATGTAACGTCCTCAAATTTTCTCAGTACAATTCATATTTTTTCAGGACAGCCGTTGTACGAAAATTATTTCACATTAGATTCTCATACAAACACTGTAATTTCTCATGTGGTTGGCTACTCATCAAGACGGCTTCCAAAATTGTGGCAAGGTCTATTGGAAGCAGAACATGTATACAACAAGAACACTCTTACAGCGATGTTTAAGTCTCGCTGGCTTGGAGATTAGATTGAGAAATGAGCAGGCGATTAATTCTACAAGAAACAGGATTTACTCACTAAATGTTTTTCACTCCCTACTTCTGGATATTTACTTTTTATTTGCTTCTGAATTGATTTAGTACGCATGTTATACGTCTGCTGTCGCAGGCTATACGTGTGTATAAATACACGAAAATTCAAGGGCCTTGATTCCAGAGAAATTACATCATTGCCAGAGATCAAAAAAGGGATTTTCATGGCATGTCATTTCGATCATTGCCAAAAATAGACCGCATGCTCATCACAAGACCCATTTGCAAACAATGAAAGTTTACAACACCCAACCAGTTAGTCTTTTGCTAATAAAGTTTTCCTTTTTTTTCGACCACCGAAGTATTCACATGTTCCAAAGTAATCAATGCTTTTAAGCGATAGAATTCATCGACAGATGCATTCTTCACAAAACATGCATGGCTTTGGCCACGCAACGATTCTTATTGCCAGTTTCCACGGTCTCCACTAGGAACGCCAGTGGGACCACAACAGTCATTTTGTGTACTAAATATGAAGAAAAAAACCCGCTTGCAGATTATGAGTCTTGCTGCTTAGGCTAAAACATTAAAATGCAATATTTACTTACCTTTCCTGTGAGAGAAACTCTAGAGCAAAGTGGTTCCTCAGGGTCCCAGTCATGTTCCTTGCAGTAATCACTTTGTGCTTCAGAAACTGACAGACTTGCCCAGTTGTTTTCCTTTATGTTTGCGCATATAGGGTCAAAATTTGACAGATAAAAGTATGGTATCCCTGTGCTATTATCAACAGTCCCATCACTGAATGATGTAACCACACTAAAAGGAGCTCCATTCAGTGCCACAGAGATAGTTGAGATAGATCCCCAGATGGTGTTGTGCACAATGTACCTTGCTGTAGACAAAAATAATATTAAAGAGGGGAGTTTATTTAACGTGACCAAATGCAATTTTCACCAAGATAAACTCGAGACATGGTTGACTAGCAGTCTCTAGAAGGAGATATGCATGTCGCCCTGATCACGTCATGGGGGCTCAGGGATTTTTTTTTACAGCCTTTCTCTATGACTCACCTGTTTTTGCCTTTTCTGATCTTGGAGGGGGATTATAAGAAGCAGAACTTTTAACACTAGAAGTCCTGCCCCTCATCTGGTGTAGAGGCCTATCCATTGTGCTGTGATGTGGCTTGTCCTCATCTTGAAAGATTTCAAGCTCATAATAACCTAAATTAAAACAATAAAAAATAGCCAAAGAAAAATCAAGTTTCACCCAGTTGTTCCAAGAGAAAATGTGGGCAGGTATAAAAATAAAAAATTTCAGCTAAATTGTGGAATTAACCACTTAAATCAGTGAATAACAGTCCCTATGAGCTCCTATGGCTTAACCCATTTGCCCCTGAGCCGCCCGTGCGGATCCAGGTCCTTTCTACCGCTTGTGACGTCATCAGTTTTAACATCAGGGGCAACTTTGTCCGCTAACTTCTGCAGAGTGAAGAGATGTTTCAAACCATACCAGAATGAGCACAATTCAGTCAAGGACACCGGGGGAAAAGGACAAAAACCATGTAACATTGACCTGAAAATCTTATCTAGATTTTCGTTCGGAGCAAAAGTCTTTGGTCACGCATCACACTCAACGGAGCTTGTACGTATATATATGTGTTTGGCTTGTCAACACTTTGACTTCAACAGGGCCGATTGGATCTCCGATAATCTGCATGTGATCACCAGCTGATATTTGCGAACAATGGGAAAGGAATTTATCTTTCGATTCAGCAGACGTTCGTGGGGCAGGAACGCGTGACGAACCACTAAGAACGTCTGCGTGGGAGGCTACAGATCAAAGGAACTTGAAGATGTGGGCAGAGTCGCTTCCTCTTTCCCGACTCATTTAGGAAAGATCGAAGCGACTCTGCTAGCAGGGTACTGATAAGGTGGACCATGGTAAATGATGTGACCAGGATGGGGATTTGGCCGATGAAAACGTTCGGGATTTCGAGATAAAGGGAAAATTTTGGTAGTGATGGCGGGATTAAAGAACCGAGGTTGATTGGCATCTCTGAGTAAATATAAAAGTACCTTCAATAAGGTGGGGGGCGGACAATAAATGGAATGGCCCAATATAAGGATAAACAAACCTCCGTTCAGTGACTGCTGATCATATCTCGTGGTTTGAAAACCATAGTAGGCTACACGCGCAAACAAACACATTCCCAGTACTAGCACAAGTACCAAAACAACAACATGGCAGGCAAAAAACTTGCTGTGCGTATGACTTTCTCGTTTTAAAGTCACCAGAGCTTCGCCCTTCTCTTCTGTGGAAGTAGGACCTTCCTCCAGGAGCTTATCAATTAGCTTGGCTTTATCCTTGTAAAAGTCCATCTCAAATGCCTGTTGTTCGCACACTGAATTTCAACTCGGAAGAGGACTGCTTTCAATACGATGTCTCGTGACCCGGCCGGATAAGCCGCCTGATGCCATAGAACACAATCACGAGACTCTCACAACTGCAAAATGCAAAATCGTTTTTGATTGGGTTGAGTCTCACTTAGCCCTAACCAATCAAAATTAAGCTTTTTTCATGTACCAAAGGGCGTTATGGGTATTGGTTACCAAAAACATGGCGGATCACCCAAAACAATCTTGGAATGTTATTTTGCTGACAAGTTTTGAAACTGGTTTGTTACGCTAATCTACAGCAAATGTTTGGATATTTGGTTATTGGAGGTCTGGAGATTTATCAGTATCATTTCAGGGATGCAATATAAAGCGCGAAAGGCCTGCTCGAACCATTGTGTCCACTTGACAACATCATATCGTTCGATTGCTGGCCTTATAAACAATTCTATACAATGAATGGCGGACGATCTAGCAAGTTTTATTGAGTCACAGAAAGGAAAGTTGGAAAAAGAAAGAGCAGAAATATTGCGTACTCAAGAAAGTGAGGTGAGATTACTTTGCATGTGATTATTCTAGCTCAGCTGCTTTCTTGTTTTGGAGGCGGGAAAACTTTTTTCCTTGTTTCTTTTAGTTCAGTTTAGTTGGCTTCTCTAAGATCGCCTCGGTGTAAGAACCTGTAAAACTCACGAGTGACGTAAAACAAAGGGAACAAAGAAGTCGACACAATAGAACCTAGGAAAACATAGGGTGCGAAACAAAGAAAAAGTTCACAGGATCATGTCTTCCCTGCTAGCAGAGGTCTCTCACGACGAGTGAGAGACCTCTGCTAGCAGGCAAGATCATGTCGTGTAAATCTACAGTTTTGGCTCTAAGCAGAAGGAATTGATTTTAGCAATACAATCGAAACAATTCTTTTGAGGGGTATTACACTATCTGGGAAGACAAGCAAATTTCATGGACATGTATATCCATACTAGAAATTAAAGTGGGTGGAGAAAATTCAGAAAGTTATTTGATGAGGAATGCCATTATCAGATGCACTGTATGAGAATCATTTGAAAATTCTGAGTACGACTTCCATTTAGAACACAAACAAGGTTTCATATATAGCCAGAGAGGCGGCGTCAAAATCATTGAACTGGGATGAACGATGATACCGGTTACGAGAACCCTGTGGTCTACCAGGATGTCTTGTGATGTGAGCCACAGTATAAATCATGTGACAAAATTTCAAGCGCTATCATGTGGAAAGGATTCCAAGATGAAATCGAATGCTTGTACGCTATAAAACTAGTTTTTGATCCTTTGATACCTCGTTTATGTTCAAATACACTGAAAAAGTAGCTTAGTAAATTTTATGTGATAATCAGTTTTGTGCTTGTATTTCAGGTCAGCATAGACCACAAGACGCGTCAGACCATTGAAGAAGTCATGAAGGAACCAGATCAGACGGTCTATGACCATGCGCAACGTCACTTCTATTACGTCATGTAGCAGGACTGTTACCCAAGATTCTTAGTGTCAATTGTATTCAAGGCATTTTTGATGAGTAGTGACTGATGACGTGTTTCAACACAACCACTCAATTTGCTCTTACAGTATATGAATAGACCATTTTATAGTTGTAGATGGAAATGAAGCTGGAGTTGACCTTATTTTGAGACAACCCTTCTTGCTTTCTTATGTAAATCATGTTGTTCTTATGCTAACTAGTATTTTTCCACATAATTTCCATAAGAAAACAAAGGGGGTTTGCATTAAAACAAGGTCAACCTTAGCCTCACCTTGACTCGAAGGCTAGGGTACAAAGCCCATAACAGTAAAATGGTCTATTTCAAAGGTCCCAACCACACAACAAGAATTTATGATGCTATTGAGAAAGGAGATTGTAAATATTGAACCAAGAATGTTTAGAAAAGTGAAATATTAATAAATAATACAGTCCATATTTCTCGGATCATTTCATCCGTCCCATCATAAAAATTTATCAAAAATTCAACAAATTGGGACTATTTCCCTTGTAAATGAGAATCAATGTACACGATTTTTTAAGTTGTGTCCTCTTTATCGAATAATCCCATGATTCCTCTCTCCTCACCTATTGCCTTTTTTTTGCAGAAAAGGACTGTTTTCGCAGACACCATTTTCACATTTTTGTTAAAGTATGATTGTAGCTAACACAAAATTGTCAAATTTTAGAAGACGTAAGTATTGTGAAGTAATTTATTATTTTTATCCAGTTTTGATAAGGTACAAAAATTGATTTACAAATCGGCTACATTCTTATTATAGTACGTGAATAAAATCCATCAGGAACACTATCGCCACAAAACCTGCTTGATGGCATTTCTTATCTTTGATTCTTCTCTGAAATAAAACAGCAACCAAATTCTTCCTGGTTTCTTGCTTCACATATTTATCTGATATCCGGTCACCTCACCACCAAGACTAGAACTTAGCTTTATTGTCTTAAAGTTCAAAGTATACACAACAAGTGAAAAGAACTTTCATAAACAGCCATTTTCTCTTCAACGTTTCTTTGTCATATTTCAAGGAATTGACAGGTGATTGTGAAACTTTTGTGCCAGTTTTTTAATCTCTCAAATGGGAGCATGAGAAGTTTGACGCAAGGATCGTCAATTAGGATCAACAGATTCGCATTTGGGTTGAAGTCAAATTCAAATACTAAGCTTGATGAAAAAGTAAAAATCTTCGGTAAGTAATCCTAGGTATTAAACTGTGTCAATTACTTCAGAGTTATTCGTTGGTGGCGAGTTGTCTTCTTGGTTGGTGAGACGGTTTGGTGGCGAGATGACTGTACACCATTTGTCTGATTGGTTTAACGGTGTTTGTCAGAGTTAAGACGCCGAACGGTTTATGTATTGGGCAAATGTAATGCAGGGCAAGGCGTGAAATGCGTGTTCGTTTTGGTCCTTGCAAAATAAACCTACTAGTAAAGCAAAATTTTGGACAAAAGAGTGACAGTTGTTTTTAAAAAAAATGAGTAAATGGTTTACTGAAATCATATCAAATGGAATTCATATAATTATAAAAACATATTGCTGTAAACTATTCTTGCGAAAATTTTCTAGAGCGAGCAGTTTTACTATTTAATTTTTGCCCTCTGTGTTATTGTAATGGCTAATTAGTCCTATTTCGGGGTGATCTGTATAGTGCAGTGTCTCTCATTAAAAGCTGAGATTATTTTACCGTGTAATAGAGGCCTCATGTTTTCACTTCAGAAGATTTTATCTAAAGGGGCTGTGTCACAGCATTTAGTTCATTTTGTTAACATAGCCAAACACCTTTGCTAAGGCACTTTGGAACTGAACATTGGTGAAGAAAATACTTCTAAATGACAAAATCACAGCTTCTCATCCAAACAACATGCCTCCCAAGCATCATATCAAACGTTAAAAACAAAAAAAGAACTTTGAAAACCTGTTAGGCTAACAAATTTTTAAAACCCACAATGCATCTGTTTCAACCTTCTCCAAGTTTGTCTGTGCCTTCTTTTGTATTTGCCTGGTTATTTATTCTTCCTTTAATGTTCTGAGCATTTATTTTTGTTTCACTCAATTTGGTGGTAGTTCGTACGTTTTGGATTTTGGTTTAATTTTGTGACACTGCTCCTTTAAGAGCAAACTGAGCAGTGAACTAGTGCAATCCTAACCAATAAGAATTACCCTGTGCAACAAACATTTCCCATCGTCTCTTAAGTTTCTCTTCCGGTTAGTCTCTCAAGCAGCCGTGTTTGTTTGGTCATGCAAGCTCCTCCACAAGAAGAGGAGGGGAGGAGGGGATAAGGGTTGTGTGACCAGACGAAAACAGCTGCAAGGGAGAGTATTGTCCTGAAGTTATTAGTACTATGTGCCACTGGAGTAAACCTCTCTTCTATATTAGTCATCTTCGTCAGCCATAACTCCTAGACCCACTAATTCACAAAACCCCAGTTGTTCAAAAGGTGGATAACACTATCCACTGGAAAGCCCAATTCCAAACAACTGGTTTCCCTACTACTTAACCTGCTTAATACAGACACCCCATTAAAATAGACCCTTTCTATGGCCCCCCTCAGTTTCTGTATTAATGGGGTTTCAAGGTATTTAATTGGATGCTAATCAAGCAAACTACATTTAGCCTTCTTCATTCAGTGACATATGACTACAATTTGACCTTCAGGTAGTCTTTCACTGGAATGATATCAGCCGGGCCATAAATATCTTGCAACCAGACATTGACGATTTCAAGTTTGAGTGTCTGCCAATCTGTAAAAAGAAGATAACTTGGTTACTAGACGGAGTAAATGCATCACTGACATAAAAAGTATAATAAGAAAAACAGAGATGCTATGCAATGACACTGACAATGGCAGCAAAGACATAATTAATCATCAGCGTGCAAAGAAGGTCGTGTCCGATAGCCCGGGGCTAGGGGATTTTGCTATAGGGCTAGTGACAAATACAAATTTTGTTCTTAACTTGCCTGACAGGCAGGTGCTGTTTTTTGGGGAAATTCAAGTTACAGAAGAATTGTAATAAATCCTGCTAATTAAAAAAGGGTTTTTGGGCTAGTTAAAATGACTTGTGGGCTAGTACATGCTAGCTATAGCTTGCACAATTGGCAGGCTGTAAAACTGACTTTCTTTGCACCCTGATCATAAAGTAACTATAAGAAGTGAAATTTGGTGCAAAAGGTATAAAGAAAGAATGAAAACTTTTTGATAACTTACCATGATCTTTAGGCCAATATTTCATCACAGGATGTCTTGAAAACAAAGCATTTTGAGCAAACTTGATCTCATCAGGGCCAACATGAATAAGCTTTAAGTTTTAAGAGACAAGAAAGAATGAAACTTTAGAGTCCTTCAGTTAATGCATGATGTTTAAAACATTGATAAACACTCAATGATAAGAGCTGTTATTACCTATAGACCTTGTCATAATTTTGGAAGCCATCTTCTTTGATGAGTAAGCAAGCGCATGAGATATCACAGTGTTTGTACGAGAATCTAATGTCAAATAATTTCTGTAAAAAGGCTGTTCTGCAAACATTATGAATTGTAAAATAAAGCTACACAGCAAGTGATTCTACAAACAAATTTTTTGGGCCGTACCTGTGCTTAAATTTCTCCAAACGCTTGCTTTAGATTTTCCACATATTAATTTTGTCTGCAATTTTCCCAGGAAATTTTAGTCGGCATGAAGAAAAATGTTAACAGACAAATGTATAGAAAAATTTTAAAAAGTGGTTCTAGTGCATGTAACGTCCTCAAATTTTCTCAGTACAATTCATATTTTTTCAGGACAGCCGTTGTACGAAAGTTATTTCACATTAGATTCTGACACAAACACTGTAATTTCTCATGTGGTTGGCTACTCATCAAGACGGCTTCCAAAACTGTGCCAAGGTCTACTTGGAAGCAGAACATGTATACAACAAGAACACTCTTACAGTGGTGTTTAAGTCTCGCTTGCTTGGAGATTAGATCGAGAAATGAGCGGGCAATTAATTAATCTACATGAAACAGGATTTACTCACTTAAGGTTTTTCACTCCCTAGCTACTTCTGGAGATTTACTTTTTATTTGTTTCTGAATTGATTAAGTACACATGTTATACGTCTGCTGTCGCAGGCTGTACGTGTGTATAAATACAGGAAAATTCAAGGGCCTTGATTCCACAGAAATCACGTCATTGCCAGAGATCAAAAAAGGGATTTGCATGGCATGTCATTTCGATCATTGCCAAAAATGGACCGCATGCTCATCACAATGAAAGTTTACAACACCCAACCAGTTAGTCTTTTGCTAATAAAGTTTTCCTTTTTTTTCGACGACCGAAGTGATCACGTGTTCCAAAGTAGTAAATGCTTTCAAGTGTGATAGAATTCATGGACAGACGCATTCTTCGCAAAACATGCATGGCTTCGGTCATGCAACGATTCTTATTCCCAGTTTCCATGGTCTCCACTAGGAATGCCTGGGACCACAACGGCAGTTTTGTGTACTAAATATGAAGAAAAAAACCTGCTTGCAGATTATGAGTCTTGCTGCTTAGGCTAAAACATTAAAATGCAATATTTACTTACCTTTCCTGTGAGAGAAACTCGAGAGCAAAGTGGTTCCTCAGGGTCCCAGTCATGTTGCTTGCAGTAATCACTTTGTGCTTCAGAAACTGACAGACTTGCCCAGTTGTTTTCCTTTATGTTTGTGCATATAGGGTCAAAATTTGACAGATAAAAGTATGGTATCCCTGTGCTATTATCAACAGTCCCATCACTGAATGATGTAACCACACTAAAAGGAGCTCCATTCAGTGCCACAGAGATAGTTGAGATAGATCCCCAGATAGTGTTGTGCACAATGTACCTTGCTGAAGACAAAAATAATATTAAAGAGGGGAGTTTATTAATTTTAACGTGACCAAATGCAATTTTCGCCAAGATAAACTCGAGACATGGTTGACTAGCAGTCTCTAGAAGGAGATATGCATGTCGCCCTAATCACGTCACGGGGGCTCAGGGATTTTTTTTACAGCCTTTCTTTATGACTCACCTGTTTTTGCCTTTTCTGATCTTGGAGGGGGATTATAAGAAGCAGAACTTTTAACACTAGAAGTCCTGCCCCTCATCTGGTGTAGAGGCCTATCCATTGTGCTGTGATGTGGCTTGTCCTCATCTTGAAAGATTTCAAGCTCATAATAACCTATATTAAAACAATAAAAAATAGCCAAAGAAAAATCAAGTTTCACCCAGTTGTTCCAAGAGAAAATGTGGGCAGGTATAAAAGTAAAAAATTTCAGCTAAATTGTGGCTTTAACCACTTAAATCAGTGAATAACAGTCCCAATGAGCTCCTGTGGCTTACCATGTCATGAAATAACAAGTGTCTATATTGTTTCATGACTCTTCTGAAACAAAGACCCATATATGCCAACTCTCCTAGATTACCCAGAAGTCTCCCAGATACTGCACTGATCTCCTGCTCTTCCGTACGGGTCACCAAATCTTCGGGATAAAATGGACTTTTGAGCTTAGCTATGCTTTAGTCTGAAATTTAGCCCATTTAACCACTTAAATTAACCACTTAAATCAGTGAATAACAGACCCTATGAGCTCCTATGGCTTAACCCATTTGCCCCTGAACCGCCCGTGCGGATCCACGTCCTTTCTACCGCTTGTGATGTCATCAGTTTTAACAGTCAGGGGCAACTTTGTCTGCTAACTTCTGCAGAGTGAAGAGATCTTTCAAACCATACCAGAATGAGCACAATTCAGTCAAGGACACCGGGGAAGAAGGACAAAAACCATGTGACATTGACCTGAAAATCTCCATGAAAATCTTGTTCCATTGCCCACCTACCTTTCCTTTCACCTAATCATAAGATCCTAAAAACTTTCCTTAAAACTCTTCCCACCAAAATGAAGCCTACTAAATGCCCAGCAAGAGAAAAAAAAAAACGAGGCAAGAAAAGTGAAAAAAGAGGGGAGGATCAGAGAAAGCAGAAAGTAAAAGTCAAAACTGTTGTGTCACTTTTAAACCCAATTGCTTTCTGCAGATGCCCGAACTTTGCAAGCTAATAGTTTGCATCTGGATCAGAAGGCCATGAAGTGTACGACCTGTGAACAGTTTTGTGGTAAGTTTTAGCTCTGTGTAGCACAACAGTGACCAGAAAACCACTCGACTAGCTTCAAAACACCTTTATCAGCAAAATCTCCTGGAGCGAGTGGGTTAAAAGGGCCAGTACTTATTACCATATCATGAAATAACAAAAGTGTCTGTATTATTTTTTCACTCTTCTGATAAGGTACCCTGCGAACAGAGTCTCCTTCAATCTTCCTAGATAAGTTTGGAAGAGGATTAGGAACCTCTGCCGACATCCTCGATAATTCATATTGAGCATGCTCCAAATTCAAATTTGTCTGTGACGTCAATCAAACCGTTACCGTAGCATCCACTGTGTTTGTCAGCAAATGTAAATGTTAGCGGGAATGTAACAGTTTGTTTTCACCCTTCCGTATCTGTGTTTCCTCTGGATTTGGAAGCTCTATAGGCACAATTTCACCTTTGGAATCTAACCTTGCCACGTTTCAGTATAAAGAAGTTAAAAAAACTTATAACTAAGGTAAAACTTACGGTGCTTTTCAAAAACAAAGCAATGAACCTTCAAACACAGAGACACACCAAAGGGATCAAAATCCACCAGTGACAAATCACAAATAAACCACGGCCTTTCGTTTCCTAAGAGGTTCGCTAAAATGTAAAGGTCAGAAAGCGAAGAAAGCGCCGCTTCTTCAGATTGTGATTGACGTTGCAGAAAAACACAAAATCCAAAGACGCTTTTGGCATCACAGGTCGGGTATTATCCAAAAAACAGCTGTAAAAGCATCGATCATTTAAATGCAACATGGATTCTGTAGCCTCATGATCTTATTTTGAAACATAGGCACGTTCAACGTGCATGAGCTATTTTGAATGCTTCAGTGTAACTATAATACTTCGGTGTAACCTTACCAAGAGTGATGAATCTACCTTTTTCATCCTAAATGTAGGTTTGGTTTTTGTGCGAAATTGGGTATTGCGCTACATAAATGAAAACGCGAAACGCTCAGCTGAGTCGATCCTCAACCTATGTATTCACTTTCCTCTGTCTTTCCCAGTTACATCTGGTGCAAGTTAAACAAATTGCTAAAGTAAAATAAATTTCTACTCACCAAACGTTGATTAGAAGGAAAACTCTAAGGTTTCCTCGGAGTTTCTTAAGCCAAAATGTGGCTCATCGAATACTGAATAATTACGAAATACCAGGATTTTTATCATTGAGGTAGATGGTTGCGTCATCATAATTCACGAGGTTTTCACGTGCGATTCTACTCAGTGAAACAGTCTTTAACTCCGACAACTTATTTCTTCATGTTTTAAAAGCTATTGCTTCTTAAAAGGCAAGAGCCTTTTTTAAGGCATTGGTTACGAAACGAAACAGGTCTTCATACGTCCAAGTTACTATTTATCATTGTGAAAAGCCAATCTGCATGAGATGTACAGTCACGCAGCTGGCACGTGAAAGTGTTGGACTTTGTCCCCTTTCGTGGTTCGTACGTGAGGGAATTCGAGTTATCACACAATAAACTAGTAAACAGAATTATAAAAATAACTCTTGCACACAATTTGCACGTGAAGATGTTGGTCTTTGGCCCTTTTACAATTAAATGCGTTAAAAATTAAAAAAAGGCAAATTGTTTACTACAAAATTTTCTCAAAGCGATTTTAAGAAATCACCTCGGCTTCATTACAACATCTGTAATTAAATTATGTTTCATGCAACGTCAAGGTTGATAACCTAACATTTATTAACATTTGTGAGACAGTCTTTAACTCCGACAACTTATTTCTTCATGTTTTAAAAGCTATTGCTTCTTAAAAGACAAGAGCCTTTTTAGGGCATTGGTTACTAAACGAAACAGGTCTTTATACGTTCAAGTCACTATTACTATTGTGAAAAGCCAATCTGCATGAGATGTACAGTCACACAGATGGCACGTGAAAGTGTTGGACTTTGCCCCCTTCCGTGGTTCGTACATGAGGGAATTCGAGTTATCACACAGTAATCGAGTAAACAGAATTATAAAAATAACTCATACACACGATTTGCATGTGAAGATGTTGGTCTTTGGCCCTTTTACAATTCGTACTTAAAAAAAACGCAAATTGTTTACTACAAAATTTTCTCAAGCGATTTTAAGAAATCACCTCGGCCTTATTACAACATCTGCAATTAAATTATGTTTCATGCAACGTCAAGGTTGATAGCCTAACATTGATTAACTTCCAAGAAAATTATCAAACTGCCGAAATATATTTCTGCTCATATCATGTTACTCCACTCAATAAAGCAGTAACTAATTATTGTGTCAACTAGCTTCTTCCAATTTTATTCCCTAACGCTACTGTTTCTACTTAAGTTTATACGCATCTTTACTAAATAAAATACGTTTCAATAACTATAATTCTTAGTATGCAGGAAGGATGTATCATGTTGTTCACTTATTATTCCTTTTTGTTGTTGTTTTGCCGGAACGAAAAAGGTCTGTTGAACTTTGTAAGCGAGAGAATAATATTTCTACAGCTTGTTTACAGGATTAACAATACTCGGTACAGCTTTTAAAAAAATAAGCTGCTTTTCAAACTTCTAAAACCACAATTTATAGGCCGCATACTTTCGAATTAAAGTCCATATCTAAATATCAATTATTGCTTCACTGGAAGAGCTTTGAAAATATATGATCGTTTATGCTCTACCTTGAAGCAGGTGAAACACAACTCATAAATACGTGCGTGGTACCGTTCGCGATAGCCGAATTCGGTCAGAAATGTCTTGAAGTAGCATCCACACTAAAATATGAACCCTTAAACAGCTGCATCACTGTACACAGCGTTTGAATCATGAAGATATTTAATATAATGTTTCCAAACACCTGTAGCCGTAATAAAAGACGAACAAATTGTAAAGAATCAAGATGGCGGTCTTAAAGTGCCCTTGTTCGACCTTTAGCAATGTGATTTTTAAGTAGATGCCAAGATCTCATTGGTTCCTTAGCATCAACTCATAGTATCTTCAACCTTATTGGCTCTTGCAACAAACATCCGAACATACAAAGTTACAAAGATACAAAGTTACAAAGTTACAAAGTTACAAAGATACAAAGCCACAAAGATACATACGCTCACACCACTGACATATGAGCTATTTTTTCAAAATAGCTCAATAAATGTTATGAATGAGCAAACACCAAAGAATAGGCATACTGATATTGTTTCGTAAATATTTTTATTCAAAACCCATTTGTTTATCCTTCCAAGAACTTCACGTAACAGTTACTGGATTGGGGATCCGTTCACGCAAGTAAAATCGGCTAAGCACACGGTTAAATTCAAAACAAAATCCATCTCAAGTCTGGGTGCATTTTCCAATTTTTCTAAAACTGCACGTTCAATCTATATTTTTCTCAAAATTCCTGCATGAAATTGAAGTGGCAGCTGTTTGTTTTGTTATGGAGCGTGGGCGCAGAAAGAGTCAGCAAAACTCCAGAATATGCGTGCGTGCACAGGTAAAACTGGTTTATCCAGTACGAAACTTGTCTGACTCATCCAAATCGCTGGATGATCGGCAGATCAAACAGCCTCCCACGCAGACGTTCTTAGGGGTTCGTCACGCGTTCCTGCCCCACGAACGTCTGCTGACTTGAGCGGAAAAAATGTAGACCAATCACAGCAGACTTCCAGATCTGGGAAGTGCACTTTGGTCCTTGAGAAATTTCGCGCTTGACTTTATAGCTCCAGAAAAGATCAGAAAGGTATCATGAAAGGTGAAGACCTTACAGTTTTAGAACAAACTACTCAGTTAACTCACAAGCCTTCGTACTAGTGGCTACCCTCACAATCTCATTGAAAAAAAATTACCTCGGAGATGAAATTTGCTGAACGGAAGTCGGCTTTACTACAAAACACTAACCTGTAAAAAAAATTTTGCCTTTTGTTCAGTCCTACAAGCAACCTTTTGCTTGCGCAAGCCCCAAGTTGAAAAAAGAGGAGTTATGAGCAAATGACTTCCCCAATGTTCCAATCCAAAGCCTTTACAGAGAGAACACGAACAAGGTACAAAAATACCCAACGCTTATCTGCTAGATTTTCGTTCGGAGCAAAAATCTTTGGTCACGCATCACACTTTACAGCGCTTGTACGTATGTGTTTGGCTTGTCAACACTTTGACTTCAACAGCGCCGATTGGATCTCCTATAATATTAATCTGCATGTGATCACCAGCTGATATTTACGAACAAAGGGACAGGAATTTATCTTTCGGTTCAGCAGACGTTCGTGGGGCAGGAACGCGTGACGAACCCCTAAGAACGTCTGCGTGGGAGGCTACAGATCAAAGGAACTTGAAGATGTCGGCAGAGTCGCTTCCTCCTTCCCGACTCATTTAGGAAAGATCGAAGCGACTTTGCTAGCAGGGTACTGATTAGGTGGACCATGGAAAATGATGTGACCAGGATCGGGATTTGGCCGATGAAAACGTTCGGGATTTCGAGATAAAGGGAAAATTTTGGTAGTGATGGCGGGATTAAAGAGCCGAGGCTGGCATCTCTGAGTAAATATAAAAGTACCTTCAATAAAGGGGTGGCGGACAGTAAATGGAATGGCCCAATATAAGGATAAACAAACCTCCGTTCAGTGACTGCTGATCATATCCCGTGGTTTGAAAACCATAGTAGGCTACCCGCGCAAACAAACACATTCCCAGTACTAGCACAAGTACCAAAAGAACAACATGGCAGGCAAAAAACTTGCTATGCGTATGACGTTCTCGTTTTAAAGTCACCAGAGCTTCGTCCTTCTCTTCTGTGGAAGAAGGACCTTCCTCCAGGAGCTTATCAATTAGCTTGGCTTTATCCTTGTAGAAATCCATCTCAAATGCCTGTTGTTCACACAATGAATCTCAACTCGGAAAAGTACTCCTTTCAATACGATGTCTCGTAACATGGCCCGATAATAGACAAAAAAATCACGAGACTCTCACAACTGCAAAATGCAAAACCGTTTTTGATTGGGTCGGGTCTCACTTAGCCCTAACCAATCAAAAATAAGCTTTTTTCATGTACCAAAGGGCGTTATGGGTATTGGTTACCAAAAATATGGCGGATCACCCAAAACAATTTTGGAATGTTATTTTGCTGACAAGTTTTGAAAGTGGTTTCTTACGCTAATCTACAGCCAATGTTTGGATATTTGGTTATTGGAGGTCTGGAGATTTATCAGTATCATTTCGGGGATGCAATATAAAGTGCGAAAGGCCTGCTCGAACCACTGTGTCCACTTGACAACATAATTGTTGAACGTCTCATATTCATCGTTATTTTCCGTTCGATTTCTGGCCTTATAAACAATTCTATACAATGGCGGACGATCTAGCAAGTTTTATTGAGTCACAGAAAAGAAAATTGGAAAAAGAAAGAGCAGAAATATTGCGTGCACAAGAAAGTGAGGTGAGATTACTTTGCATGTGATTATTCTAGCTCAGCTGCCTTCTCGTTTTGGAGGCGGGAAAACTTTTTTCCTTGTTTCTTTTCGTTGGCCCCTCTAAGATCGCCTCGGTGTAAGAACCTGTAAAACTCACGAGCGGCGTAAAACAAAGGAAACAAAGAAGTCGACACAATATAATAGAACCTAGAAAAACAAAGGGTGCGAAACAAAGAAAATGTTCACAGGTTCTAACCCCCAAGATCAGGTGCTGTAACTCTACAGTCTTGGTTCTAAGCAGAAGGAATAGATTTTAGCAATACAATTAAAACAATTTTCTTGAGGGGTATCACACTCTCTGGGAAGACAAGCAAATTTCATATTCATGTAATTGTATATCCATACTAGAAATTAAAATGAGCAGAGAAAATTCAGAAAGTTATTTGGAGAGGAATGCCATTATCAGATGCACCGTATGAGAATCATTTGAAAATTCTGAGTACGACTTCCATTTAGAACATAAACAAGGTTTCATATATAGTCAAAGAGGCGGAGTCAAAATCATTGAACTGGGTTGAGCCATGATGCCGGTTACGAGCTCCCTGTGGTCTACCAGGATGTCTTGTGATGTGAGCCACAGTATAAATCATGTGACAAAATTTCAAGCTCTATCACGTGGAAAGGATTCCAAGATGAAATCGAATGCTTGTACACTATAAAAATAGTTTTTGATCCTTTGATACCTCGTTTATGTTCAAATACGCCAAAAAAGTAGCTTAGTAAATTTTATGTGATAATCAGTTTCTTTTTTATTGTTTATTTTTACGGATTGCCATTTGAGTATGCAGCAGCTAGCATGTACTATCCAAAAAAATTTTTGATGAGCAGGATTGAGTACAGTACCTCTGTAATTTGAATTCCCCAAAAGACTTCTTGCCTGGTAGGCAAGTTAAGGATAGAATTCACTAGCCCAATAACAAAATCCATGATCCCCAGGCTATTTCACACTACTCTCTTTTCTTGCTGAATAAGGCCCTGAAAAGTTAATCAAAATATTTCCAATAATACAAAGTTTGTCGTTGTCCATGAAAGATAAAGTAAATTTTTGTGTTATACTTGGATATCCCTGATTTTAAACTTTTGATTACTGCCATCAGGACCGCAGCAGAACAAGCCCAAGAGGATATAAACCTGACAACCGGTAATATTACCTTAGGGACTTGTCAGAAATTAGCAGGGGGGGAGGGGGGTGGGAATTTTAAATTTGGGTTCAGAAATGAGGTGACCCATCCCTGCAATGGGAGTGAAATTTGCTAACCCTCCCCTTGACCTTGACCTAAAATATCATGATCCTTCCCCTCTTGTATAAGTGATAAAGTCTAGTTCTTGCAATACACTATGGTCAGTCAGTATTATGAAAGCTCAAAATATATTTCTAATTTGTTCTTTTTAATGCTATACACATGCATTTTAGATGACAACATTATTTTAAATTTTAGAGTCTGACTCTGATTCTGACAGCTGATCACTCGACTCTCCTATTTTTCCCAGGTTTTTTTACAAAATAAAGAACCTCCTTTTTCTTCTATGGGTGAACTTCTACATGATTACGGGCATATATTTGCATGACCCTCCCTCTTTTAACAGCCCATTTTTCATGATCCCTCGCTTTTCTGAGTCTCAAAAAGTTGTGACCCTCCCTCTGTTTCCACCTCCCCTCCCTCCTGCTAATTTCTGACAAGTCCCTTAGTGAAATATAATCCATATTATAATATATTATTTTTCAATGTTAAATTAAGCTGGATAAGTGATGAAAAGTTATCTTTCTGAAAAATTTTGAATTTTTTAGAATTATTAAGAGAGTATGAATAACAAGTCCTTTTGCCAGGGCTCTTGCTAAGATCTGGGTATAATTATTATGAATCAGTAGGCAGCGAATTGAACGGCTAGGAAGTCCCTTTGGTTGTACTGCCCTTTTGTTTCCTCCACAGGGAAATCCCTGGCCTCTGCCCCTTAGTAATGGCCTTGTTCTAAAGTCCCTAAATTTGTTGATCAGGCCCCAGTTGTTCAAAAGTTGGATAGCAGTATCCACCGGATAAATCACTATCCAACGGATAAGTGTTAGGGAAACCAAAACGAGCTATCCAGTGAATAGTGATTTATCCAGTGGATAGCGTTACCCACATTTTGAACAACTGGGGCCAGTTCTGAAGTTAGTAAACAATGCAAAAATTTACATTGTATGTTTATTGCTAGTTTAAGTGAAATAGAGATACATAACAATTATTCACCGAAGTGGAGGTGGCTAGTCGTGGGTATTTACCGAACTGCGAAGCAGTGAGGTAAATATCCACGACTAGCCACCGACACTGAGGTGAATAATAAATTGTTTTAGTATATACTAAAACAGTGAGATAATTGAGCACAAAAATGATGATTTTTAACTCAAATACTGTTGCCAACGATTACAATTTTGGCGCGTAATAACCGGGCGGCCGCGGCCATCGCTTTTTCTTGCCGACAATTAAAACTTTTGAAGGCATTTGTTTAGCTCTTGTGGGGAAATTTCTTCAAAAGGAGTTGTGAATTCTTTTTGTATTTAAAATCATTCTATAAAAAAAGATTATTAAATTTAGTTTTAAGCTTATTATTGAACAACTCAACTAAATAAAGTAATGCAAGACTTCCCTGAGAGGTTTTTGTCCGGGTACTCCGGTTTTCCCCTCTCCTCAAAAACCAACATTTCCAAATTCCAATTCGACCAGGAATCAGGTAGACGAAGAACCACTATGTGGATGTGCTACCTGCAAATTGTTATTTATTTATTTATTTAAATTTAATTTGCATTTGTAAACAAAAGACTTTTTCACCGGTTTTATCGATAAATTCAAGTAAAAAAGACAAAGCTTTATCTGTTAAAACTTCCAAACCGAACTTCGTCACCTTCTTCGTGTATTTCGGAAACAGCTTGCTTGATTAGTTGTGAAATTTCTTTGTTTGTTTACAGCAGCAAACCAGAAAGGCATTTTGCTCGCAACTTACGCAAGTTTGGCGTCGCTTGCTTGGAGGAACTGGAGGTGAATCAGTGAATAGTGCGGGATATTCACTGATTGAGTAGCCAATCAGAGTGCGCGAAAAACACTATCCACTGTTTTAGTATATACTAAAAGAAATTATGTAACTTTGTAATGTCCCGTTTGTATTTGTTTAGGCATATTCATGAAGGATCTCCTCCAGGACCTGAGACCAGGGTCAAAGCTAAAGGTACCGTAATGTCAGATGACTTACTTTTATTTTCTGTGGTGTAATCCATACACTTTTTTTTAAAATTTTCAAATGAACAGGTCAGTCTCACACAGTTCTTCTCATAGTTGTTATTCTTGCACTCATTGTCCAGTTGGTGAGTGCTCATAATTAGTCAGCTGTCTTTTTTTATAAAATCTTGGTGGCTAAATGAGTGATGTGTGGTATAGTAGAAAACTAATTCTGCGCTTCAAAGATCATGGTATTTATTAAAATAAACAGTTAAGCTGTTTAGTGCAGAGAGTTAATGAGGTGTTTTACTGCAATACTGTACCTTAGTGTACTTCCTCACAAAGCAATGTCCTGTCTCCTAGCTATAATAATAATAATATTACTATTATTCATGAATTAGGGCTAGGGGACAAAAAAAAAATTGAGAATCAATGTAGGTTAAAAAATTTTTAACCTGCATTCAATTTTGACTTGTACAGCATGTATCTGTTCATTTGTTTGTCCGAGTCTTTTAGGGAGAGGGGAGTCTAAATTTGATGATGCCAAAACTACGTTTGTTATTGCATTACCGTATTTTCTCAATTTAATGCCCCCGGCGTTTAATTCAAACTTGGCCTTGTGGACCGGCGTTTGTTTGAATTTTGCAGTTTATTCGAACTTACTGTTACTAAAGAAAAGTTTTTATGCCTTTTTCTTGACAGCCGTGTATCTTGACTTTATACCGTTAGTTCATTATACCACAGATAAACGTCTGGGGGGGGGGTGTATCTACAACTTCCCCTCCAAGACCCGGCATTTATTCGGGGCCTGGCGTTAAATCGAGAAAATACGGTACTTAAATGATAAAAATTAATTTGGTTTTACTTAGATATTCCATACAATAACCATAGATAAGGAAGATTGAGGAAATGTCTCATTGCATCAGGTTTTCTTCCCATATACTTCCCGTAGCTTAAAATGTGTCAAAATATATGCCCATAGCAGTTCCACATCATCATCCAACCTTCCCATACCATTCCCACATATGGGTCAGATATGGCCCAAACTTTCCCATATCATTACCATACCTTTGCTTTGGTAAGGGTATATTCAGAAACTAAATTAGAGTTATCCTTCATTTATATTATTGGTCATTGGTTAGTTTTTTTCCGAGATAGGATTTCTAGGATGTATTGTAATCTGATGTGCTTGTGGGTTTGTTTTTATGCAGCTCCTGTTGAAGATGACAGTAATCTTGGTGGACTTAATTTAGGTGGTTATGAAAAGCATCAGCAAAAGTTACGGCAAGAGAGAAAAGAGGAATACAGAAAGTATCTGGCAGAGGTATCGTATGTATCATGATTATAGTCAAGTTGAAAGAAGTCACAACCCATGTTTTTGTACAATTTATTAGAACTAACTTTCTCTTTTTTAGCAAATCAAATAGAATGAGATTGGAATAACTAAGACTTGGAAAAGGAAATAATCATAATTATTATTCATTCAAAATATTTCTCCATTTCTGATTGGCTAAATCCCACACATAATTCATAATAACCAGCTATTGTTGACCAAATTTGGAGGAATTTTGCGATATGTGAACTGATGATGTCAGTGGTGTAGCAAATTGCCAGATTATTGAACAGTTAACCGAGAAGACCTGGGGACGAGGTTGAATTGTTTTGGTAGTGAATACAAGATGGCGGAACATTAATTCACGTTGGCAGAACAGTTCCATGGTGCAAGAAAGTCATTTTTAAAGCTTGCCATTCGGGCAAGCTGAAGCTAGCATATACAAGCCCAAACGTCATTTCAACTAACCGAAAAATGTTTTGATGAGCAGAATTGATTTCACAGTTCTTCTGTGATTTGAATTCCTCAAAAGACTTCACTTGCCCAATAGCAAAATCCACTAGCTCCGGGCTATCGGACACTACTTTCTTGGCACGCTGATTTCATGAGGAAAAAATAGGTGAACTTTTGGCTAAAAATATAGCAAGAACTACATAGCTTGTTTTTAAACTAGGAATTATTTTGAATAAATAATAAGCAATAATTCAGTAATTATTATTGAATTCAGCTTTTGTTTTGGAGATCTCGGAGGGTGTTCTCTGCCGAGGCCGCATAACACCCTCCTTGATCTCCATAACTCTTCAGATAATACTCAGCCTCATTCAATAATTGCTAATTATTTTATGATGTACAGTAGAACCTCTATTTAACAAAGTCCTTGTGATAACAAAGGATTTTCTTTGTGCCAGTAACAGTAAACTTTATTATACGGAACATTATAGCGGACAAATTTTGCCTGTCCCCTGGTCCTTCATTATACTAAGGTTCCACTCGAGCAGAATTAAAATATGAAAATGCGCCTTTATACCTCTCCAAGCATGAGGTGCTTTAATACAAGGGAAATGCTGAAACACAGCAAGTTTTGCAACTTAACCATGAAATCGTTGTCTCGTAAATTAAGTTATTAAACTCATAATTATTATTATTGTAATGAATTTTAAATATTCAAGATATTTTGGTTCTAGCTGCTTGAGTGAGGTGGCGAGGTTGTATCTGGGTTGCTAATACCTGGTACAACTGAAAAAAAAAGGGTTTCAAAATGAACAAAGAAGTACATAACTGTAGATTTAAAAACTGCAGTTAGTAGAGCCTGGAACCTCTACCTGGATGCATGAAAACTGGCTGGTTTTTGCCTCAGAAAGACACAAAGAAGAAAAATACACAAGCAAACCTTGTCCATTTTTCTATAGCTCCATGCAAATGAAGAAATTAAATACATTATTATTAGGTTACTAAAGGAAAAGATGAAGCTCAAAATACCCTCTTTTATTTGAAAAGTCTTATTACCAAATTTTAACACTCACGTTGTACCTTTTTTTATATACTACACAGCTTTTTAAAGAGGCACTCTTTTTTTCCCTTATTATTCATGGTACTGTGTGTATCTGTTTTTGTTGTAGAAAAACTTCCGTTCCACTGGTAGATCTGACGCTGTCATATCAGAAAGCAGTAGATCACCCTATCCTGGTCTCAAATCCACTCAGGTCAGTTCAGATTTGTTAAATGTATCATCCCCTTTATTTTATTTTCAATTATTGTTTGGCACTAAATTTCTGCTGGAGTTTAATTTTGCTGATACACTGTTGGTGATTTTTGAATTTTTTTGTGAACCAATATTTGTGATTGTTAAAACTGATTTTTCTTGCCGGAAATAAATATTTGCAAGTTGCAAGCACATTCCTTTATAATTATTATGTTTGCATTACAAGCAACTGGAAATTCCCATTTAGTACCAGTATTTTTGAAAAAATTGGATTTGTCCAACTTGGGTATTTATAAAGAAATTAGAGTGGTCATGGTCTTCCCTTTGTTTTCTGTTTGCTGGGCTTTTGGACATTTGAGGAAATTTTTTGTAAGCTCTAAAAATTGGTATAAAGGCCACGGTTTGATTCACACTGGCAGGTTCAAACAGGGTAATTACCTTTGACCTTATCAATCTTACTATTTTACCTAATGGTAATTCAGTGATAAACTTGATCAACATATAAAGCAGTTAAAGAAAGAGCTGTAAAAATCAAGGCTTATCCTGACCAAAATTTAAGCTAAATAATTATGTGAGCTTAGACTGCATAATCCTGAGTCATTTATCCTGACTTGGTGCAATGCTAGATCTGTGAAGTTGAGGTTTGTCATGATCACAGCTAAAGAGCGGGCCACTTTGTTGTGATGGGTACAGATAATTAATGATAATTGTTAATTTTGTTGTTCATAACTGTATGTGTTAGTCTCCACTTTTACTTTGGTCCCATGCTTAATTGTAACAAATTGATTCAAATGTTAAGGTTTACAGTTATTAAACAACATTGCTACATCCAGCTATATTTTATTTAAGCCTCTATTGGCTACTAATATTAATGATAATATTTTACTTAATAGACCACTGAATTTAGAACAATTCAAAAGTTTTCATAAAGATATGCTTGAAAATAATTATTTTACCCCTTAGATTCTTTCTGCAAGATTCTCAAACTATGACAGATCGATTCTCGAGACCATTCGTAATAATTCTTCGAATTTCTAGTAACTTTATATGTGGCTTGTATCACAGATCATTTCTGCCCTTGTTCTTCCCTACATTTTTTATAATAGTCAAATTCAACTTAAATACCACTCTAAATATAAAGGTTTTTCCTTCCTGACCTTTGTGCAGAAAAGTGCTAATTTTTCATAAAATGGAAAGGTGGCAGGCTGTTGATAAAATGCTGGTCATATTTTGTGAATTTTTTGCCTGTTGTAAACCCTGTTTACATTATTGTACTTACCAGTTGAGTCTTGTAGCTGCTAAATAAATACTAACAGGTTTGAGGCAGTGTTGCTGTGCTCTCTTTTCTCCATTTTGGGATGTAACGATGAGTCTAACATAGGGCATAAATATTTAGACATTGACTTAAATTTGCCTTTTGGGTAGACTAGGTAAACACTGCAGTTGCAATTTTAACATGTAAAATGGCACTTTTTGTTTCTGAGCAAATAGATGCCATTAAAACACTTAGTTTTTGAAAGCTGAGATTGATGTTTTTTTTGGGCAACTTTTTAATAACATTGTAACATTAGTGTTATGTTTATTAGTAACCTAAACCTTCTAGTAAATTACTGAAAGTATTAAAATCACATGTGGAAATATACCAAGCTGAATTTAAGTTAATTTAAAATTGCAGAAAAAAGTCATTAAAGATTCAAAGGTTGCACTGAGCATCACAATTATTTGCATATTTTTCATACATTGACTAGTGTTAAATGCAAAATTGAGTCTGTGGAGCTCTTTCTGGGATAATAAGTATTAATATTCTTTGAAATTAATGCAGGCTATCCGGCTCCCTCAAAAACTTTGTTCCCATCAGCAAACAAGGGTGAAATTAATGAATTGAAGTACTTAATGTACTGTGTATTTTTTTCAAACCAAGGCAAAATCACATGGGAAAAACTTCCTTTTTATTGTGTCCTAGTCTTCATATGAATGGCCACACTAAAATATGTGGATATAATTATTTCATTTAGAATTTGGGCTCATTTTAGGTTTCAAGTCAAAGAAGTTAAAAATATTATGTAAATTTGGCTGTCAGAAAAGACAAAGAAGAATGTACTGTAATATTGACTTTGAGACTGTTTAAAATTCCCATCATTTTCGTTTTATTTTACTCTTGGCAGTAAAAATATTAAGCAAAGTTAACTATCTTAAAAGTGAGAGTATAGAATGAGGAGGGAATCAAAGAAGTTTCTATGCGTCATTCAGTGACAATATATGACATGTATATGGACTTGGCAAAATTGGAGTTCTTCTCTGAAGTGACACGTACTGTGGAAAGGTTTGGACTTCTTGGAGGAAAGTTGAGCATGCCAAGCAAATATCTTGATACTTACAGGCAATGTCTGGTAATAAGTTTGCTCTTGAATTGTTTAGCTATTGATTTCTGGTAAGCTTAAGCAACAGAAACCTTTATAGAGTAAGTTTTTATGAAAATCAGGAAATGTTTTAGAATATTGGCGAAACATCTTGCTTGTTTATATTATGTGCTGGTGATTATGGTCTCAATGAAGACTTACGTTTTACAACTGTACAATGCAATATTTTTTTATGAGCAAAAGTTAAACAAAGATAAAATGATCATGAATCATGCACTTAAAATACTGATGTTAATAAAATTGAAAAGCCAGGCAAGGTGTGCCCAGTGAGTGATTTCGTTAGCACATGTTATACAAATTCTTTCAACGTACCGTTAGTTTTAAAAACTTCTTTTTCAGGGACACTCAGTAATCAGTTGGTAATGAATTTGTGGTTGTGCAAACATCAGTGCTTTAAGTTTTTTAATATTCACTAAAGTTTTGAAAATTGCAATGCGTAAGAAAGTAAATACGTTATTGACTTTCCTCGTAGAGGCTTTTGAAAGACATAACATACAAAAATAAAAGATAAAAACTACTTTGAGGACACTAAAAGAAGTATTGATTTAAATCGATTTAAAACCTATTTTAAAACTCTAAGAAAAATATTCACACTGAAATTTAATTGACACAATAAAGTGCTTAAGAATCTATAAAATCCTTGACAAGTTTATTCTTGAGATTGAACTTAAAGGTAGATACTGACTCAAGAGTTTTGAGATAGCTATCCACGGAGTTCCAGATACCGACTGTTCTATAATAAAACGTCCTCTGACCACTAACAGTCTTGAAAAGTGGAATGTTCAGCATCTCTGAACTTCTCGTGGCCCGCCCGCTTCTTTCTTCTTGCTTAATGAACTGTGAGGAAAGGTACTCCGGCACGTGGGATGTTAGGCATTTAGAGGCCATGATAGAGTTCCTAAAGTATAATAAAATTGAGTTACTACTGGTAGCCATTTACATGTAAGCTCTTTTAAAACTGGTGTGATGTGATCATATTTGCACATACTGGTTGCAATTTAAGCGGCAAAGTCTTTACCACAAACTAAACCATTTGTAATAGTTAGTAGGATGTGTTTGTCAAAAACATGCTTTGTGCAACTTATTTGACTGAGACAAGACATAAAGAAGGAGACAGTTTCGGTAAATGTGTTGGTCATAGGTTAGGTTAGTGTCCAAAATCACCCCAAGGTCTTTAGCTGTGTGTTACGGTACAAGTTCCAGCGTGCAAAGAAAGTACTGTCCAATAGCCCGGGGCTAGTGGATTTTGCTATCGGGCTAGTGAATTCTGTTTTTAACTTGCCCGACGGGCAAGTGATGTTTTATGAGGAATTTGAATAACAGAAGAACAAAACGTTTTTGGGGCTAGTTGAAATGACGTCTGGGCTAGTAAATGCTAGCTTCAGCTTGCCCGAAGGGCAAGCTGTAAAAATGATTTTCTTTGCACCCTGAGTTCTCTTCCCATTAAAGTGAGGCTGGGAGTGACCAATCTGGAATGTATTTGCCTGCTACCAGACACCATAAGTTTAGTTTTGCTTGGTTTCAACAGTAAAAGGTTGTTGGAACACCATTGGCCTACATGTATGATATGCAAGTCATCTCTTATTGACTGCGGTCACATCTATGACGTAACTAAAGTGTAACTTAAGTTAGTGTCAAGTTATGTGATGTCATACCTAACTGTAGTTAGTGCTTTTGATCAACATTGTGGTCACACCATGCAGTTAACAACAGTTTGTGCTAATTAGCTTATGTAAATTTTTTGTTTGTTTTTTTTGGTTTCCCTATCGCCTCGCGCTTGGTTTTTATTTTGCATAGTATTTATATATGCTCATCTTGCACATGGGAAAAGAAGTGTCACATTCTGATTGGCTGTTTGTTTGTAAACTTAAGACTAACCCACGAACCCTGCTTGGGTATAACTATAGTTAGTAAAATCCAACTAGTCGTCTATTATCAATGTTGTGTTCTGATTGGTTGAGCCACTACTAGGCTATTTGTTATAGCCCACTAGTAGCGAAAAGCGCTGGTAATGCAATGGCAGCTTTTGCATCACATTTTGCTAGCTAAAGTTGTTTTGTCTCGATATTTTTGACCAACTAGTTAGATTTTAGTAAAACAATTATTTCTCTCACCCTCATGGCCTCTGAGTCAATAGCCCATTCAGCCTTCGGCCTCATGGGCTATCGACTCAGAGCCCATTCGGGCTCGAGAAATAATTGTTAATTAGTCTGTATTGTTTTGGATCACCGAGGCATAAATTTTCTAACTATAGTTAGAGCGAACAGAGAAGCGGTCACATTACCGAAATAGCTAACTATAGTTATCCCTGTCTTAACTATAGTTAGTAGCCCAGATGTGGCCGCAGCTATGATTTAAGTCAGCAGCATGCAAAGAAAGTGGTGTCCGATAGCCCGGGGCTAGTGGATTTTGCTATCGGGCTAGTGATTTCTGTTCTTGACTTGCCTGATGGGCAAGTGAATTGTTGGGCGGGAATTCAAATTACAGAAGAACTGTAACCAATGCTCATCAAAATTTTGTTTTCAGGCTAGTTGAAATGACTTTTGGGCTAGCTCATGCTAGCTACAGCTTGCCCAAATGGCAAGCTGTAAAACTGACTTTCTTTGCACCCTGAGTCAGCAATAAAGTATTATTACATGTATTATCATGTTATCAAATAATTAAGAAAAGAACATTTGCACTTTTACCATAATTCTTTTTTTAGGAGCAGCATATTGCATTGTGGGGACAAATCTTTTGGGGTGATAATTAATCAAATAACCTAGTCTTATAATAGTTCTCTGTTCCAACTTAGACCATTTATTTTTGTGTTAAATTCATAGAATTGTCACATAATGGAATTTTTGATGTGATGTTCTATTTTCATTTCAAACCTATGAGTGTATAGGTTTATCATAGAATATTTATCCACTTGTGACACATATTGTAAATTCATTAGTACTGGGTAATAATTAGTAGGCTACCTTTAGCCAGGGGGGAATTCAATAAAACTTTTACATGAGTAATTTACAAGTGTGGCTATTGTTTTCAGACTCTAAACAATAGCTACACTTGTAAGTTACACTTGTAAAAGTTTTATTAAATTAAACCCAGCTAGAAGATGTGACATGTTACAAAAAGTTGTTCAGTTCAGCTCAGTTCAGTTCATAACTTTTTCCCTCCATTTAGAGCTTGTCAGGCAATGTTGAAAATGAAGGTGATGATTTCACTTTTCAAAACAAAAGGCGAGGAAAGGAAAACAATAATGTGAGTTTCTGGGAGTTTTCTATTGTTTTAAAAAGAAATATCGTGATCATTTCATATACACATGATTATACAATGATTGTTGAGCATACTACATGAAAACAGTCTAATCACCCTTCTATTTTATTTTAATATTTCTTCTCAGTTGTGTAATGGGTATCACTTTTAAACCATTGTCTTGTTTTACTATTCAGGATTCATCAAGAGGTTATGACAGCTATGAAAGATGTAAGTTATACATTTTACAATACATTGTAGACACTTCCCACTAAATTGAGAAGCCTTCTTAGTGGAGGGAAGCAGGACTGGGAGTATGTATGTCCCTAGTCTGAATTTCAAATATGGTCATTTTGTGTTTTGAGGAAGGCCATGCCCCTGTTGGCAGTTAAGCCACTCTTTTATTCATTATTGCCATTTCGTGTATTAGTCTTATGTTGCTGTTTCCAGGCCACATCGTTGCTTACAAGTTGGAATTTAACCCTAACAGGGCCTCTATTGAAACATTATTTTGCTCTTCTTCAGGTGGTTACAGAAAACCAGAAAACTTATTTGAGTCTTACGAAGATCTTCTGCAAAGAAAGCGTGCCCAAGAGAGAAGATACAGGTTGGTCCATATTACTTTGTACTTCAGAAGTGAAAAAGTTAACTGGTAGTAGAGATTTGTATCAAAAGTTTATGAATACTAATTAGGTGAGGAGGAGTTTGTATCTGAAGTTAATTGTACTGTTCAATAATGCATAAACAAACCCTCTCAATTTGTATTGAAGTTTGCAGTTGGGTACATGACTGACTTTTTTGTCAGATTTGTTCTCTATTTGCAAGAGTTGACAGATGTACAGAACAAAGGTGCCAGATCGCAGTGCGCCTAGTATAGATTAATGTGACTTGAATGCTACCTGTTGATTGGTCATAATTTTGATAGTTACAGGGCTCGAACTTGGCAGTGGTCTACTAGCCAAATACCAGTAGATTTTGATTTTTGGCTAGTGGATTTAGCTCATTTACTAGCCATCTTGGCTAGTTAATTTTCGCAACTGTAAACAACATAAGCCTTGAAATGTTTTCAACATTTTCCCAGTTGATCCGCACCTTCTAGTAACCTCTTATTTCATTCCCCCATTAACAACTGGCATGAATAAAAGAAAGAATAATAGTTTTTAATTCGGTTTTCAGTTTTGCGTTTATTCGCTGCCATCTTGAAATTTTGTTTGACCAGGAAGCATGGGCCAGGCAGTACCCATGATGCAAAGCTAGCCAAAAAACAAATGTACACCATCTTGAAATGCAAATCTACAATCACAGTCCATGCATGATTGTCATGGATATTAGGGCATTTCTGTTGTCAAATAAAACAACTAAAGGTCTAAAGAGAGCAAGTGATGATTCTGCTGGAGGCAGCACGTCTACATGTAAATCTTCATCAAAACGAAAATTTGTACGGACCTGGATGAAAGACTTTCCATGGCTCACAAACGATGTTGAAGCAAACCAAATGTTCTGCAAATTGTGTAGAGACAATACAACTTGTGCAGGTGCTGGCTGCTGGACTTTAAACTGCAGACCAGCGCAAGTGCTGTTGGGTTCTTGTTTGTAGAGTTCAGTAAAATTTATCATTGTATTGTAACTAAACATACAAGACAAGATACATTTAAATTTTTCTTATGTTGCAGTTTTTATTAACGTTTGATAACCACAGGATTTTTGACATTTTTTTAAAATCTTATGCTGTACAGAGGTGCCTAGACTACTAGAAACACGTTTATGGCTAGTAAAGCCCGAGCATGTACTAGCCATTTGACTATTAAGTTCAAAAGTTAAGTTCGAGCCCTGAGTTAATGAATGAATAATTTTTGTACAATAATAATAATTTTGGTGAATGTTCTTCCCTTGGTTTGTAAGTAATTATTGCATCCCTTATGATTATGTTTGTTTCGTTTTTGCAGAGGTATTGATGACCTAGACTCAAGTCCCAACAGGTACTGAATTCTGAATTTTTGTAGTTTGGTAGATGTCACCATAATAACATTTTGCGCCAAAAATGTTGTCCTACAACTAGCCAGGCCCATCATTAAAAAACATGATTATGATTTATCATAATAGTGATGATTTTTGTGTTTTGTGTTTAACTTGCAGGGGAGGGTTGATAGTCTTTACAGATTATAATAAATTTTGTGGATATTGATTGAAGTTGTACTTCAGTCAAAGCAAAATGAACTCTTCAGGAATGTATGAAAGTTGTTACACCAAAGCTGGTCTTACATGAGAATTGGTTATCATAGGCAGCTGAAGTCACAGTTCAAATTTGGGTTTCAGGACACTGCAATCCTCGTCAAATTTTGTTGAAACACTAGACTGAAACGAGTGTGTATAATATGCGAGCCAGCGAGCCAGCGAGTCATGCGAGTCAACATGTGAGTCAACATGCGAGCCATGCGAGTCATGCGAGTCACCATAAAATAACTTTGTTTTTAACGTAAACTACTAAGTAACGTATCTATTCCAAAGGCAGGTCCTTTAAAATTCAGCTTCAGAAAAATTCGCCAACATACAAATTGAACGAGGTGAAACAATAACAAAGGTTTGAGAATGCGTTAAACAAAGGTTTAAAGGTTCTTCCTCGGTCACGTTTAATGAGTCACACGATATGTGGTAAGCCACGTGACCAGAACATAAAAAAACACTCTTTAAAATCCAAACGTCTTGCGTCTTTCATAATAAAACCAATGCCAATGGCTTAAGAATACCGCGATAAAAAATCTGACTTACTAACAAGTTTAACGTTCCTTCTCAAAATTCACAGTTATTGAAAAAGCTATGACGTCATTGAGGGGTATTTTCGTTAGCGAGTCAACATTTTACGAGTTTATTCCTTGCGATTTACTTAAGATGTTTCTTTTCTTCAAGTTTATACACTCGATAAAATTGCGGGCGACATGACTTAGGACTCATGACTTCGGGCGAGATGACTTTCGGGCGACTTGACCGGTTACCTTTTGATACATTTTCTTTAAAAGACTTTCTTGCTGTCGTCTGAACGCTGATTTCATGCTACAAATGTTAAAAAAGTTAAATTGCTTATGATTCGCCAAAAAATGGATTCTCTTTCCTTCGAACTTCTGTCTCGCATGGCTCACATGATGACTCGCATGACTCGCATGACTCACTGGCTCGACTCGCATGACTCGCTGGCTCGCTGGCTCGCAGTTTGTCAAGACCCGACTGAAACTGCAGATTTTTCATGTCATGTCTTCTCAACCAGCTTATTTAACATTTTGCCGAGTGTACAAGTTTCTTCTGTCCTTCCCCAATGTTCAGATTCAAGTTTATTTGCAAGTGGATAATATGTGAATTAACATTGAGGTGGACATAATGTGAAAATTGTTTTGAATGTGATGTCACGTTCAAGAATGGTTGCAAGGAGAGCATTAGCTTTATCTTCTAAAGAAATGTTTAATTATTGCCTTTTAATCATTTTCCTGCAGGCCTAGATGGGAAACTTCACAGTATAAGCAGAATTCTAAAAGTGATGGGTATCTCAATCGAAGATATGATGATGAGGATGATGATGTAAGATGATCTAACTTATTGCTTTCTATGTCATAGTGAAAATGAAAAATGCAGCAGTTTTAATTGTATGTTCTGGTTAGATAAGTTGAGAGTAACTGGTTTGTAATTGGTTCTTAAATTAAGTGGTATGTCATGTGATGATTATTTTGCAGTACAATATTGATTTTTGCTAACATTATTTTGCAGTGGATCCAGAGTTACAGCAGAAATCGCCCCAGAGCTCAGAGAGAAAAGAGCTTTGAAGCAAAGTAAGATGAGCATAAGAATTATTATTAATTGGTTGCATAAAGAGAATAATCAAGAGTGTAATACTAGGGATTTAGCTCAGTGCGGAATGTTTCTTGGGTTTCTGTTCGTCAAATCATAAGGCCAATGTTGATATTTCTCACTGGAAATTAACAAATAGATGATAGTTATTATATGGCTGCTTGGAGATGGAAATTTCTCTTCTTGTGTTTATAATCTATGTTGAAGTCATAGCTGAGCTGTTAGAGCGCTGGACCGGACTCCGAGTTTAAGTCCCTCCCTGACCACTAACTGGATTTGTTCTCGGTAGTCCCAAGTTTAAATCCTTGACCATGCTTGTAAATAGCCAAATGTGAAGATAACAAGTTTTTGCGCGATAGCTCACCAGCTATTGGTAGTTACATAATAATGTTGTTTTTGTTTGCAGGCGTGTTCGCTTCCGTGGTGATGATGATGCCGATGATGAGTAAGACCTTTTTAAATGTTTAATCATTTATGTCTTAGTAATTTGGTTCAATAAAGTTATAATGTGTTCAATAAAGTTATAATGAATTATTGCCATTTTTGTTTCGTGAGAATAAATTTTTTCACCAGCCCATAAACTTTTTTTAAAACAACAGGTGGGGGATAGAAGGGTTCAATGAACTTGTAACTGTGGTAATGTGACTGTGACATTAGTTAACTTAATCTTATGCATCCTGAAGGCAGAGGAAAGAAGATGACAAACCTTGTGTGACAAGTGTGACAATATTTTTTTTGAAATTATTTTTCACCAAATTTCATCTTCCTTTAAACAGATCTTTTTGTTAAAGACCAGAACACAGTAATGTCAAGTGAAGATTGCAACATAGTTCGCAAGTGATAGCCTTGACATGTTTGACACATTTTTTTGACGTCCGTTTCTTGGTGCTGTCCTGTTGCGCAAACTCACTAAATGTTGATGGTGGCAGCAATGACTACAATAATGATTCTTGAATATGATATTGTAGGTAGCAATGCAGTCTGTTACTAGCTCAAAGTGATTGAAGAAGATAGTCATTTTTTCTTACCCTTGATTTTGTTCTGTTGTACCTTCCATTCTAAACATCACTCGTTTTGTGCAGGTCATGGGTGAAACCGAGAAGAAGACTTGATTATTATGATGATGAGGAGGATGAGGAGGAACTCCTTGAATGGGTACGTCATTACAGTAGCACTGATGTAAAGGGCTGAGATATAAAGTATTATCTGTCCATGTAAAACTATTTTGTCCAGCATTTGGTAAATCATTGATAGCATCATGACAATCGCGTTAATAATGTTGATTCCATGTGAAATGATTTGCATGCATGCTGCAACATAGAATTAGCATACTAATGGAATACTGATATCTATTCAGGTTGAAACAGGCCATATTTTTCCTGGCTGTCAGGAAAATTTTGGGGTTTATGTACTTGTCAAATTCTAACAAGCCAGCATTTTTTGTATCTGATGATTCTTTGTTGTAACTAGGAAAAATGCACAATGATCTTAGCAAAATAGTGTGCAGAAGAGATGAAACGACATGAGTTTAAAACAAAACTAAACAAAACAAAAAAGAGAAAAATGCTGAAATTGGTGGTTACACTAAGCTGATTACAGAGTTGATGATGAATTATTTTTTATGTAATTTTGTAAAGTTGGGTGAAAGTGTTAGCTGTTGCTGCCAGCCATCTACTAATGTGAATCCTGGATGAATTATGAAGAAAAAACTTTTAAATCAACCTTTTGTTGTTAGGTTCGAAAAAGAGGAAGAAAACCTCAGCGACGAAACAGTGCTCACCTACCAGAAAGGTAATTCCTCTTGCATTTCCTTTGCCAGCTTAAATTCAATATTTATTACAAACAGTGTATCAATCCATCAATAGTCACAGGGCACTCACTCAACCACAACTAATCTCTTTGTCTTTAGTTAATTAAATGACAAATCTCACTCTAAATGTATTTCATCAGAATATATACCTAGTAGTGTTTACTCAGCAGTTCACTTCAACATGTGCCTTTGCTTCAGTTACTCTTTAAACTCTTACAACAACACCTTCCTTATTGATACTTAATTTCACGGGTCTTTAATTTCGCGTTTTTCGAATTATTGTAAAAAAATCGCAAAAGTAACGTAAGACCCATGCAGAAAATTCAAATCACAGAAATAAGCAATGTACAGGATGTACCCAAAAAATTAAATGATTTTACTAGAAAGTTTCATTTTGTACCTTCTGTCGTGAAAAAAATGAGAATTTGCAAAGATTTCATGTATGGAGTAGGGAATCTACCTATCTTCTCTATCTGAATCGTTAGATTATTACAAGTCCCTTGTCTTGAAATTTTAAGGAGTTCAGACTTTTTGAAAAGTAAAATGAAGTCGAAAACGCTTGAATCGCGAAATTTAATGCCCTTTTTACATATTTGCCGATTGAAATCGCAAAATAAAACTCTGTAAAATACTGTTGTGCCAGTGATCGTGAAATTAAGTACATGCGAAATGAGGTACCAATGTGGTATTTTCTCTTCACTGCCTTCTATACCTTTGATTAAGTCAGTCAGAACGTCGTAGGGTAAAAAGGGTCAAGTTTAATAAACCATTCATTAGAAATAACAGTGAGTTTCACTATGTTCACAGGGATGGTCCCAAAGAAGACTCATTTCAGAGGAGCAAAACAGACAGCAGTATCAGATCACAGTCTGCCCCAGTGGAGGGAGCTGGCATCATAGGAGGTTGGTATTGCCTTGTACAGTTCGATAGGTGCTACATATGGTGCCTATCTTGGAATAATAGTACGTAGTATTAGATCGGTCGATAGGTTGGTCGTCTGTTGAAACAGAACAGCATCGAACATCCTCTGAGTTATCATTGAGCTGTATCACATCTAAATAGTCTTCACATTACACTTTCTTTCCTTGTTATTTAAGTGTTAATTGATGTGGGATGAGGTAGATAGGTGTAGGGAGGAAAGCACCTCTGAATGATTTAGTTCAGTTTTGTTTTTAATTTAATTGCTCTCTTAGGTTCAGAGGAATCCAGAAGTGCCAAAGTTCAAAAGCAAGAACAGTACAAGAGAGAGCTTCAGCAGCAAATGGAAGAACAAGCAGATATCAGGAAAAGGTATCGATCCACCGATCTTTGCGTCCCACGGGATGCATGCTATTTATTTTGTGTCTTTTGGGATTTTTATGCGTCATTGATGCAGGACGCAGAGGTAACAAAATCATTGGAGCACTAATATTTTCAATATGATCTATACAAGGAGGATTTTACTGATCATGTTTGTTGGTTCTTTGCCAGAGAGAAAATGCTTCATTTAGGAAATGATCCAACTAGTGGTAGGCCACTGAACTCCCAGGTAAAAAGCTTTTTAATTTAAACACCAGACCTAATTGTGGAAAACTTTTTTAGAAAGGTTTAATTTTTACTGGTTCTTGAAACCTGTGCTTAAAGCTAGTATAAGACCCTACAGTAAATAACCCTTACCGTAATATTTTACTTATAACAAAGCAAAGGATTTTTTACTTGATCACCCTTGATCTGTTTAAAAGAACCAGGGTGGTAATATTTTGTAACAGCCGTTTGTAAAGCTCATGTTACAGGGGACGATTCCCACCGACGATTTTTAGCGGATCACAGCGTTGCACTGTTGAAACAATGTTGCAATGCTGTGTTATGCTAAAAATCATTGTTGCGAATCGTCTCATGTAACATGGTCGTAAGGGTCAGTACAAGGTGTCGTGAGTAATGATCATTAAAAAAAGCACTGTGGAACTGTGCCAAATTTACTCAAAATTTAGTGGTTTATTTATGTTCGATGCAATTCCTTTTAGCTGGACAGAACACCACCAGATGTAAGCAGGGGATCATATCAACCTCCTCAGTCGCAAGGCTATGATGTCTCCTTGGCCAATCATGGACCAAGCTCCAGGCCTCCTCCTCACCCTGCCATCCACTCCAATCCATATGATGACCCATATTACTACTATGGTGCACTGGAGATGGGTGCTTCCCAGGGGCATTCTATAAGTTCCCCTAGGGGGACTGGACAAGCAAACATGGTGCCAAGGTTGAGATTGGATGGTGATGTTTCTGGAGGTATGGCTGACACTGTATTTTCAAGAAAAGAGTAATTAGTAATAGTTACTATTACAGTTACCATGTCGAAACAACTGGTGATGGTCTATCCCTCTAGAAACCTTAGGCCCGGTTCAGAAGCCGATCTTTCCATGAGCCGAACCTAGTTCGAATTAAGGCTGATCCAAATTATTTAGACCGGCCAAACTGATTCAGACGCCGATCTTAATTCCAACCAGCCTAAATTCTGGTCAAATTTTTTGGTCAAACCGCTTTCAAAATACGTTATTAAAATTTATGCATTTATAGGTTTGGCACATGAAAAGTTCTGCGTCCGAATCAAAGCTGTTCCAAAGTCGCTCCAAAGTCTAAATTTCTAGCCGGGCTGGGCAGGAAGAACGGCTCCAAATTGAAATAGGCGTTCCCAATTGATTCGAACGTTTCATGTACTTAATTCAATTTACTACGTTCGGCTCATGAAAAGTTCGGCGTCTGAACCGGGCCTTATTTATCATTCAAACTTCATTGATTCAGAAACCATGTCAAGATACTGATTCAGAGTGCAGTTAAAAGTTAAACCTTGACAAAAAATCTGGACATGCTATCACTTGTAACGATTGACAATGTAAATTGTGATCAAATAAAATGCTATGGATTAAATTCTGCAGGTCGTCATTCACAAAGAGATTCACAGTCAAGAACCCAAGGTAATTGACATAATGGAGCATCTGACTTAAATAATATGCACTGGAAATTTTTCATTAAAATTGTGGAACCGTCCTTACAGTCGTCCGACAAAAAAGGATGGTTTCACAGCCATCTAGTTCATTTTGTTTGGTTCTGCTAATAACTATCATGAAACTTAACATTAGCAAAAGAATTTCTTCTAGCAAGTTGTAATTAACAAACCTGCCACTTTGTGATAAACAATTATGTCTCCTGAGTGCTATAAATTATTTCAAAGATACCAACAACAATGAAAATTCTAATTGGAGCCTATTTAAACCGTCTTCAATTTTGTTCATTTGTACTTTCTTTATTGCATTTCAGTCCTGTGCTATTTACTATGTTTCAACACATTTTTAAGCAGTTATTTTTTATTGCTGGCAGAGTACACCACACCAACTCCAGCACCCTACCCTCAGCAGGGAGGGGGCTCGCTCAGCCCTCGGTCTGGCCTCCAGCCTCCTGGAGGGTTCAGCAGTCTTGGAGCAGCAGGCACAGATCCTGCCTCATCTGACAAGAAGAAAGCATCACAACAAGCTTATCAGGAAGAACTGAAAAGACAGGTAAAAACTTGAACCTGCGTTGGCTTGCCAATCAGTTTCCTAAAGTAGTTGATATCCGAGAGGAAGTAACTAAAAACACTGCAGTGTGTGTTTCCGACAGGTAAGCATAAAGCTATCAAATTGGCATTCTTGATACAGCTTTATGTTTTATTCTCACCCCCACAAAACTAAGAGGAAACTATTGCGTCAAAAAATGATTGTTTGTTGATTGAAAAAACGACCATTAGCGGAAATAAGGCCATTTTTGGACGACTTGTTTTCATCAAAGTCGTCACTTATCATAGTGTTATCCCCAGCTCATGAAGAGATTCCTGAACTTTTGCTGCTGTTTTGCATGAAAGTTCTTCATCCTTTTCTCTCTTAACAGTGGCCAAAAAAAAACAATTCACCATAAAAATTTAAATTTCTTTGTGTGAAATCCCAAGAAATAAATAGCACCTTGCAACAGTTCTGCAAAATATATTCATTTGAATGGTAGCACCATTAAATGATTTTGTCCACCGATGTAAATGTTAGAAATGACAAATAATTTTTTCCCATAACATGGTTTAAAAGGCTTATTCCTAATTAAGAACTTCATTTAGTATTTGAGAGTCTTTAGGAGTTATATTCAACCGTTGATTCTGTAATGAACTTATACGCAAATCTAGTTATTTGGCAAGCATAGCTAACAGTGAGTTCCTCTATAGAAAACTTCAGTTATAACAAACTTGTTTGACCTTTAGATGGAACAAAGAAACGAAAAGAAACGAAAAGAAAAAGAGGAGAAAGAAAGGTAAGATGAGATGACAGCGTTTAAAATTAGTAGAGGTTTAGAGTCACGTTTACGGCAAACGGCAAACGTCAGATTCAAGTTGAGAATTCCTCCAAAAAGAAAGTGAGCAGATAAAAACTGCCTAAAACAATTTTTTTTGACAAAACTGGCGTGAAACTACTGATATTTGTGCAGAAGTTATGAACAGTAAACGACAGGAAAAGGTAAAACTTGGTCACGTGGTACAAATTGCCGCACACGTGACTCTAAAATTCTCCATTATTATATATTTTCGTCCTCTACACTTTTAGCTTTCCCTAAGACATCAACCATGGGAGGCAGACACATTTTTTAAAAGCCAAGGCAACCTTTGGTTGGAAGGCACTGAATGAATTGGTACTCAAGAATTTTTGCTCCCAGTCTGTACTTTTGTCATTAACCTGCGTGGGAAAGGGAAGGGAATTTGGGCGAGAGACCGCACGCGAAGAAGGAAGGAGCGCGCTTCTCGCGCGCCCGGAATCTTCTTCCCCTTTCCTTTCAAACGACCTGCCACGCAGGCTATTTTGTTATTAAATCTAGTCGGTTGTTGAAATGTTTTGTAGATATGACAGAAAGATTGAGCAGGAAGCAGCCAGCTATAACCCCTGGGGTAAAGGCGGAGGTGGTGCACCTCTCAGAGATTCAACAGGGCATCTTGTTGGTAAGGACACTAAGAACATGTTTAGTTTCTTTATCCTGATAATTATCATGCAAGGTTCAGTGCCCGAGCCCCAAGGCCCTAGAAATTGTCGAGAGGGGCTGAAGAGAGACGGTATTTAATGCACCTTTTCACTGTTCTACGGCGGGAGGACTAGCTTGGTCGGTAGAGCGCTTGGCAGACTGCAGAGCGGGAGGTCGTGTGGTTCGATCCCAGGGGCCGTATCAATACCAACACCGGTACTCAGGGACTTAATTAAGCTGCCTTTCAAACGGCTAGACCTTCGCGTGGCTCGGGTGACCACGTAAGATAGCGGTCTTGTTACGTCTCCACTGGAAGATTAAAAAATAGTATCCCCAGTTAGTTCTTTCGTGCTAAATACATTGACACTTAAATAAAGTGCGTTTTTTTCCAACATACGGAAAGCGAGAAATCAAAAGCTTGTTTGGATCCTTTCAATAACTGACAAATGAAACAAATCAGACAGACCGGGAAAGTCTTGTTTGCGTCCTTGTGTCACCAAAAAGTTCATTTACATTAGCCGTATAGTTTTAGCAGAAGAATAATCAAAGTCTTTGTGTTCCTTATTTTTGGCAGATAAGTAAGACAGTTAGGAAAACTTATTTTCAAACCGAAGGTCATGGGAGATCAGTGAAAATTAAGTTTTTTTTTTCTATATTTCTTTTCGAAGCTAACTTAAGAACCTTAAGGCAGTACAATGAACAAGGGGTTAAAGTGAGTCCAAGAGATGAGCCTCCATCTGTAGACACAAGATTCCAGGCCGCTGCACCCAGTGAACCTTACCTATCTCCCAGACAAGGAAACATTAGCAATGCAAGCCCAATGATGCAGGCAGCCGCAGGTAAGATTTATAACTTTTTTATTTCATTTGAAATGAAAAATGCCAACTATCGTGTAAATTCATGTCATAAACTGCTGAAAAAAAATATTAGAATGTGAAAGAAATGTTAGAGGTGTTTTCACTGAATGGTCACGCCATCGGATTTCACTAGTTTGTCTGTTCTCTTTCGCTCCTTAAAACCGTGAATAAAATTCACTGTGTAGATCTTAACAATGACGCAGACCATATGAAGGAAAGCGAAATTTTTCTTAACTTTTTCACTTTAAGAGTGCCTTTAGCCCATGCTTAAGATAGAAACTATTCTTACACCAATCTTATTTCGAGCAGGTGAACCTAAAATTCATGACAAGGTTATTGATAAGTTGTGAATTTGTGTTTAGAATTATCTGGAAATGTAGGGAGGTCGACATTCGGACGATCAGATCCACTTAAAGAAGCTCAACCACAGGTAACCCAATTCAGCTGATATCAGTTATCAATTTGATTGTAATCGTTATTAACCATATTAGAAGGAGAACTCAACACTGATGTCTTCAAATGGTCGAAGATCATAATCTGCGAAAGCCGATAGAAATCGGATATGAGCCTTATAATAATTGTTTCGTTAAAAGACTAATAGTTAGTTTCTTCCCTGCCGCAAATATAAGGGCGCTTTCTAGCGTTTTATTAACAGGTTATTATTCTCTCAGGCTCTCTTAGTTTTTTTTTCTGAGTAAAAATGGGTTGACAGATAGCAATTACGCCAGCCAGCAAATGAGAGATTTGCAGTAAAATTCTAGACGAGTTTTACTAATAACATAAGAACTAATATTAAGCAAATTATTCAGGTTTGATTTTTAAGCAAACGAAGTTATAGTTGTTGAGTTAAGAGAAATCAAGAAGTTGAACTTGGTGTCTAGAGATAAACGTTGGATTGATAGCTCCTTTTTCTATTTTGAATTTAAAGGATGATCTTAAAAAAGCAGCCAAGCTGGAGTATCAAGAGTTCCTTCGAAAACAGGTGCAGTTTAAACTCTCTGTTGAAGCTGGCTAAAGCAAATATTTATGCTTACGTCATATACTACTCCTTAACTATGGGACGCGTCATGTACCATACGTGTACCATTGCCTGTAGCCAGGCTTAAAGTCTTAGTGGCTGCAAACTTTGAATGTCGTAAATTGTTTCCTACATTCAGTTATAGTAAAGCCTACAAAATTTGCTTAATTGTGGCAAAGTTGGTTTGCACATCATTTTTATAACTTGGAAGAAGGAGAAATCAAACACCAGATAGCTCAGAAAACATTCCAAGCCCCAGGTGAGAATCAAACTCACGAGCAGGGTCGAAATTTAATTATAATTACACCAGTCGTAGAGGACTGTCTCAGAGACTTGCTCGAAACCAGCTGTCCACCGGCAGTTATAGTTTTGTTTAATACGTGATTTTTGCATCGGTATGTCTTGTCGGCGACCTTCCTTTGGACGTGAATGAGTCAACAATTAAACTTCAAGAACGTTTCGAATCTCCTCCATACCTGTGAACGAACAGCAAAAAAACAGATGTGAAACAATCTTAAGAGTCTTTTAAAACAAATCAGATATGAACTAGTACTCAAAATCGTTTATTGCACTCTTACCTTTCAGGTTGAAGAAAAAGAGAAGAAGAAACAGGAAGAACTTGAAAGAGTAAAAAGGGAAGAGGAGGAATTGGTGAGAGATAGTCCTACCTTTTTGGGCTTGAGGTTTTTTCTCGTTTATCAAAATGTTTGCTTACTGGTAACGTTTTTCACTTTTGATTTTTCCTCAGGAAAGAAGAATTAAAGAGGATAGATTAAAGATGCAGAAGGATTTCGAAGAAGAACAGGAGAAAAACAGAAAGAAGGAAGAAGAGGTAATGCGTATTTTCAGTTACTTGAAGTGAAATTTGTCAGATTCCTGTGAAGTTTTAATTATGGCAAGTGAATATATGAACACTGTGTGCCACAGGACACCCATGCTGCATGGAGCGTAGTCGAGCGTCTTTAATGTACCTTGAAGGAAAGTCTTGCTGCTCCCCTTTCCACCCTTAATGAGAATGCAAAATAAATTCCACGGTTCGTTTGTTCGAAAGTTGATAACGCTTTCCACTGACGAAACCTTTATCTAGCAGATAATGCAATTGGTTTCCCAAATCCGCTAGATAACGCTGTCCTACGTTTGCGCTACTCCCAGCGACCTCAATCTACTTCAATCTACCAGTGCTAATTTATACACCAAGGGGAAGAGTAAAAAGTCTTTTGTCTAAGGAAACTACACTTAAAGGAGCTGCGTCAGGAACATTACCAAAATTCAAACCGAAACCGCTACCAAATTGAGCGAAAACTAAAAATAACGGATCAAAATATGACAAAGAAAGTACAAATAGCACAGTAAATACAGTAGGAGGCACGGATGGACAAACATGACGATTAGCCTTTTCCAGGCGTTCAGATAGTGGGGAGCGGAGAAGTAAAAAGGTGCGCGAAAAAATAAATGCGAGGGAGGAGGAGCACCTCTCTCCCCAGTCCCCCTCTACTTTTCATCGCTTTCTTTACTTCGCACCGCTCTCCACTATCTGAACGCTTAGAACAGGCTAGAAGACGATAATTTGTGGTTTTTGAAAACTCGTTAGCCTGACACTTATTCAAAGTTCATATTTGTTGTTTGTAAAGTTTGATATAATACTTTGGAGACGTATTTTTGTTTCACACAAAATTGTGATTTTGTCAGTCACAAGTAGTTTTTCAAGTTCCCTAGCAAATAAGGAGGCATAATTGGCATTATTAAGAAAATTAAATAAACTTGCTGTACATCTATCTCTTCACTAGGCAAGGTTGAAGAATGAACAGATCAAAGAAGCTCAGGAAACCAAGAAAAGAGAAGCCGAAAAGAAAAAGAAGGAGATGGAAGAACAGAGGCAATCTGAACTCAAGAGGAAACTGGACGCTGAATTAGCTGCCCAGAAAACTGCTGGTGAAGTAAGAAGAAAGTTTTGCCTTTTTAGAACGCTAAAGCACCGAATTAGGGTTCTAAATTTAAATATTCCATGTCTACGTTCAAACTTTCATTTGGTCATACCTCAGCATTTCATCTGCAAGGCGGTAAGTCGGAAATATCCTCAGGAGAATTTAAATTGTCGCTATTTGTGGAGAAACCACTGCTGCGGGGTCAATTTTCCCCTGGAGATGTAGACACGAAAGAAGGCAGAAAATTTCACAACCGAAACGAGTGAGAATAAACGATTTCCAGAAGTCTGAAATGAGTATCGTCTCTCTTATTTTAGGGTCCTTCTACTCAAGCAAGAACTAATTCGCCGCCCATTCCCGCTGTGCGCAAAAAAATGGAGGTAGGCGTGCTCTCTGTGTTTCATGCAGCCCTTTAGTATTTTCCAATGAGATTTTAAACTACTTTAAATGCTTTTTCAGGAGGCTGGTCAAGATATGACTGACTTCAGATCGTCTTCACCCCCTATTCCTACAATAGCAAACAAACAAACTACTCAAGGTGAGAACGAAGTCTATGGCACTATTTACGCCGGTGTTTCCCCTTGTTGTAGGCACAAAGGATGGCCATGCTGTGCCAGAGCTTGTTGACCCCTTGTGTCAGCAAAACAGCCTAAGGCCAGCCTCCTTCTCAGGCGCTTCGTTTTTCGCAAGGTAGAGGCGAGCGACTGGTGATGAGCCGCAAGGGACCATGGGAAGAGTACAGACGGCAAGCTTGCCCGTTGTCTCCTTCCCGCCTTCCTTTGCGCGGGCGAGAGAGACGTCTGGGTACGAGGCAGGCCTAAGGCAGAGCAGTCTAAACTGTGGTCAGACATGTGGAGACATAGTTAATGCGAAAAAATTTCATTTTGCAGATAAATAAAATCTTCCTTGAGCTCATGTGCATTGTCTTACCAACGAAAGAACAATTTGCAGTAATCAATCTACTTGCGAATTCCGAGTCGAACTATGTACAATATTCTTTGTAGATGCGTAAGGCGTCCACGATTGAGTCCGATGACATTTTTGTTTTGTCCGACCAAATGGTGAATAAACCGGACATATGTCCTTTCAAGAAAGACAAAATATTAGCTCTGTTATGGGTCACTTGAATGTTAATCCTGGTGCTCCTAATTTCTTACTGATGCCAAGGTTTTGAACTCTTCCATTGTGCTTTAGGTTCTGTTGCCCCGTCTCCACCTCTGCCCTCTGTCCGGCCTGCACGCGAATCTGGTAGGGAATTTTTACGTGATTTTTAACCCCTCCTAGTTTTCTTTGCAAACAAATAAGTCGTACAGTGTACGTACGACGACTGCTTTGACTAAAAACTTCTGTTTGTTTGCGAAAGGCCGATTTAATTTTTCTTTGTTTTCTTTTGTTGTGTTTAAGAGCCCACAAGAAACGCTGCAGCTGATCAAGATGTGCTGAGTCAACTGACGGCGCTCAGACAGCAACTCAAAAATGAAGAAAAACGAGTCCAACAACAAATGAGTCATACAACTGCCGCGGTTGGTATTTTCATTACTGATAACAGTTTTCAGTAAATTTTTGGACGGTTTACTCTGCGTAATTTTCATTTTCGGCTTTGCTATAAAAACAGAAAGAGATGAAAGAGCACTTGATGGTTTTTATGAAGTCTTGGCCAATGTAGCAGGCGCAAAAGCTAGGGGAGGGGGAGGGGGAGAGGGAGAAGAGTGCGAAAGGGAAAAGCCCCGCCGCCTCTCTCTCTTTCTCTATTTATCTCTCCCCAACTCCCTTTGCCCCTTCCTCCTAATCCCCTATTCCCTTTGACGCCTGCTACGCGGGCCAATTAAGTCGCTGTTGATTAGAAATAATAATGGTTTTCAAATGAATCGGTTTTACTTGGACAATGCGATTAACCGGCCAAAAAAACGGTTATTCCGCTTCACTTATTAATAAATCAGGAATAAAGCCAGCTACGCACATGACTTGGCACGTGTTTTCCCGCGCTTCACTGATCTGTTTTGAGTTCTGATTGGTCCCTTTCGTCGTTTCGTCTCTTGGTATTAGTTAGAGTACATCATAACCTGGTTTTGTTTTTTTACGAAACACGACAACAGATGGTTATAAGAGTGTTTGATGGAAACTAATGAGCTCTATACTTCTCTTTCTTCGTCTAGACAAGATATTCTGATATGCAGCGTGCTCCTGAAGACCTTGGAAGTAGAAGGTAGAGTTCCTCGCGCAGCGTGCAGTGTTTTTTTGTCATTAGCAACGTTTGTCGTAGCATATCACGATTCAACTGAAAGATTTTTTTATTGTAACGCGTGTTACATCGTTGCACAATTAAATTTCAGGCATATTCAAAAATTAATAAATAGAAATAAATAAAAAAAATCGCGAAGCGAAGGGGAAAAGAGAGACTGGTTGTAGTCTGAAGTGAGGAGCTCACTTTAGTCTTCAGACTTCATTTTTCCACTTCTATAAACACTATATTTAGTATTTGCTTCTTACTCTTTTGAAAGAAAATAACACAACCAAATTCTCTTCAGTTAGTTTCTCTAAAGGTAATCTAATGTCTTGGCCTTTTATTTTATTTTATTCTAGAAGTAGGAGGGATGTGCAAGTGTTTGAAAGAGCGCTGGCCAATAAAACAGCTGTAGTGAAGAAAGAGGGAGAGGTAAAATCATAAGTTTTTTTTTTTAATTTTTGAGAAATTTATTCTGCCTGTGTTCATTCTTACTCTCTCTTTACTTGGTTATCATTTTCTTTTATTTCAGGAATTTTCAGCAGCCGACGAATTTAACAGGATAAAGTATGAAGGTAAGCGGATTTTAAGAGGAAGCTGACATAAAAGACTTAGACGGCCCTGGCAATAAGAAGTGCACTTTTTTGTTTTCCTAATACAGGTCATGTGATAATACTCTAAAGAACTGTTTCTTTCAAATTTCGTTTCATTCACGTGCATATGTACGCATAATTTATGAAAAGACAAAGGGTCGAGTTCCCCTGGGACCTCTATTAGGAAAACAAAACATACAAGCTGAAGATGTCTATTTAATATCTTCGTATACTTTCCTCAGAAACTTCGTCTCTGGCGGGGGAGTTCCGAAGCAAGTTTCCAGACCCAGTATCCACCAGCAGTATATTGGATCTGCAACAGCAAGCCTACCTCACGTGAGAACTCTTTCATTATTTTTAATTTTTTTTCTTTCCTCTTGGTCGGGTAAAAATCAGAGCCCCGGGGTTTGATATTAGTTAGGAAATAAAATTTCTCTTAACATTAATTGATTTGAGATTCTGTAAATTCAATAAACAAAAACTGATTATTCCTCACAATTTTCTGTTTGAAGAATCAAGGTTTCTTTTAAAAACCGGCCAGTTTACCCTGCTTCGTGCCCGCGGGTTTATGAGGACCTTTTTGAGTACCCGGATGCCCAAGATGATAGGACAAATTTGACTGCCAATGTGCACGTTTAAGCTGGTAACAGTAATAGTTCGGTTGACTGAAACATGAAAGAACTGCGAAAGTTTTGCAGTGCCGCAAGTTACGCATGGGTTTAATGAACACGAAATCAGTTTAAGTGGAAAATTGATCCAATGGGTGGGAAGACGGTTTTTATTGAGGCTTAGGCTAACATTAAGCTATTGTATTGTTCATGTTATAGGGAACAAGAAGACAAATTGGCAGCATTAAGTGAGTGGATATCAAAGCTATTTAATTTATCTTTTATTTACGACTAGAGCAAAGTCGATGAGAGTTAAAGCGCCCCGCCTTAATAATTCATTTCGTTCTGTTACAGAATCTAACAGAGGCACGAAACAGCCTCAAGGCGGCGGACAACCTTTTCAGGTATTTAAGATTAAGAATTGTGTCACGCGTTTTATTCTCCATAAGGCAAATGTCGTCCTTTTTGTGACTTGGCTAGTTGTTTCGGCCACTCTTATATGAATGACATGTTTAGGGTTCGGGTCAGTATGATAGTTATACTACAGAGAAAAGTTAGAGAGCTTCGTATTATGATTAGGAAACGAACCCAACGGTTGGTTTACTGAGACAAATGCATGTACTGTCCTCAGTCAACCATGCACGTATTTATTTTTGGAAATGTCGCAAATCCCCAGCTCAGCTCACCGTTTGTTAAGTTCGTTTGAGACTGAACTCTCCCTCTTTTCCAAGGTTTCAAGACGTCCTATAAGCCGTGACTCGCTTTTAGAATCAGAAAGTCAGTTCCTGGCTGTTAATGACCCCACGCAGATGTTGCCAATAGAGCAAATGTCACTGAGACCAAAGCAGTCCTCAGCCAGAGAAAGAAGACGATGGAAACAACTTGAAGAAATGGCGAGAAATCCTAAGGTAAAACTCTTTAGTTTTCCTCGATTGAGTTGCAAACTACTTGAATAATGTTGTGATGAAATTGTTTAAAGGGCTGTTCTAACGGGTGTGCGAAGCGACGATAAAGTTGAACAATTAATCTCGCTCAAACAATAAAACTGATCAGGTTTTTTGGTGCTGAAAGTTTACGGTACTCTTCATTGTCACGATGAATTCTGATCGTGGCACGGGTTGAAAAATGTCCCTGTGGACACTTCAGGATCGTAATGTGAACACGTCGCAGATTCATTATTTCCCCCTAAAGGGTTAGGCTTCATGACTTCGCGTTTTTTGGAAAAGTTAAGTCCCAAATCCGGTAACGGGAGGAATAAATTGAGAAACTGGTGCTTAATGGTTTTTTCTACAACTTTGTGTTTTCTAGTCTAACGACACGTACAAACCTCCAACTCCTGGCGGTTTTTCGCTAAATTCAGTCACAAGTTTCAATGTGGATGAAGTGGCAACCAAGAATGAAGAAAGGCTGAGAAGACTGGAGATGATACAACAGCGAGGGGCGGGTCAAGGTAGCCGTGGGAGCTTATCAGGCGATCCGGATCAAGTATTACAGAGATTCATTGACGAGAGAAGGTAATATTTACATCTTATTTCGTGCTAATTTGCGCAGTAAAAGTATTGTAGCTACGTTCGGCACGTTCGACGTGGAAGAGCGCACTCGTAATACAGATTAGAGAGACTGTGTGAGACCACAGTCGTTGAATGATAGGCCCTTAGACACGTATCTGGATTCCCAACCAACTTGCCAAAGGAGATAGAAAGAGAGCCTGGGTTGGAGAGAGGGTCTGTATTTTTTGTTATTATTATTTCTAGTTAATATTACCAAGTGGACCTGTAAGTTGTACGCAGGTGTAGTTAAGCCTTTCTTAAGTGATCTCCTATGAGAGCCGGTAATCGTTTAAGAGGGGTCAAAGCGCAGTGGGGTAATTAATTATTTGATTCTGGAAGTACCTATACCCCTAAAATTAAGTGCCGTCGTAGTCAATAATCATCATCCTCTACTTACGGAGACAAAAGGTTTAGTACGTCGCCTACGTGGCCGATCTTCTTAGGGGCTGTTTTGCATGGACGGAGGAAGATCCTAGAAGGCGGATCATCCTAACGCCGTATGTTAAATTTAGTTTACATCCAAAGGGTTATACTTGCCCCTCGCGCTAGGATCTTCACAGCTGAGAGGTTGGAAGATCCTAGCACCATGTAAACTGCCTTCGCTAGGAAGATCCTATTATTAGAGACAAACAGAACAAAATGGCGGCGATTCGTTCAATGGGTAATCTTTAATCTTTATTCCCTTTTCTACTGTTAACCACACGGACCAAAATTTGTGCATGTACATCGAACGAAAAGTCGTTCCGCGTTCTAAGATCTTCCTGGTGCTAGGATCTTCCCTCCTCCATGTAGACAGCCCCTTTGGGATTTCTTCATGCGGTAATGTTGTAGAGAAGTGGATCATAAATAACAGTTGCGTGTCTTTGTCATTGCACTGAAGTGCGTTTCTCGTTTTTTTTCTCTTCCCAGTCGCCCTGTTCCCCTCGCCAGTAGATTGTCAGAAGCGTCGCTTGAAGCAGAAACGTCTTTCGAACCAATATAGATATTCAATAGATACTCAGCGTAAACTCATCCTCTGAGGACACTTCCGTGGGTCGTCTTATGATTGTGCTCATAATGTGGAACCTTTTAGATAGTTTGAACTTGGTCCCATGACGTTTTTATTTTCAACGTAAAGGTGTTAGTGTAATTTATTGTTAATTGTAGTTCATCAAGTGGTGTTGTTTAAGATATGTATGCTAGCTAGCACTCTTGGTTAGCGGAAATTATATATGGGATTATAAGAAAATAAGATACAACCCCCACAAAGGCGACCTTCCCTGGAGTAACATTCTACCACTAGAATCAAACTATAAGAGCCAGAGGGAGAGGTAGGCCTTTTTAATCCAATCCATTCGTTCAGTCATGGTCGCCATCATATCACAAACAGACAAAAAACTTTTATTCACACATATCAAACCTAAATGCATGCAGTTGTTCTGGAAAAAAAACGCTATTCGTGTGGGATATCACCAAATCACACTGCTCTTAATGTCAACATAAAGCTTTCTACGTAATAGATCAAACACGAGGCAGAGTGTTTCACCATTATAACAACACCGAGAGGAATGTGATGAAACATTGTGTTTCGTGTGGGATATAGCTGCGCTCAAACGAAGTGATTTGAGAAGCTATGTTTCTGCAAGACATACCAAGTCAGAGCATACGTGTTTGCTGATGCACATCTTGTCACCTACGAAAATCGCGTAGGCAAAATGCTAAAGCGTACAAGCCCTGGCAAGCGCTTTTCTGTCTGACAGACGGGCTCGATCTACGGCCGCTCTCTCGACTCCGGTCTGCGCGTGCTCATTTCCCGGACAGCGGCTTGTTATAACTTATTACCTCAAAAATAAATTAGGCGCCTAGAGGGTTGAAAATGACGTCAAGCTATTTGAACTATTGTGTCATTTGACTGCACAACCACAATCCTTCGGTTTATTGTGTTCTTGTGAAAATGACCGATCGAACCGAGCGTCATCTTCATAGGGAGCTTAAGCAAAGACGTTTTTGAGGGACACACGTCAACCGGAAGTGAGCCTTTCTCCCTTTTTATATGCCTTGACGCTAACAAATTTGTATTGCTAAGTTTCTTTTCTCTTATAAAGAGGATTTATCCGAGAGTTTCGAACAAACCACTGCCCAATGATGCAAAAGGTCCACTTCCGGTTGACGTCCGTCGCTCAACAACGCTGTTGCTTAAGCTCCCTGAGAGAGACAGCTCGTAGTCGAGTTACCCATGACAGTGACGGATCCAGACCTTGAGATAAGTGTGGGGCCCGGTCATCCACACCCTTAGATAAGGGGGGGAGGGGGCGGTCTCCAAACAATTGTTTTCGGTCCTCAGTTTGGTCTAAAAATAAGGGAGCGGTCCCCCGGGCCTCTCCCCCGGATTCGCCACTGCATGGTCACTTTCCTGTTCCATTCTCGCCTTCAACGTTAGCCTTTGCTTACAAATAGGAGGAGCATAAGTTGCATTATTTATAATCTGTGAGAAGCTTAGCCACCTTCCAACTTACGATCCAGAAAATTAAGTTATCAAGGATCCTATCGTACATCTATAATATATTTAATATATGGCGTGTTTTGAATGCCTTTTGAAGAATTCTAGAATACTTTTTAGGTCAAAACAGTGTAAATAATATCGAGTAAGTCGAGCCAAATCATGTCACGTCCATGTTCTATTTATTACAGTGTAAAATGATGTTTGGAGTTATAGTAATAAAAGGTTAAAAGAAAATGAGACCTTCATGATTTGAGTTGTTCCGCTGCAATTTACTCTCCGTAAATGATTCAAAGAGGTAACCAGAGCGAAAGTAAGAACACAGCATGCAACGAAAGTCCTCTTGTCTTTGTTAGATGTAGGCAAGTTTTATGTACCAGTCAATTCCAAAACCGCATCCCGCATACCCCCCACCCCGGCATTTGACTGGAGTTTTGCTCCGTACAGAATTTGACCCAAATTGAGGCCTGCCCAGTCGGGCATTTGACTTTCGTGTCAAATCGCTGGATTTCGTAATTCTTTCCGCATTCAGCATGTGCACGTTGTTCACCGTTAATTGCTCCTACATTCACTGTTTTATTGGAGCATTCGAGGATCTTTAGAAAAGCCCATTAAATGTGGGCTTTCTCAAATGAACAATGTTATTGAAATAAACAAACCTCTGTAAGACAGCTTTCCGAGACTTAAATATTTAGGTTGTGTTTACTAGGATATTAACTTTTGAATAAACGATTTGACGCGTGGGAAAATTTTTGAATATATAGTCGCTGGTGAGTGGGGAATTTGACGCTTTTTGATGCGCTACCCGGTGGGGCATTTGACCATCTAAACTGCCAAAATACCGCCCGGGGAATTTGACCAGAACTTATCAAAAAAAGTTCGCGCGGCTCGCTGCGCTCGTCCAAATAGGAGAGCTTGCTCGCAGGCTAGTTTTGGCATTGACTTACATTATCCCCCATTCACAACTACTAAACATGTTCAATTAAACCAGGTTTTAAAAAATAAAACTATAACGCGAAAACTGGAACACAAGTTTTCACAAAGGATTCAAATGAAACTCCATGTTTTGTAAATTGCACTAAACCTGCAGTCAACTTAAGTCGGTAAGCTGCTTTTATGAAGGAAACAATTTTAAACACCCCTTAAATATGTTTAGGCTTTGGCGTGAATGAGGCTTTTTTCCTGTGCATAAAGAAACTCAACGTCGCGTCATGATCAGTATTGATTCCTTGCGTGAGCCGTAATGGATGTGATATACTTCTTACTTCCAGACTTCTGTTTAAGACAAATCGCACTCTGAATCGTATCCGTTCAGCAACTGTGCATTTGTCGCTGCGTAAATAACGATAAGACTCCTAAAGCTTTCTTTTGTATATTTAATTCATATTCGCGGCTCCGAATTTGGTAGGTGAACCTTCTCTGACGACCTAACAATAACATTTTCATTTATTAGAGGGAGAGGATAAAGTATACATATATACACCATGAACTTTAGCTGTAAGCTTAAATCAGCTGAGTGTATGACAGTCACCGGCGTCAGTGCCAAAATTCTAAAATCATTGTAACTCTTGGCAATAATTAATTACATTATTCCTATGCATTAAGACCCTTACAGCAGATTTGTGAACTATTCTGTCAGTAAGTTCTAAACTGCTTCTGCTTTTTTCTGACGATATATCTTGCGCTGCTTTTAGAGACAAAAGGTCCTGCCCTAAAGGAAAATCTTTAGACTTGACTGATTTATTTCCACCAAACTTCTAGCCTGGGCTAGCACGCAAAATCCGCAATTAAGTCTGGACAAAAAAGGTAAAAATAACTCAGTCAGAAAAGTCTTCTTTTTAACAATTCATTAGGGACATAATCGTGGTGATTCCAAGGAAAATTGCTTGATTGTATAAAAATAAATTCTAATTCTTAGTTCAGTCAGCAAACTTCAACCAAAGGACTTCTTGGTTTGGTTGCTGTTCTCTGTAATCCAGTACTTGAACGACGTTTCCCGTTTGTTGGCTTCAATAAGTGAGGTCCAAACTGAAAAAATAAATAAATAAATAAAATAGGAATATAACTGCTGATTTGTGTTAGAATTCTTTGCTGGAGAACGAATTATCGAGTGTTTCTCTTGCTTCTTTACAGTGGGTGCCAGAGGGTTTTTTCTCTTTGGGGGCGCATGGATGGTAAGGGAGAAGATCTCTGGCATTCAGGGCCCGTAAAGCTTTCTCCCTTTTCTGCAACTACAACATTGGTAGTCTTTGAACTTCCCTAGGCGTTGCTCCTTAACATGGTGGAGCAGGTTTGAGTGCCTTGGTGATCCTGGAAACTATACCAGGTGGGACCTATTTCCTTGGTGGATTCAACCATACTGGGCAGGTTTTGGGAGAAAAGCCAGACGGATCATTCAATGCCTGGCCCTCCAGATTGGGGGTTCGGCGATGGGGTTAGTCCCTTCCCTGGAAAAATGCGTCATCAATCAGGCCAGACACTTTTCAAGGAATTGAAGTACGTGTGGAGGCCTATGCGGAGAAGAACGCGAAGGGGCGAAGTGAGGTAGTCTTCGAGAACAGCTTTAGTCCCACCTTTTGACGGGTACTACACGAATAAGGGAAAACGGCTCCTCTCAGAGGATATGGAGAGATTTACTCGCGCCGGCATCCCAATCACATGGTAGCCTGTGAGTAAGGATCTCCTATTACACCATATCTGTACAAGTAGCCCATCATTTCTATTACGCCGTCGATCAAAACAAGCGCGCTCGGGCCGAAGCCTTCGCCTCTGGTCTCTCCCGGTTTCCGGCCCATTTCGTGCCCTGATTCAGTAACTCAGTTCGATGAAAAAACAAAAAAAGGCTACTGGCAGTCAACTATACTTTCTAGAACTACTTAATCTAAAAGCTAATAATCTAAATTTGAGCCTTGACTCTCTTATTTCAGGGTCCAATCGTAAACAAGTACAACAGACACAGAATACTTACCGGTGCTGGCTTGACAGGGCTAGATGGTGGGGTACCAAATGGTGACCCGCCCGGACTGCTGTTTTCCTTATTGACATCTAATGAATAAAATATGATTCAATATATGAACTTGAAATTGCTTTACGCTTTGGTCCCCTTAAAAGCATCCTGCCCAAATTTTGAAATTTCCCTTGAATTTCCAGAAAGGATCCACAAAGAAATTCAGAACAAATATCGTTGTCGTTTTAAGCCTCCTCCCCGCAACTTGTAAGCCACCCAGTTATTGGCCGACCTACCTGTAAACAAAAAATACATCCGATTATGAGCTCCTTCCCCCCCAGATTTCGTGCATTGAATGTTCATTAAATCTGATTTTGTAGCAGGCGAACAGGATAGCGAAATTTTCAGCCTTTTCGATGAAACATTCAGATAGGTACTTTCCCTTTGAACACTTTAAGTGATGTTTTCCGCCCCTTTCCCGGCACACTAGTGCTATTCCCACTGGCTCGTGCCCACCGCTGTTCGGAGAAAAGTGGCCCAAAGTTCCCGCTGTCCCGCAACATCTTGGAAGGTGTAGTTTACCTGGCGAGCTCGTATCATGACGTCTTCGATGCGCAAACTTTTTCTTTAGAGCCTGTGCTATGATTGAGGCAGGATCAGTAGCATCTGCAGTGATAGGAGGTTTCCTTACGGGTGTTCCGCCTGGTGATCTGAAATAAATACTATAGTAAGCTTACTGGCTACAGCTTTTTACTGCAGTCCTTGAATACTGTGTAGGTTTCTAAAGTTTTCTTTTGAAATGTTCTTTAATTGCTTCGACTTGATTTATAGATTTTTGCCTACGCAACTGCGTAATCAACGAAGGATGCGTTGGAAAACACTAAGAATTGTGTTTGTCTTTTTCTTCATTTCAAATTAGACTTCAATTTGAGAACTGTATTGGCTTCTATTTGATTAATGATCAAGTTGGACCTTCCCTCGTTTCTAAAACGACTTTGCTTGTTCCTAGTTACCCTCAAAATAAAAAGGCGTTGCTTTTACAACAGTTTGTGGGTAAATTTAATTTGTTACAAAAGAAGATTAAAGTTAAGTTGACGCCTGACCTTGACTAATGATTTTAAAAGCAAATCTAAAGTGTACGAAACCTTTCAAGACTTCTCCCTCCGATAGAGCTTTCTTGCACATACCTCTCAACAGACCGAAGTTTCACCTTTCCCAGTCCCTTGAGAACATCTGCCATATTTGGTAAACTGGGTCCAGTGGACTGTTCTGGTCCTATTAAAGATCCTGGTGCAAGTGACAATCGTCTTGCTCTGTTCTGTTGTTGGTAAATAAGTAAATAAGTAATTTTTTTGGCGCTTTTTCCGCATGTAAACTGTCGGCACAAGTATTTTTGCGTGAGGGTCAGTCGCTTCGTTCGCTTAGAACCCCCGCTTAGAGGTCGTGAAGAGAGGACGAAAAAGAAAACTATGTGGGAGGGAGCCAGGGGAGACAGCAGTCGCTGCTTTTTCCCCTCACCCCACCCCCCATCTTTTTCTGTTTCGACCTCGGTTAAGCTTTCTAACTGAAACTTTCGCGGGGCTAAAAAAAAAATTTAAAAAAAATTAAACGCCAGTTACGCAGGCTATTTGCAAGTCTAAGGAAACTGTAAGCTAGAGTGTAGTGAAGTCTGTTTCGTGATACAGGGTCTAGTATGTACTCCGCTTCTTTTAATTACTCACGCAGCTAACAAGGGTTCGTATAGATTCATATTAATTTGGTATGTACTTAACTACAATTTTATCTAAAATTGTAACTATAATTTCTACTGAAACCGTTGTTACATACAGCCATTAGACTAAGAGATCTCTGAATTCACAGGCTTTTTTAAAATCGCAGTTTGCTCATTTTGTACTCAAACCTCTTTAATGATCTGTGAGACTGGCTTCAGCGGTGTCGACATAGGCGTTGGTGGAGGGGGTGGCGGTGGGGGAGGGGGAGGGGGAGCTCCTGCCCCCATTGGAGTTGACGGAGTAGACATTTGATTTGTGGGAACAGCAACAACCATCACTGCAATTTGAGCTCGAAGTTTCTGTAACTCATCCTCCAAAGCCGAAATCTTTTGCATGGCCTCCTCTGGTATATTTTCCTTTTTCACGTCACCTGATTGGTTGGGTAGTGGCAGTTGTTGCAATTCCTTTTCTGGGCTCGTGATTTCGTAATATTCCTCCTCGTCTATGACAATTTCAGACGATAAGTCGCCATCTTCCGTTATCCAGCCAACATCTGCTAAAGATGCCATAAACATCTGAGAAAGTGGCTTTCCATCATATTCCCGTTCATTCCGTGGTATATTTAACTAAAAAACAAAAAGAAATAATCCATAGAAATGTATACCTGTAATCATTATGTTTTGCGGGAGAAGAAAAGATCGCGGGGAGAAAAATAACTTTGCAAACATCGCAGGGTGCCCAGGCTCACAATAGACTCCTCGAAGCCCAATTATAAGAGTTTCATAGCATTACGAATTAATTGTAATGATTATTGTAAGCCACCACCCAAGTTACTGTTCGGGCTGATTATTTGAGCTGACCACACTTGGTGTCCGAGAACTAGTGGCCGGGCAATGTTGTGTTCACACACCTTGAGTACCCGTTACGACACCCGTTACTTTGTAGTCGCTTTCGCCCTGTCAGACGCCATTTTCAAAGAAACGTGGGCGTAGCAGGGATTACAAAGCGGTGGATTGCGGTTGCCCCGTAACTAACAAAAATAGTGTGCATACAGGGACCCTGTACCCACTTTAGTGCCCGAGTACAAGGTAGGGTCTGTTTACTTGTCCGTGCTCGGGCACCAGATTTGAACTCTTCCTTATAGTCTATTGACTGACTACCCTTTTGAAGAGATGACTTTCAGCAAATTCGGCTATAAAATTCGCTGCTTGCCACGATCGAACGCTTCTGATCAGAGGCATTGCCTTGAAACCTTCTCTAGCGTCTACACATTTTGTGAGAAAAGAAGATTCCTTCGAGGGAAAGGATACCTCAGGATATTGATAGAAACTAAGCTTATCACCAGTTTTCAGGAAACATGTGTTAGTTTAAAACGCAAAAATTTATTTCATTAGTCATCGCTTTTGTGATTTTGGTGGCTCTTAAAAGAGCCGTTTTGTTTGAACTTTTTAACTTGTTTTACTGTTTGCTTTTCTTCTCTGATTTCTTTGGCAGGAGAACAGCTTGGATGTTGGGAAGAACGCCACCCTGAGCGATGGTGACACCGGCGAGCAACTTGTTCAGCTCTTCATCGTTTCTCACAGCAAGTTGAAGATGACGTGGGATAATTCTGGTCTTCTTGTTGTCCCGAGCAGCGTTGCCAGCGAGCTCAAGGATTTCAGCGGACAAGTACTCAAGAACTGCGGCTAGATAAACCGGAGCTCCTGAACCGATGCGCGGAGCGTAATTCCCCTTGCGAAGAAGACGATGAACTCGGCCAACTGGAAACTGAAGACCAGCTCGAGAAGAGCGACTTTTTGCTTTGCTACGGCTTTTACCGGATTTACCACGGCCCGTCATTATCGCAAAACCTTAGAAAACTTTGAATGGAACCTACAACTACCAAGCTTGTAAAACTTACAGGTACAATAGTGCGGTTCTAAAGCTGCTTTATTCACCTCGATGGATCGAAAAGAACCAATGGGAGAGCTGCCATCGCTTTCACAATCTTGTCAATCACATAATATTCTAGCCAATCAACTTGAGAGAAAATCGCTCGCGCTTCCTCAGGCGGCAAGCTAAAAGTGTGCCAGCAAATCAGAGAGCGTCATTTTCGATCCTGATATTTTTCGATCCATACATTATTTTTCTATAAATTTTTGCACATCGGACATTCAGCTTCACAAATCGTGTAGATTTTGCAAGTTTGATCGCCTTCAAAAAGTTTGAACTAAGAAAGTGAAAAGAGAATGCCCCCAAAAGCTGGTGCGAAGAAAGCTAGTAAAGCTGGAAAGAGAGCTTCGGGTGACAAGAAGAAGAGGTCCAAAAGACGAAAGGAGAGCTACTCAATTTACATCTACAAAGTTCTCCGACAGGTTCATCCTGATACCGGCATCTCAAGCAAGGCCATGGGCATCATGAACTCATTTGTAAATGATGTTTTCGAGCGAGTTGCCGGGGAAGCCTCTCGTCTAGCTCACTACAATAAGAGAAATACCATCAGTTCTCGTGAAATTCAGACGGCGGTACGACTTCTTTTGCCCGGTGAACTGTCCAAGCATGCTGTGAGCGAGGGAACGAAGGCCGTGACCAAGTACACCAGTAGCAAGTAGAGTGAGGAGAAGAAGCAAGACAAAACAACGGCTCTTTTAAGAGCCACCTAATTTTAATAAAGGCTATGACCAATTCACTTGCCTGTTAATCGTTCCGCAGTAATCTTGCCTAGCCAAGAACTTTTTTTCTCTTCACTTTTACGTTCCAGTCCTCCATAGAAAAATCTACAGCTCTCCCGGGCACTCTGGCAACGGGGCGAAAAATGAGAGTGACCTTGCACTCTTAGGACGGATATACACAGGCTAACGACGAGCGGCGAAGGTCGTAAAGCAGACAACGTGTTATCTGGATTGTGCTCTTCCTTCCCGCCATCATGCCCTGCTTTTCAATTCCGACGGGGGAAGAATTTCTCGGGAAAGGGGTGGGGGAGGGGGATCTCAGGGAGTGCAAAAGTTTTCATCGTATGTCAGGGATTATGCAATAAAATGAGTATTAAAAAGAAAAAGCGAATTAGCTAAAAAACAAATCTATATTAAACCATTGCCGGCTAATAGGGCTACGCAAAGAAAACAAAAGAACTTTGTTGTCTTTGTTATACGTAGGCTAACATTATACTGTCGTAGTAGAGACCAGTTTACATTGTAAAATATATGGTGTATAAAAACAAAGGTATTAAGCCCAAGTATCATTTAATCGAGGGATTTTCTGCTCAGTTATACATAAAACTGACTTTCTTATTACGTAAGATTTACCTCAAAATACGGTCTTTCACACGGCTTCAGCGGCAGACGACTGCCAATTTCGCGAATCAGGCTTCGTTTGGTGAACAAGGAGAACTGATAATTCGACAGAAATCGAGCGATTTGTCGGACGATACTTCTTCTGCGTGCTCTCATTGTTTCACCTCTGAGAAGTAAATCCTAAAATAAAAAATATAACAGTTTCATTACATTAAAATACTAGCTCGTAACTCAAACGTGCAATGGAATTTCAAGATAACAGTTACAAACTTACTCCGATTAATGCGTCTCTTTCCAAACCAAAATACTCCATGATTAACCTCACGACTTCCAAAGCAGTGTCCATTGCCTTGTTTATATCTCAGTCGCGAAAAATCGAAATAAAAAAAGCTTCGATAAGACGAGAACGACTTCAAACGCAAGTCAACCAGACCAGGTGAGATTTTTAAAAATTTTGTTGTCAATTACGTGCATCTGCGATTGACCAATCGAAATACCGAATTTTTTTGACTCATCCAATCAGATTGAAGAGCGGTGGGTTTGAATGTACGCATGTGGAAAATCGAACATCTGCTGCTTTTCAATTTTGCATTGAACTAAACGTTTTTACTTTCCTCAAGTTTTTCTTATAAAATTGTATTTGAACAGCGTAATGTCTGCTTTAGGGGTAGTAGAACACCTCAGAAATTTAGCTGCGGATCCACAAAACAGGGCAACTATTGTCAAAGTACGAAAATCAATTTTAAAACACACGAATGTTCAATGCTCTATGATCCGCCATGTTTTATAACAGCGTATCCCTTTTTTCATTATTTTCAGGATCAAGGATGCTTGGCTGGACTCGTTTTATTTCTTGATAACGAAGATGTGAACGTTGTAGTAACTGCACTAGAGGTATGCATTTCATTTATCTCTCTTATGTCAGCGAAGAAGAACTTCATAAAATAAGATTTCATGATATTTTCAGGCTTTAAAGTTCCTCTCAGAATTTCACCCAAATCGTTCCAAAATGAGGGATGAAATAGGAATGGTTATCAGCTTAAAAAGTATCGTGAATAAAGAAGGCTACAATGCTAAAGCAAGACAATTAGCCAAGGAAGTTTATAAGAATATTCACGCCCATGTGCCGACAGCCCCAAGTCAAAGGACAAGGTGAGTGAAGCTGATATTTTTTCGATTGCTTGATTTATGCACAGCAGTCAACATGCGTCAGATAATCTCATCTCTGTAGAGGTAGACATTGTTGCTATGAATGCTTGCTCATTCACCCAGACAATGTCACTGACTAGTGTTATCATTATTATTATAGATATCATTTATTATGATAATAATCATCATTATTATTATTATTACTATTCTTCTTATTCCAGTCAACTCCGTCTCAGAAGGACACCTTTGGGACCGGCAGTAAGTGTCTGTCTTAGAGAGATGTCTGTCTTATAGAGAGTCAAATAAAGGGAGCAAAGAAAGGCAGGGACCAACTCTAGGTGTCCGTTTTAGGGAGGTGTCCATTAAGAGAGAGTCGACTGTATTATCATTACTATTATTATTTTACATTGTCCAACTTCCACTTTTTTCAGCGGTACAACACAAGCTTTCTTTCTTGGCAACTTGAACAAGAGGGCTAAAGTAATAATTCTTCAAATCAAGGGCTTAGCAAATCAGGTTAGTAGAATTTAACAACAAAAGTCAACGTACAGCTGCAAAAAAATTTCAGCTTCACAAATAATTCAGATTTGAAGATTGTAAACAAATATTCCTGCACTCTGCATTTGACAGGTCACTAGAAAACTGTGTGAGGAAGAGCTGCTAAAAGTAAAGGGAGTCATCAGTTTCACATTTGTCATGAACAAGTCAAGATGTGTGGTCAGATGTAAGCTAGAGTTGTCACCAGAAGCACTTTGTGATGCAATCAACAAAACAAAAGTCCTGTCTGCCCAGCAAGTGGTAAAAAATGAACATGGAGAAGAGGTATAACTTGCATCCACTTTTATTGACGGCAAAAGTAAAGCTTGGCCCTGACCTTCAAAGCCCAAGTCTGACCAACGCACCTCTTTACAATGAGTGTACAGACGGTCTATCAGTGTGGGTGCTCATTAAATAACCAGCTATATATACTTCTAATTTTGAGCAGCCACCTATATTTTGCCATGCCTAGTTTTACATCCTAGCTCTTTACTTCAAAACTTAATGAGAACCCTGTCTAGCTATTTATTTTGAATCTTTCCAAGCACCACTAACATTAAGATAATGGCTAGTATCTATAAATGTTTTTGTTATAATATGGCTAGCTCTTGGAACAGTTAAGGCTCTGGTCCGTAAATAAAAGGCCACGCAATAAATAACTTTTTAACCTCGTCCATTCAGTAATTACAGGAAAATCTCAGCCATCAAGGCCGAGGTTTGAGATTTCCTTGTAATGACTTCACTCTCAGTTAATAAGAGTAGGATGTAATATGGACCCCTTGTTGTTCTCATTACATTAGGTAATGCTGTCATTTGGATCTGCTCCTGTCAGTAACTGTGCTAGAGGTAACAGCAGCAAATTACCAGATTATCTGCCTGAAGAGGATGATGATGTTCCAGTTATATCTGATAAGGTGAGGCAGTTCTTTTCAAATGCACCAATCACTACTGAACAGAAACTGTAGCAACAAGGTTCCACCCAATCAATCAGCCTCATTGTCCCATTCATTAAGACCAACAGTAAGTATTGACAACATCACCATCAGGAACAAAATGGCTATTGCAAAACAAAAGAAAATGATGAACACCCCTTTCAAGAATAATTTATTAGTTCATATGTACCATGCAGTGAACATTATTTTATGGCTCAGCAACCAAATAAAAAAATTCTCAGAGCCAGTTGTTTATATGAGGTGACCCAGCTCCCTGGTCAGTCATATAGAATTTTTGTTATGTTGAGTAGATGCCCAGCCGGCTTACCAAGGTCTTAGTTACTTGAACTGAAATCTCGGCAAGAGGGCAGCCCACCTTCCCACATAAATAGAATGAAGGAAACAGGTTATGAGCTCAGCCAGCCTGGTAACACCACATATAAAAAGACACTCAGACAGGTTTTTATCTAAGAAATAACACACCATATTTTGTCTCCTTTTCAGACATGGCATTGAAAAATATGTAGAGATCGATCGTCAACTCATTTAGTGTCTGTAATGAACAGGCAAAGGGAGGGTTCTTCATTTATAAACACACTTATTATTGTGGGAATTTATTTGCTACATTGCACAGTGTTAGCAGCTTTTGCACCACCTAATTCCTATCATTTCCAAAATTCTTTGCAGGCATTAACCAAGGTTGGAGGAGAAGATAAAGAAAATGGCTGGTTTTCTAGTGTAACTAGCTTCTTTAGCAAGACACTGTACTGGTAAAAATGAGAGGACTGTGAAGCACCTTTTGTACAGATTCGTTTAAGATTTCAGTGAGAGTGTTGATCAGTAATATGGTGCACTCGTTTACAGCTGGCTGAAAAATTTTATTGATGTAGTTTAAATACCTAATGTCAGAAACCCCCCCTCCCAGAAACAACCTTTGTTATGTAAATATTAATTAGCCAAGTAGTTACTTTCTACAGGTTATAATAAATATTATTGTTCACAAATTGGAAAAAAAATATTGTAATCTGTTTTATTTGTTATTATGAATCAAAAGCCTATAGATGTCTCTGTTTTGCTTTTTGACTTTGCATAAGGGATGTAGGGGAAAAATCTGTCATCTGTCTTTCAAGGCATCAAGGTTAATTACATGCTGAGAACAATATCAAAATTAAATAAATTTTATGATAAAATTTATTTAATTTTGATATATTGCACTCCCAAATACTCTATAACAGGACCAGGATAATACAGATTGAAATGAGATGATCTCATGTTAATCTGTATTATCCTGGTCCTGTTATAGAGTATTTGGGAGTGCTTTTGATTGATTACTTTTTCCCTAGTGACCAAACTGAAAAACTTGCTGTTCTCAATCTCCTTAAAATGTACAGCAAACCAGTCTCGACTTTGCACCTTTTGTCAAACATTGTAAATACGTGAACAGTGTCAAATAAACTGCAACTATTTGGAAATACTGATTAAAAAGTGGTCCATCTCTTAAAGTACCACAGGTCAAGTTGCAAAAAATCCACTTTCTCCCCTCCCCTCTTTCCTTCTTTCGCCCTAGCACCTACCCTTAGGGTTACTATTTTTACTCTCCCTAATCTTCCTCCGTCATAACAAAGATGGCAGTTACAACAGTACGAACATAAAACAAGCAGCTTTTGCCCGCCCAAAATACTCCTGCACTGCAGGCTAGTTCCAGAAATGACAACTGGCCCTTTCAAACGCTGGATAGCACTATCCTCCAATTCAGTGGATAAGTTTAGGAACATCAACTGCGCTATCCACTAGATGGAGATTTCTTTTGAACAACTGGGGCCTGAAGGCTATAAAAATTGCAAAACTTTTTAAAAATGGAATAACCTTTCTAACCCCTGAAGTCCTAGCACCAATTTTCATGAAACACTATTAATAAAAAAATTATGAAGAAAAAAGATTTAGACAATCCATCACAGATCACTAATTAAAAGGGAAAATGCTTTGATCTTTCATCAAATTCTCTCACCTAATACTTAAAAGAAATGATGGAGATCAGACTGGAGATTTTGTAAGTGGATATTGGGGCTTAAAGGGCAAAACACCACTGCATGCTACAACCTTATTTCCAAGGTCTCGTTTTCTTCAACTGCAGCTAGCTAGGGGAGAGGGAAATGTAGCATTAGACAGAGGAGTGATTCCCATAGAATGCCCTAATTTATCACTCAAGACTTCCTGGTTCTCAGATTGTCCAATGTCACTCAATTTTGCACAGCACCTGAAAATCAGGGCTGGGTTAGACTATGAGTAATCCCCATTTTTCCTCAGGGATAGTAAAGTCAGCGAAATGGGAGCGAGTGTGAAAATCACCCCACGCGAGAAAGATGAGATGTGGCACACATGCTCGCCTTTCACTCACTCTACCATCCCTGAGGAAAAATGGGGACTACTCATAGTCTAGGGCTGGGTTGTTCACAGCAGGATTAAGATAACCCAAAACTGGCACAAAAATTGCATTCAAATATGAGTGCTTATGAAGCAAATTCCTGCACATTCATTTTGCTTGCATGCTTGGACACTAAATTGACAAAGAAAAATGCTTTAATAATCAGGAACCCAGATAAAGATTTAACCCCTATTGGCCTTCAAACAAATGGGCCACTGTTTGCACTGCTATCATATAATTTATAAGAGAAATATGAGGTTTCCTTAGAACTCTTTTGAGTCCTAAAATCACAGTGCATGTTCACCACACTGTTCTCCACAAAAGCAAGACATAAATCTTCCATCAGCGTTCCTTTATTTAAGGGAGATATCAGATTTTAGTCACTAGGTCCCAAAGCCATGCAAAAAATACATTTTGTGATGTTTTGTAAAAGAATGACCATCCTATGAAAACTTCTCATACCATCCTTGAACGTTTTTAAATCTAAATACTATTAATTAAAATACAAATTAATTTTCTTATTGCAGCAATATTTAAATAAATGAAAGTATTTCTATTACATGTCAATATTTATAAGTGGAAAGGGGAGGACCCCAACAAAAGAAATTTTGTCTCTCTACATTCCCCATGGTAAATTTCTCAGATTTCGCCCCATCTTTAGAGGCACTGGACGGGAGAACATTAAACACTTTTTTTTACTACAAAATCTGAATATGGATATGAATCTGAAAATTCCACACCTCAGGTAATTCAAATCAGTAAATCAAAACATAATTTAGATTTAAACAATGAATTTCATGACTAGACAAGCAGTTTTCTGGTGAAATCATGAGGTCAGGTACATTCCTGTTTAACCAAATTATTGCATATGTCAAGTAAGCTTATCACACTTTAACATCTTTGTATAATCATATGCATCAACTAACCTTCATCAGATTCCCGTCTTGTTTTATACAGTGTTTCACAGACAGCTTACAAAAGCAATACAGTGAAATAATATATTATGATAAACAGACCGCAAGGAAGTAGAGGCTTTGTTGTTTTGGGGAATTCAAGTCACTACGTACATGTACAGATCATGGAAAAACTAGCACCTAACTTTGGTCTGATTTCTTGTCCAGCAAAAGCACAAGTACATATTCTTGCCACCAAGATTAACTACTTAATTTATGATATTACAGATTTACAATTAATGTTCTATCGAAATGGCCTTGAATGACCTCAATTTCCAGAGAAAAAGACTGAGAGGAACAGGTGGAACCCTGGGAATAAGGTTGGCCTGTTGCAGTGCATACTGTGACGCTGTTGGCAATAAATATGAAGAAATTATAATAATTAATAATTATTGATGTCATTCATGATCAATCAGCCTTCTTTTCCCCTTTTCCTCCAACAGTTGCCATTTTTGAGTTTGCACCATTACTCTTCCAGTCCTCGTTACTCCAGCCACTAGATTCACCCCAGTCATCATTGTCCCAGCTTATTAAATCTCCCCATCCATCACTACTTTGCCTTGTAACTGCCTCAGGCTTTGTGCTACCACTACTTGTTGTCTTGGATATTTGCTTTGAGCTGCGTGATGCATTATTCTTGGTTGTGGGTTGGGATTTGTGTTTTGGGCTCTCAGAGTCACTGCCCCATGCCCAAGACTCCATTTCACCATTGTCCTCCTGATCATCATCTTTTGTTTTGGCTGTAATATTGATACCTTCATCATCTTCTTCTCCATTTAATTCCGCATAGTTATCCCAGTCCCAGTTGTCTGTATTATTTGAAGCAGCATTGTTAAATGCTGAAGTCCCACTTACAGATCCATATCCATCCCCTGAGCTAGCGCCACTTGTCAGAGACTTTGATCCATAATCCCCTCCTTGATTGACAAGGGTTTGAATATTTGCCCATCCTTTCACACTAGCACTTTGAAGATTTGTCCAGCCTTTGGTACTTGCATCTTTGACCTATCACAAAAGTGTTTTTAGAATTCTTTCTACCTAGAACAATTCAGGATAGCTGGAACAGACTGACAGTAATAACAGTGATAAAAATAAAGGATGTTTCCTGCTTAACCATAAATGTCAACTTTTGACAACATATACCTTGCTTGACAAGTTGGACATTGATGTCGTCATGTCATCAAGAAGCTTGCCCTCCTGAACCTTAACATAAAAAATACAGTTAGTCATAAAACCAACTTTTTAAAATCTCTGTAAAACCGAAAGAGAAAAAAAAATCTTTCTCACTGCGCTATTCAATGAGCTGGGCTGATCAAGCAAAACAATTCCAATTTTTTTAGACAATTATCTAATGATGAATCCTAACACTTTAAAATTAAATTGGACTACATGTAAGTATCATCAAAATCAGAAAAACGAAAACATACCCTATTTGAGACCTTCTTTACACCTTCATTCATGGTCGTTCCCAGTTCAACTGCCTGATAAATTAAATAAGGTTTTATCAACCTTGAATTTACTACAGTATTGAACAAATCTGTTATCTTGAGAAAAAGTTTGTGCTGTACTGTACATACCTTATTTGCTGTTGGTTTGATGACTGATTCATTAACTGTTGATCCAAGCTTGACAGCCTACAAAGTAATGACTTCAAGTTAACTATCACATAATTGCTAAACAAGAAACAATTAACAGATGAGTACTATACATGCACAGTTATACAAGCTGTTCACTGAAGTACTGCATTATGGAAACTATTGCAGTAAAGTACTATAACTTTCTGTGGTGCTGCTTCAAAGCTTTATTTTTTCAGTTTCAATCTTTTTGTCTCCTTTGAAAGAGTTAAACCTTACTTGTTGTGAGGCTACTGAGGCAAACTGGGCAGCACTTGAGGCAAATGAACTCCAACCCTATAAACAACAACAGTGTAGTTTGGAAGGATTTGTTAAATATAAATATTATGAGAGTAACAAGTAGAGCTTAGATTAATATACTGGCAAAAATAAAATGGCTTATTCTGACCACCGACAATGCTTGTAAAAAATCCTTAAATTTCACTTGAGCACTGTCAATCAATCTGCTTATCCTTTGGTCTGGCCTTGCGTTTGTTTTGAAAAATAACATGGATTGGGAGCTGTTGCCTTATTGTTAATTTTGTAACTGGGGACCTTCATTTAATGCCACTGACTTGTAAAGTAAATGATGGAATCATATGATTATATCAGTGCATTTTAGCCAATAATCACTTTTAAAAACAGAAGGAATTTCTTATTTTCTTTCTTTTCAGTCTCTCTTACTGTTATGCATGAACATCATTAGTAAGTGTTACTGATCTCAAGATGTTCCATTATTGTGGTCAAAGCATGCTTAAAAATGCCTGCTGTCAGGTGCTTGCCTCAAAAATAGCAAATTCTTTTCAAAATAAGCCTCCAGCTTCTATATAGGCTTTGTTGCTTAATTACCATTTTGAACAATTTTAACATAAATTATTTAGAGTAGTGTCTAACATCTTTAATATAATTATATGTAAATTTATTGTGCAATGTAGATGTATTTACGTGGTTAATGGTAAAATAAATGGATGAATCAATGAATCAATGAATGAATGAGTAAGCCTTCAACAAGTTCTCAACAGTACTTACATGTAAGCTTTTTGTGCTCACACTGTCAACTGTTATACAAAAGGAAGTGTCAAGTGTAAAGTTTATTACAAGGCCACGTGCACATAAAAAATTTCTCTTCGAGTGTCGGATGGCAATAGAAGCAGCAAAGGTAATAATAGTTTTGTGCTTGATGTCCAGGATAAATTCACCTTCAACTATCTGATTAACTATAATATGATCAACATATCTGGAATATTTGAGACATTAATTTTATCAAACGATGTGCTTGAGGCTGGAACTTTAATTATGACTTACAGATGATAAAGATGAAAATGCTGCATCCCAACCTGTTGAAAGATTGCAATTAATTAGTACACCGTTAGGAAAATGAAATGAACTAACCTCTTTGATGCACCCTTTGCTTGAGATTGCATTTTTATTTACACCTTTTTAACTTGTGAAGCTAGCAGGAACCTGAGCAAATAATATTACCTATTGAAGGCTTTTATTCTAATTTTCCCCAGTCGTGTGGTCTGTCAGGAACTCTTGTCGCCTCAATGTGACAGTTTTATTTATCTTTGTAGCAAAAAAACCTATGACTTTTTCAGACATACTTGGGATAAGTGTTCCTTTAATCTTCTATTGACAGTCCACTTAAGGCCCAATGTTTTTTTTCTCTCACAGAAAAAATAACATGCAGAGCAAATTTGCTGTCCAGGCAAACAAAGTTATGATGACATTATTTTGCTCAAAAATTGACTTGTCTCATCTGTAAAACTTTTAGTGTCCAGCTTGGAGATGTTGCCAAAATTCAGCAGTTCATACCTGAGTTGTTTGTTGTGGCAACTGGTGCTGAGCCAAAACCTGTGTACCTCCCACCCTGGCTTGGAGGAAGATTGCTATAAAAAGTAAACAAATTTAGGAATATTATTTTATTTTTGCATGTGTACACAGGATCCATCTGTGAGCAAGCAAGTGTCGTTAATAATAATAATAATAATAATAATAATAATAATAATAATAATAATAATAAAATTTAAAAAGTTAACCTATTTTAGGTCAAGTTTGGATTCTATTTTTTTAGCGTTTTATTACTTCGAGCCTTAGTTTACTGGTTTTTTTTTTTTTTAGAGTATTTTAAGATTTCCAGTGGGGCCCTACAAAATGCTACAAGCCCTCTAAAATCTTAAATGGTCAAGGCTGTTGTGAACTTACTCAGGTCTTGCAGCATTTTCCATCTGTCTTCTGTTAAAGAAATCTTCTTTTTGAGCATTGAACTCTTGCCTATAAATAAACACCATTATAGTAGGTAATTAATGTTATGGCTGAAACCTTAATTTGAAAAGAAAAATATCCATCCTGTGGCTGAAAATCAACCAGTACCAATAATGTTTCATTAAGATCATAATATAATAAACCTTAATTTATAATCCACAGTAGAAGCTAGACTGTAGTCAACCTAGGAATCTAAATAAATCAGTGCCATAGCACATAGTTGGGTACAGGGTGCATTAAATAAATCATTGCCATAGCACATATTTGGGTATTCTACTAGGAGAATTCAGGCTCCTCCAAGATGACTGCTACTGAACAAGCAATGAGGTGTGCACAATATAAGGTTGGTTTTGCTGCATTGACTGACCATGTATGCGTCAATGCAAATCTGTAGTAACAAGAAAACTGATTGGAGGATCAAACTGGAACTGGATGAACAATCATAAATGGAAAAATTATATATGGTTGGTTGCACGGTTAAAAATGTCATCTTTAGAATAGCAAGATTGATTTTTTCCTACCCCTCACAATTTTGTGTGTACATGTAATTTGTTGCAATGCCTATCTTCTCTTTGTTCCACAAAGTATTTTCCTTGCTTATTATTTTTATGGTGACACTAATGTTAATGAAGAGATCAAACTCTGTGATTCATACTTAGACATCCCTAACATCAGCTCTGGTGATGAGCTGCTAGAGGACATGGAACTCATGGAACGTGAACCATTTGACATGCGCCCAACAGAAGCACCGCTTGAGCTTCTAGCTAATGGTGGTTCATAGTTCCTCGCTGGAGATGTCTCTTCTGACCATGCTCTCCCTTCAGCTTCTGTTAAAATCTGCAATAAAAAGGTAGGATTTAATCAACCCATGAAGCCCTAATATCCACATGCAAATTGTTCAGACTGATCTCCATAATTTGTACATTTCCTTAAAAAGTAAGCTGGAAGAATTTGATTAAAAGATCAAAGCTTTCTCTTTGGTGATCTTTTTTATTTAGTGATTCTCATAACCTTTCGTCTTGATTATGTATTAACATTTTTAGGAGAAAATTGATGTTAGTCACTCACAAGACTTAAAAGGTTAAAGAAGCTAAGTCAAGAAATTCAGCAACCACTAGCCATGATCTGGCCAACAACCAATACTAGTTTATAGAGAAAATGGTTTGTCCTAAACAGATTTTGAGTAGCAAGTTACATGTAAAAGAATAAAACTGTGGAACTACACTAATACTTTTTGGTTAATTTCACAGAATGCTACATTAGTAACACTGACTATAAATCATTAAAATTTCACCTTTGGTTGAGAAATCTTACCTTATCCCTGTATAGTGCTGCAGCTTTGCTGTTATACTTTTCATTTATGCTCATGTCTGCTCGGAAATCTGGCTGGGACTTGAAAAATGCTTTGGCCTTGTTATTTCCACCAACCTTTCAAGGAAGTAATAAATTAGAGGCAGTTGAGATTTTTCGCTTAAATGCATGTACCAGCTATGGGACAAGATGTGCATAATTTTTTCAGGATTGAATAAGAACAAATCTACTGTGTAAGAAATGAAGTTGAAAATGAACAAGACATTCTTAACATAAGAAGACTCTAAGCTGTTGTTCTGGAACAACAACTTCTTGAGTTGAAACAATACTTATGAGTCCCCAAAATCTCAGGATGTCTTATGCAACCCAGCTCTGGCACTTGAATTCAGTCAACTGCATGGATGAAGGCCCATATTAACTAAATACAAGAGCCAATGACAAAAATACTTTACAAAAAAACAAATAATTATTTTAAAAAAGTGGGCTTTTCAACAATGGCTTTTACGGCCAAGATATTGTCATGGTGTTTTCGCCACCTGAATATTGTAGGTTGTTTGCTCAAAAGAAGGCCTACCAAGGGGGAGTCACGGGCACCCCAGGACCCCCCCTAATTACGCCCCTGAAAGGATTTGATTGACTAAATTGGATATAATGACATTAAGAGAGAAAAGGCGGGACAATGGTGTGCAGATATAATATTATATCGGCACACCATTGTCCCGCCTTTTCTCTCTTAATATATCCAATTTAGTCAATCACATCCCTTCCCTGGAAACCAACATTTGAGTGTGGAAAAAAGGTTGTTACTTTAGAAAGACATATTTTAATGAAACAAGCAGAGTTAAATGAATTACATACATACATACATAACCTTTATTTAAGTGTCTAATCATTCTAGTGCCTATTGGCACTATTATTGGGACACCTTTAAAACTAAATTACATCATTTGAGACAATTGAGACAAACTGTACTCTTTAAAATACTTGACTTGTATAATTTAAATGCTTTTTTATTGTTATTACCTACTTGTTTTATTTATTTTTATTTTCAGCTTTTTTTCAACCAGAAATAATGATTAGTATAAAAATGTTTGGGCAAGAAGACAACATTTTAGACTGAGAGAGAAATGTGCAGTAATTTTAAAATGATGAAAAAAATTGAATCTCCACCAATGACAAAACAAACAGTAGAATACAACTACTGATCAATTTCCTTGCAGCATCATTCTCAAGAGGGCCCCAACAAAGCGTTTTTCACTAACAAAGACAGCATCTACAGTGCATATTCATTGAAACAAAAGAAAGCGTTTAGATAAGAAAAGAGTCCAATTCCCACAGGATTTGTTGAAACATCAACATGGCCACCATTTCATTGTTTTAGAACACCAATAGGGCAGCTGTGACATCACGTGAAAACTCTCTATAGAATTTTTCAATCCCATCATACCAAACAGAGTTTTCCCTCAGTACCATAATTCTCAGGGCTGTCACTAAGATTTCTCCTAGCTGGGTGCATACAATAATTATTAGTAGACAGGGAATTGAACACCTGTAAGGGCCTGTTTACAAGGAGAGAGGGTTAACCTTGTGCTAAGGTTACCCTGGCAAGTGGGTTAAAGTTAGCTCTGGTTTACAAGCATGACATTCTTTGTAATGGTTCAAAATTTGAAATAATCTTCTCAAACTCATTAATAATTCATAAAGAAAATACAAAGAAAATTAATGTTTAATGAGTGTTTGGAAATCGGAGGAAAAACTGCTCAGTATTTGCATCCTTAATTTCTCCTTCAAAAATGATCTTGTTTTAGAAGAAATATCAAACATTCGACACAGTGTTTCATCACCAGATGAAACACCTCGAAAAATCAAAAAATACTCGCCGCGCGTCAGTATTTTCAACTCTCTTCTCGGTGTTTCATCTGGTGATGAAACACTGCGTCTCATGTTTGATATATTACTTCTCAAACTCATTAATAATTCATTAAGAAAATACAAAGGAAATGAATGTTTAATGAGTGTTTGGAAATCGGATGAAACACTGCTTAGTATTTGCATCCTTAATTTCTCCTTCAAAAATGATTTTGTTTGAGAAGAAATATCAAACATTCGACACAGTGTTTCATCACCAGATGAAACACCTCGAAGTTCGTCAAAAATACTCCGCTGCGCGTCGTATTTTCAACTCTCTTCTCGGTGTTTCATCTGGTGATGAAACACTGCATCTCATGTTTGATATATTACTTGAAGTTCTCTATGGAAAACACATTAATTTCATGAAAAGAAGGGAAAATATTTTCATCATAGACAGAAAATAACTTTTTATTTTTTAGATGTTTATAATTAAGCTCAGAAATTGGATAATACTATTCAAATTGGCACAATTACTGGTCACACATCATGGCGGAAAATTGAACCGGGAGGCGAATTATCCCTAGCTGAACGTTCACAAGGCAGGTGGGGTAACCATCTTGCTAGGGTAACCCTAGCATAAGGGTTACCCTCCCTCCTTGTAAACAGGGGTTAAGGTATTTTGGGGGTCTATTTTCTGGGAAATTGTTTATTGACAATTCTTGAGTATTTTTTGTTTGTTTGTTTGTTTGTTTTTTGATTAACTGTACTATTAATATTCGTCTATGAAAAGCCCCCATGGGGAGTTGACAATAAAATTTGTATTGTATTGTATTGTATAGTATCCAGGGGAAATTCCCAGCCCCTGATATCCCTGATACCATCACTGAGATTACATTGTGACAATGACTTTATTTGGCTAACCATAAACAACTTTTTCGTACCTTCATTTTCTCTAGCTCAATGTCCTTCCATTTGTCCATTGTTACAGATCTGACAAAACTGCAATAAGAATATTTTACCCAATTTACTTGACATAACTTGTTTCTATTCTTGTAAGCTAGGCAAGTCTAGAGCTGATAAGAAACCAGTCTTCTATTTTATTTGTTGCTAAAAGTACACAATCCTGAATGGGAATGGACAGTTGTCATTAGACGCTACTTCTTGTAATCAAAACAAATCACCGAAAATAGTTGCCTTGTAGGGTGTGTGCTTTCTGCTCACTGGAATGAATACTTGGTATTTTGTTTGTAAGTTAGTTGTTTTGCGACAACAATAATAATCAGTATTGTGCATGCACACTTTATAGACAACAGGATAATGCATATTAGTATATACTAAAACTAAAACATTGGCTACACAATCAGTGAATATCCTGCACTATTCACTGATTCACCTCCAGCTCCTCCTCCGAGCGACGCAAAACTCGCGTAAGTTGCGAGCAAAATGCCTTCCCAGTTTGCTGCCGTAACAAACTAAGAAATTTCACAACTAATCAAGCAAGCTATTCCTGAAATACATGAAGAAGATGACGAAGTTCGGTTTGGAAGTTTTACCAGGTAAAGCTTTGTCTTTTTGACTTGAATTTATCGATAAAACCGGTGAAAAAGTCTTTTTTTTACAAATGCAAATTAAGCTTAAGTCTTACGTTACTTTATTTAGTTGACTTGTTCATAAATGAGCTTAAAACTAAATTTAACAATTTTTTTTACAGACTGATTTTAAATACAAAAAGAGTTCACAACTCCTTTTGGAGAAACTTCCCCGCAATATCTGAACAAACGCCTTCAAAAGTTTTATTTGTTGCTAAAAAAAAGCAATGACTGCAGCCATTGGGTCATTGCACGCCAAAATTGTAATCGTTGGCAACAGTAAATGAGTTAAAAATCACATTTTTGTGCTCAATTATCTCACTGTTTTAGTATTATACTAAAATAATAATTATTCATGTCAGTGTCGGTGGCTAGTAGTGGATATTTACTTTGCCGCTTCGCGGCCTCGGTAAATTTCCACTACTAGCCACCTCTACTTCGGTGAATAATTGTTATCTAATTTTCTTGAAAATTTCACAATGAAAACTGTCATTACTTCTTGGTGTTCAATCTTGACATCTCATGAGCTTTTTCAATACAATTTTTTTACACACAAAATTATGCAATGTCCTTGAAGAAAAAAGCACCACCGGTTATCAAAGGAAGATCTCAAACACAATGTAACTTACGAACTTCTTACAAATTTATTTTGTGAGCTCTACGGGTAATTATCTTCCCATACCTTTGCTTTACGCATTATAAATGCCAAGAATAATACAGTCAGACTTAATGACTTAACCAGACATTGACAAAATGCGTACTGGCCATAAGCCAATAAGCATAAAAAACATTGAAAAAAGTAGAAGTAAAAAATAATAATGAATAAAAAAGAAGACTTTCCCTACAGGGTAGGTCAATATCTATAGATTCATTAGGATAAACGGCCAAAAAAAGTGGTCTTTTGCGGGGACAGTGGGAAATTGTAAGGTTCATCTTGTCTGCACGAGTAGCCAATCAGAACTCAGAATGCACTTCATCTTGGCTACTTGTTGAAACAGTCATAAAATAAAATTAGATGGTCTGTAGGAATACATGAAAGCTTAACTTCTTGAAATGTTAGCTCATTTAAGCTTTCATACCAAGCATTCTTTGGTATTTTGTAGGTATTATTTAGACGTAAGGGACAAAACGTTTCTGCTCATCAATGATCAAACAATCATAAGCAATTTAGACCTTTCCACGAAATAACCAAATTCTTGCTCAATCACTGCCGTCAGCAAATAAGAGTGAATAGAGTGGTTGCATGTAAGCTTAAAGCTGTTAACACCGGCTTATCGCAAAAAAATCATTTTCCCTTTCGTTACAGGGAATAAAAATAGCGCTTATAGATCGACAGAATACTAGAATATTGATCAATCTTACATCTTACCTTATATGAACGCCTAAACCACGATGTTTCCCGGAACACTCGAGACAAATCCATATTCCATAGGTCACACTGACCCACTGCGGGTTATGAGCCCCGCATTCGAAACAACTCTGAAAGAACAAGAAACCAAGGAATTGTCACATTTTCCCAAAAAATATAACAAGGATTTCTTTATTTAAATGTTATTTCCTTGGTTTACTTACACTGTTGCCGTCTTTCGGCTTTATTTCTTTCAAAACTCGCCGTGTTCTCGGGCTGGCCATGTCGTGTCGTATGCTTTCAGTTCGACCCCCGCTTCCCTTTACGTGTACTGAGGCACGGGTGGTTGATGGGAATGCTAGCACACTTCCGGAATCTCTGGACTTCCGGCCTCGATAACCTACAATCCTGGACAAAAGTCCTTGGGACAGTACTGCGAGATTCATATTTTTCTGTCATTTGTCGGTTCCCTCTAAAAACAGTGCATCCCTTTCGAAACTTTCTTGCACTTCTCCCTCCCCCTACCCTATACAAAGTTGAAACTCGGAAAACATTTTGGATACACCTCGTCAGGAGCCCATCACCCTGACCTCGTCCAACATTGTTTGTGGGGTGAGGGGAGGGGTTGGACCTGTGTGAATTGGAAAACGCCCCAGAGAGGAAAAAGTGTCCCAAGACTTTTGTCCATGATTGTAGGTATAGCCCACAAAACTAATCAATTTTGCTTCGTTAACTGATAGTTTCATTGTATCATTTTCAAAATTATTGAAACTTTGAAATTGAATGCAAAACCAACAGCTTTCCGAGCCCAAAACGTTAACGGGACTTTCCAGAAACAGGCCCCATGACCGACAAGACCAACTGAGAAATGTATTTCTTATGACGTTTTTGCAGGATGGCAGGAGCCTAGACCCTACAACCGAGCCTGCTTTTTGTGAAAAGAGGATTTTAACATTAGCGTGCTTTTCTTCCAAAAAAAAAATTAATCGAAAGGATTCTTGTCTGGTAAACACATAGAGGAGATCTGCAAAGCTGATCATACTACATAAAAATCAAGGCATATAAAGTACGACACCTATAGGTCAGACTGATTAAACTATTGTTTACATGATATATAAAAGGGCATTTCAAAATGACCAAAGCAAAAATGAAATGTTATTGGCTAGTTTTCAGACAAATCAGGTTCCAAGCAGAAGATGATGAAATCGGATGAAGACAGGTTTTTTTTATCGAGGATGTTTTTATGCCTGATTGGCTTTTCCTTCTAACACAATTTAAAAATTCTTACTTTATTCCAGTAATGACTCAGTCCTATTTCAGGTAATCACGGGTTTTCTTTAACATTTTGACAGTAAGTACTGTGTTCATGACCTCATTTCTTGTCATAAACTTTAAAGGCGTTTTGGTGCAAAGATTTTTAAAAACTAATAAAAGGCACTAGTCAGCCACTGCCACTTGTTTACAGTCGCGAAACCCCCCTTTCTCGTAAATGACTACCCCTCATAAGCGACCAGCTATCCAAAACAACAAAACACAAAAAACTCTACGTTTGTTGTATGTACTACACTTCTTAGAACACAATGCAATGTACTTTTTAGTCCGGCAACATAGAAACTTAGATGATGATAATGATGATGATGATGATGATTATGATGATGATGATAAACTCTTTTAAGTCGTCAATATATCGTTTAGCGGGCCTGGTACGATAAGCAAAACTTGCAAAAAAAGACGGTGCCTAAAACTATTGATTTAAAATTTTGCCGAAGTGGAAAGAACCGGTCTGGCCTCTTCTAAGAAGGGACCCCTGTGGGTTGGTTCTCTTAAGAGAACAATTCCTTCTTATTTCTGAATCTTTGCGTTTTTGCGCGGTTTTTGACTGTACTTTGCATAGGCGTACGGGCTATTTTTTGCCAGGCGGGGCGGTAAACCATTCGCCCAAAAAAATTTTTGCAAGTTGCCCAAATTTTTACAAAACAGTGGAACAGAAACGAGGGTCGATGCAATAACATAGGTCGTACTGGCTTATGAAAATGGTTCCATACAGTTTTTCAGGTTCAATACCTGCCAAGTTTGAGCATAAACTACGTCGCCACAAACAAACATTTGGAAAATTTGCCACCACAGTTGTATTAGATAAAGATGAAAATTTGTTGTGATCAGGGTTGCAATGACATCGGAGTTGTTATAGCAATGAAATGAAGCCATTGCCTATTATACTTGCAGCAATATTTCTCTCTGGGAACTGTTCTTCTAAAATCGATCACAGGAGCTTTTTCCTCCAATAGCCGCCTCGATGTTCGTGAAGTTAAAACGAAATCTGTGAGAGCATTATTGAGATATTTTGGGATAAAGTTTTTATCGTTGGAAATACGGTAAAAAAAGGAAAATCTTGATGTTTGGCCGTTATCTGTAGAAAACGATGCGCTTTTGACATGCAATTTCACCTCAGAGTAGTTTCAATCTTTTTAAAAACGTGGGTGATAGATCATGGAGATAGCTCCGGCCAATTGCTACAAAGAAGGATTTGATTAAATGTATCATGGCGCTCTTGTTAGCGGTTTTGTCAACATCTCAGTCTACTTTAACAAATTATTGAATAATTTTTAAACCGCTCGATAGACTTTTTAAAAAAATCAAGATTCTTCTCGCAATTAAAACTGAGAATTAGTCTGCCACTTCTTCTCTTTAAGACCCATTACTGATGCCATCTGCCATACACTGTTCTACGAGAGGAGATGGTTCTAGAAAGTTAGGCGGAAGTTTATTCTAATAAATTCACGAGTGGAAATAGCCCATTGCAGTACAGTGCCCAAATTTTCTCCAGCTGCCCAAAAAATCTGAGTTGCCCAAAATTTGGGGGGGCTGCAGCCCCCCTCGCCCCCCCGGCCCGTACGCCTATGGTACTTTGCATGGTCGTGAAGCGTGTCTTTCATGCAACACGAATGTACCGAGTTTGGAGTTTGTTGGCCTGGAACTGGAACGAGACTAGTGGCCAATCCCCTCTCTTGTCTACTCGCAGTACGCATGTGATAATCGCGAAGTAGGCGGAAAGCAATGGCGAAGAAAAGTTATGACTACCTTTTCAAGTTACTCCTTATAGGGGATTCAGGCGTCGGAAAGACCTGCATTTTATTCCGCTTCTCCGACGATGCGTTTAACACGACGTTTATCTCGACGATAGGTGAGAGAAAGCGATTGTGTTGTGCTATTTACCTGGTAAATGTTAGAATATGTGAGCTCTGATCGAGTTAGGAATTTCGCTCTGCAAATGCAAGCATTTTAAAGTCAGCCGTCGACTTTTTACTGTGTGGTGTGGTAATGCAGCCCATCCACCTAACCGCCGCACCATAAAGAAATTTAAATTTGTCGGAAACGAACCATGGCAGTTTCGTTTAAATATTTAGAGAATGAAGTTTGCCATAATTTCATCCCGCTGTGTTATGCATGTCGTGTCCAATCGTAGATAGATAGACATCACCTTACCTGAGCCTAATACACAGAGTATGATGAAACCCAAATATTGCCACTGAAGTTCACAATTTCGCATTACTACACAACGTCAATTCGAGGATGTAATTAACGCACTTGGCCAACCTTTCACAAAATGATGATTGCAACATTTTCGAGTCCAAAAGATCATTACTATTTTGAGGCTCGTTTGCAAATTCCTAAAATTTGCACTTCGATTTCCAAAGATGGGCTTTGTTTACTCAATAGTAGCATAAATTTCGGAATTCGTTAGTTTTTGTTACAAGTCTTGTCAAAATCTTTTCCGGATTTATCAGCTGTTTGTGACTAAGTAGGAGGGTTTTGACCAAATTACACTAATTATGTTTTTATGCTGTTTTTGTAAAATAGAATTGTTAGATGGTCATTCATTTTAACTTGAACATTCTTTGTGTAAACTTGTCTGTAAAAGGCTTGTGTTTCTACTTTTTTTTGACTACTACTTAAAATTATTCAATTATTCAATTTCAATACATCTAAGCTGTTATCCAAGTCATCAGTTGAATGAATTGCCCCCTGCTTGCAAATATTTTATAAGAATTTTGGTTAAATTTGGTCAGTGACTGCACTGACTAACTGTTTAACTAGCTAGGAAGTCATATAAGAAGAAGCTTTTGAAAATATTTTGACCAAGCATGAGTCATGGGTTGCTTGTGTAGTAAGTGAGCCAACGTTCAAAGATAATATTCCAGACATAGTTGCCGGTAATGGATAGAAATCGATGTCGCAAATCAATCGATATCATCGATATTAATCGATTTAATCCACTAATTAATATTGAGTGATATCAGAAATCGATAGAAGTCGAAGTCACAGAAAAAATAATAAATTATTTATTGATTATTATCAATTAACAAAATTGATAACAATTGATCCAAATCAATAACAATCAATTTCTATCGGAAACTAATATTTTAATTGAAGTCACAACTTTTTTTCTTTATCGATTTCTATCCATTGATTTCAGAAATCGATATTCATTGATGATTGATATCGATTTATCGATTATTGGTTTATCGATTAACTACATCTGAAGTATTGAAAGGAGATAGCCTTTGAATGTCACTTTGATGTAAATTTGTTTGTAAGTCATATCTTCAATTTCGTTTTGGATACACAAGTTTCTGATCAAATGCCCAGCTTTAAACCTTTAACTGGCAAATTTTGGGGGGAAATTTTATCGCTGCAGCTGCCTTTTGAAAAGTATGCTAAAGACTTCTATACTGTCATGAAAGATATTACTATACTATAACTCCTAGGGCTATTAACTATGTATCAAAATGTTTGTCATAGAATGCTCTTCTAAATACAGCAATAAAATATGAAACAGGATTTATTGTCAATATTTTACCAAATTGTTTCCAATTTCAACTCTCTGAGGGCACTCCTCTTCCAAAGTTGCTTCAATCTAGATTGAATCGAGTAAATCGCCATCGTGAGTAATAAGAACTTAATTTCCTTTGCTTGAAGATATATCTTCAGAGTTAAAAACAACAACAACACACTAACAGATAGTTATGATTTGAATAGCACCTACCCATAAATAGTGAAAAAAACTAATTTACAAGAAACGATCTGTTGTGAAGTCATGACGTATGCTAGTTGTTCATGATTGTAGCAAACAAAAATCGTGCGGTCTAAATTGGCCTTTAGGATTACCGGAACTTGGTGGCCAAGTGTTTTTCGCCACCCACACACAAATTTAAGTTTCTACAGAAAAATAAGTTCAAGATTTCCTTTTTAATCCAACAGATTTTGTTCACTTGAAACAGACAATAGGGCCATTTATATGAGAGCAAATAAGCCATGGCTTACCCAAGATGCTAACATCCTGAATAAATGGTTCAAAATCTGCATTCTCGGCTTATTCAATATATGGCTAGCCCAAGCCACAGCTTATTCTGATCTAAAAGCTTTGGGTTACATTGTTTTTGGCTTGCTGAAGCCATGAGCATCTGCTGGGTATGTGCTGTGCTGTTTTCATTTTTGATGTTGTGGCCCAGACATCTTTACTTGTGCTCCCATCACTGTCAATTAACTAATTATAGAGCACAAAATTAATATTTGTTTGGAACACGTCCTCCAGTGGAATGGTTCCTAGATATTTGCGTCACTACAGGATTTGGGTTAAGTAATTCATTTCCCATTTTTTTTTCTCTAGGTATCGACTTTAAGATTAAAACTATTGAGCTTCAAGGAAAGAAGATTAAGCTGCAGATATGGTAAGCTAATTTCACTTGAGTTGTGTATGTATGAAAAATTGTTCAGTCTAAAAATGCTATGAAATGTTCTCATTCTGGTTCAACATAACTGGACAAGCAACTTTGCTTTTTGATTCTAAGTCAACAAAAACTAAAATGACAAAGAAAACTGAACTTTACTCCATGAAACTAACCTTGGCACATAAACTCTTTCAAGACAGTCAACCTTTGGACTGAGCACTAAGAGTACATTTTAGAGAGGTATTTACCCTACTCAGAAGTCCTGAATTAAAACTAAATTTAAGAAGTTCTACCCCTCAGATTCCAAGTTTGCCCATTGCTTGTTTTCTTAGTAGACCCCTTGTACTGTAGTTGCAAGCATGTTGTTGTTTAAGAATTTTATACATTACTGATCACTGTGTCCATATGATATATATAATTTGTTTTATACGTGTTGATGTAGATTAGGTTAGTTTAATTTGTAAACTCAATAGCTATCGTGTTTAAATAAAGATTATGTATGTATGTAGAATGTGCATGTGAACCTTACTTGCCCTGTGTTGAAAAGGCATCTACATCCACATCTACTTCATTACTCTTCAACACTTTACACATGTATCAAGAAGAGTTAAGAAATAAGAATAAAAATATAAATGAAAAAATTAAAATAAAACATATAGTATTAAGGAATTGCTATACTTAAAACAAAACTTAAAATCATCGATTTTGCTGCACAAAATGCTGAATAATTAAGTGATCTGGTTTCAGGTAATAAACAATGTTGTTGCTCTTCTAGGGATACAGCTGGCCAAGAGCGCTTCCACACAATAACAACGTCATATTATAGAGGAGCGATGGTGAGTGGAATTATTTACTTTTTGAGATATAAACAAGCATTTAACTCTGTCTTTTTAACATCATATTATAGAAGAGCAATGGTAAGTGAAAGCAACTTTGTGAGTTATTTTAACCTCATCTTTTCAACAGAAGCAAGAAGTTATTCTAAAGACAATGGAAAAGGACTGTTGTAGTAGTTCATTGGAGTTGTCACACCTTAGCATTAATATGATGCAACATTGCACCATTACTTATAATACGAGCTACATGTAGCTAGAAGGACTAATGCTAAGTTATTAAGCACATGATACTTAATGCAGTTCTAATTAAGCATCAGTCTGAGTTTTTTTGATATTTGCAGGGCATTATGCTTGTGTACGATATAACCCAAGAGAAGACATTTGACAACATTTCAAAGTGGCTACGGAACATTGAAGAGGTACTTTCCGTTTTTGTTGTGAATGAAAATCACTTTTCCACATACCGCACTTACTAAAATGATTCACTGGAGTCTACTACAATAATCACCAAGGGAAAATTGTATTGTTGCATAAAATTTCTTTTCATCCCCTTTGAAGGTTTTGTATCTTTGAACACTCAGTATTGTGAGAAGTTCCAGTTAAACTTAACCTTCATAGCTAGCTGTTTCGTTAAAGCATCATGAAAGAAATTCCTCTTGAAGGCAAACAGGAGACTGAAGAGGAGGAAGAGAGAGATTTTCGCTTCCTCTTGCATGTTTTCCGTTCCTTCCTGCTTCCGAGGCTTGGGCTGTGTACCTCACTTGGAAAGTGTGCATTATTTTATACACATGTAACTTGTCCTTGTTGCAATTTTTTTTGTTTGATCTTACATGAAACTATTTTAGACCTAATTTAAACCGTTTTTTAAACCCAATGGATTGACCTTCAATAATGTCATTGTAATTTTTTGCACTTTATTTCAGCATGCAAATGAAGATGTAGAAAAGATGATCCTCGGTAACAAATGTGATATGGATGATAGAAGAGTTGTCAGCAAGGAGCGTGGTGATCAGGTAGGTTCAAACTGGAAAAGATTTCCATGGTAACTCCCCCAAATAAGATGCAAAACTTGTTCACGAATAGTTCTCCTCGCTTAAAGAGAACCATGGCTTTTTCTGTCAAAATGCATGGTTCTGTTATTAAAGTTTGCAAAGAAGTGGCAAACACAATAAGATTGTATGAAACATTAGCCTCTATTTTTTTCATTAGAATAGTCATGATCATCCAGGGCTGTCATTAAGAGGCGGGGGCCGGGGATTTCCCACCGCTACTATGAACATGGTCCCCGGTTATTTTCATAGGAAAATAGAAGAAAAATAGAACCAAAAGAAATCCCTAGCTGTTTGATTCCCTGCCTACTTGTTGTATTTACCCGGCAACTTGGAATCTTAGTGACATCCCTGTCATCATTACATACAGTGACAGACGATATCGCATGGCGGCACAGAGATTCAAAATTTCTCTTTGAGTGTTGAAAAATATTAATTTTCTTGAGTGAGCGCAGCGATCAAGTGAAGTATTTTTTTTAACACAAGAAGAGAATTTTCGTATCTCCAAGCAGCCATGTAATGTTCTATTTGTTATGTAAAGACCAATGAAATACCAAACCACTTCACTTAAATATGTCTTTGCTGCCGAAGGCGCAATTTATTATGTAGCCGTAGCAATGGTGATCTTTTCATGTGTGAAGATATCATGTTTCCATGCAAAAGCTCACCTGGTATTTCAGTGGGAGAGCGCTGGTTTGTTGAGTGGGACGTCACTGCTTCAACCCCTGGCCAGACAAATGCTCGGGGTTTTTAAATAACTGAGAAGAAAGTGCTGCCTTTGTAATGACTTCTGCGCACAGTTAAACTTTCTAGTCTTCTCAGATAAGGAAGAAAAACTGTAGGTTCCATCTCACAACACTTTCACTTATCTGATTCTTGTGGGACATAAAAGAACCCACATGACTGTTCGAAAAGAGTGTGGTGTGGCCAACCTTTCCTGGACTAGGTGGGTTATCTGTAAGGAGAGATCATAATACAGAGATAACCTGATGATCCCCTTTAAGGTGCCATAATGGCTACCTGTAAACAGTGTACGTACTTTACATGTATGTATATTTGTGAAGAAAAAGGGTTTTGATTGCTGGTTTCTTTGGTTCCTCTCCACCTTAGATTGCCAGAGAGCATGGCATAAGGTTCTTGGAAACAAGTGCCAAAACCAACATCAACATCGAGCAAGCCTTTTACAACCTAGCTGAAGATATCCTTAAGAAACAATTGACCAAGGACAATGAGGAAACTTCTCAAAACATTCACGTTAGCAATACACAAGAGAAGAAAGGGGGTTGCTGTTAAGAAGAGTCAGGCAGCTTTTTTTGCTTAATACTTTACTAGAATGTACAGTCAAGTCCATGTAAGGGGTTAGATCCACCAAACAATATTGTTTATTGTTTGTGCTTTTTTGTAATGTGTTAACTAAGGACTGCATTACATGCACACACCCTTAGTGGATGATTTTAAATGGTGGATGTAGTTTCTTGCTGTGTTTGTATTAAAATTTGTGGTTACAGAACTGCCACTGGGTTTCACATGTATGATGTTAGCCTGTCCACAGACCCTATATTTTCTCTTAAGAGATCATCGAGCACACCTATGAATTAAAAACCGCTCATATTTGTGCTCCATGCTTGCTGCTGCACATGAGCGAAGCAATTGCACTCACCAAATTGTAGGAAAAAAAGAAAGAAGAAAAACGTCTGTGAACAGGCTAGCTTATGGCGAGCGTTCTGACTAGATAGCAATTGACTAAAAAATGGAATGTGATCATTATTGATGGTCCGTTTTATCATACTGTCCAAGAAGATTGTCAAATAAAACCTTTAAGCCTTAATGTCAACACTGCATACTGTTTTACATTACTCTGATGGGTAAGGAGGCGAATTTGGTTGGATAAATTTCTCCTGACCTTTGAGTTTACGTGTATTAACAGAAAGTTTAAACCTCAGGGCTTAAAGGGGTGAAGATTTGTTTTCGTGCAATACTTGTAGGTACAGCAGAATTAATCCCATACCTTGACATGCATCTGTAGCCAAATCACCAGGCTTACACCTAAGATGCTTTATTCTTTTTAAAGTAATGTCAAGGACATCGTAAGCCTTCGTGGCAGGCGTTTAAAGGAGAAGAGGTAGAGGGAATTCGGGCGCGCGAGGAGATGGGGGGGGGGGTCTGAGCGTAGAAAACGGAGAAAACAATACCGTCGTTGCAGACGTTCGCTTTTTCCCCTCCTCGCGCGCCCGATGTCGCCCCTCCCCTTTTCCTTATAACGTCCTCCACACAGGCTAGGAATTGGCTAGGACAGTATTCAAATTATGATTATAATCCTGTAACTTATCGTTTATTTTGTTATTCTTACTTCCTTAGTCTAGAAATGAGACCGTTTAAGTTGTCGCGCAACAATGTTGCGTTGCGAGTTGACAAATTTTTGTAAGAGTATAACCATGTCGCCCAACTGCAAATTTTACGCGCGAGAGTGCTTGGAGCAGCGAGGAGAATGGGCTGCTCGCGAAAGAATCTCCTGCTTGCGATAATTCGCTCACGGGCAGCGCACTAGATACCGAGAAAAGTTTGTATCGCGAGTAGGTGGGTTAAGAGAAATTAGTTCTGATCTGTCTCCTCTCAAAAGTGTGTTAACTCGCCAATGAGGTGTTACAAGGTAGAAATTAGTTTTCAGGAAATACTTTCCTTCTCATTTCGTCTGAAGGAATAGTTACATGGCCCTTCATTTATACCAGTTAACGTAAATAATGTAACATGCAGTAGTCAAATTTAAAAAAAATCCAGCCATTAACTATTACGGTACTGGGCCTCTTCATTGCCAGTTTTGATCAACTTGTAGCCTGCTTCAGGCGTTGGGAAAGTAGAGTGCGGCGGAAAATCAGAGAGCGGAGAAAAGTAAGGGGGTGGGGAGAGAGAGAGCAGGGAATTCGCTCTCACTTCCTAGTCCACCCCCTTTCTGGTTTTCTTGCTCATCCCTCTTTGTCTCGTCCCCACAAACTAAATGCTTGAAACATGCTAGTCAACTTGTCACATTGGAAGAAAAATAGAAAATAAAGAAGTCCACCTTAAACCGGTGACTACAGGTTACAGAATATTTTACTGTTGGTTGTTTTGTCAGAGCGAGGAAAACAAAATTTCTTTCAACAGCCAGGACAGTAGTATTGTAATCACCTGTGTAAACGATTTTTATAATAATAAAGAGAGGTGATTTAGTCTTGAAAATGGTTAACGACAATTTTTTTTAAGTGCACATAACAAGCAAGTGGCTGTTTGTCAGTATTGAAAGTAATGCCACGCCTTGTGCTGTTCTTCACCAGAAATATAATCGTTAACACATATTTTACTTAATTTTTCAAAAAGGTATTAAAAACTCTGCTTATTTCAAGTATAAAACAGAGAACTATCACGTAAAATAAACCCTTCTTGGTATTTAGCGTACAGTCCCTGATATAAAATATTCACCTTAACAAGATTCACTTATACTTTACTGTAGGGTTTTTTTTTGTTATGGCAGTCCTGGGCCACAATAAATCTAAAACCGTTGAAACTATATTTTTTAAAATATCCTTACCCGTGTGGGTTTCCAATGTGACATTTTTAGCCCTATCTAGGGGCTGGAAAGGCTCCTTTGATTTTACCAGCTGAACACGAATTTGAAAAACAATTGCTTTTGTCTACTCTGCTCTATGATTGGCCAATACCTCGAATCTCTTAGCAACCATCAAAGTGTTTCCCACCCAGTTACTTTCCGGCCCCGGTTGTTCAAACGTCGGATAGCGCTATCCACCGGATAAATCACTATCCAGCAGATAGCGTAATTGATTTCCGTAATACTTACCCACTGGATAGTGATTTATCCGGTGGATAGCGCTACCCAACGTTTGAACAACCGGGGCCAGGATTAGAAGAGAGCTTGCCTAGTCCCTAGGCCTCATTATTATGGGCGGCCGATGCTTTGCGGGTCACATGGTCCCGGCCGTTCGTCTCGGATGCGTCACCGAAATGCATTGACCGAGAGGGCCTGGAAAGACGCCGTACAGGGACTGGGCAAGAAGAGAGCGAGACTTACCAAATGCTGATCGACTTCTGAATCAAAACAAACCGTGTTTCCAGGTTTTTCTACAAGAATAATATTTGACCAAGAATTGACCAGAACTACTTCAATGTGATTAATTCAACTTTATTTAATTTAACCTTTATTTAGTCGAAACCCACGTTTCCTATAGCCCACGTCAAAGCTAGAGCTCGGATAATTGTCTCATTCAATGTTTTCAGTCTTTTTTCATCTTCCGGAGGCCTCGAAATTAAAAATCGCGACAAAATTAAGTAATCAAATCGCGATTGTCGATTAGTAATTCGAGTACATGTATTTCTCGGAGCACGTTAGACCTTCTATATAATTTATTACTAATGACTAATTCATTCTATATTTTCAGTATAATTTATTACGATTCACGGAAACACGCATCACGGAAATACCCCTTTACGACCCTCTGAAAGCCCACACATCACGAGACTGTCATAAGACTACCTATTCTAAATCTCGTTTATCGAGTAAGACCCAGACCTTGAGCGCACAAGTAGTTCTCGACAGATCGGTGAAACACGTGCAAAACCCTTCAAAGTGACACTGAAATTCTCCTTTAAAGCACATTGAATATAAGCAAGAGTCCTATTATGGCTCTTGATATAAGCTAACTCGATATTCTCTCAAAAGCAGAAACTGCTGAACCGAAACATGTTTGGAAACCACATCGAGCACCGCGGTGTTCATTTCGTGCGTGCTGAAGAATACTGATCATGATATGTCACGTGCGCAGCGATAATATAACATGAAACGAAGTGCATTATGGGATACTATCCGATCGTCGTCCTGGTAAGACGGAAAACAAATTTGCGGCAGAGAACGAGGCGGATGCAATGGCGGCGGAGAATAGTTATGACTACATCTTCAAGGTACTTTTTCTAGGGGATTCAGGCTCCGGAAAGAACAGCATTGTATTTGAGACGAATAACGAAATTATTTCGGCGATAGGTAAGAAAAGTGTTGTTGATATAGGAATAAGTAAGCCCTGCTTTTCCGCAAATGCAAGCGTAACAGTTGATTCCAGGGGTTGACTGCTTGACTATTCGCTGCTGCTGTGGTAGGATGATAGTCGCAGCGGCAAAGAAATATAATTTGTCTGAAACGAGCCATGGCATTTTTGCTTGTAATTATCGTGTACGTCAAACTTAGGCAAAATGACAGCACTGAAATGAAGATTGCAACATATTCAATAGTTTTAACACAGTACTGCCACTGATTTGATATACAGTACATTGATATTTGCCGTCCCACTTTTATCAAACGCAAAATATGCAGAGTTATTGACTCCAAAAATAACTATTATGCCATAGCCTCGAGCAGGAGCGGCTCCTGCCTCAACAGGTCAAACATCAGCTACCAAATATAGAGTACAGGATAGTCAATAAGTACAAGTATAAAGGTGTCAAAGCTTGGGATAGGATATATTTTTAAATAACTTCAAATGCTTGTTGCGTGACATTGCCGCCTCCGAAAATGACAACCCTCTGATGGTAGAGACCACAAAAGTAATTTTATTTTTTGCAAGAAATAAAGATAATGATAGATAACAAGACATATCGAACTGGTTCACGGAATACCGTAGCCTTAAAAAGTAAAGTTTTTTTGCGGATTTATGCTATTCTTACGCGCGCGCGACGTTCCCTAACTGAGAAAAGAGAAGGTCTGGGAACAGGCTAGCCTGCTCCGCAGACGAAAATAAACTTTTGATATGAAGGAAGGCTCAAGTTCATGAAGCCTGGTTCTCATATGCCGTCCAAGTACCTGCGAATATAGCTGCCGGTACTGCCTGCGATATTAGGGAACTTAAGAACCACGACGAAGTTCACGACGACGACGTCTGTTGACTGGGAAAGGACTGGAACGAGACAGTCAGTTTCGGCGGGAAAAAGGAAACTTAAGATGCAGTCGACCGGTAGGTCGACGACGACGACACTGAATGTAAACAAACATGTAGAAGTAGTACAACTGTGATGTTCGTTCGCAACAAAGTTTTTTTCGCAAAGGCGTCTTTTAAGACGATGTAAGATCTTATTTTATAAGCCGTACGTCTATTTTCTTTGACGATTGAAGAATTTTTAGTGTTGTCTGACCTTTTCGAATGGAAAATCTCTGCTTTCCGTGCGAAGGTTATTCAACTTTCAACCTGAATGACATGACCGAGTCCGAGTGTCTGTCAGAGTTTAGATTTGGAAAAAGAGACATTCCGATGCGATAGCTGTTTTCCATATAAAGTTCATTTCCTCTATATTAAAGATATATGATTTGCCTGACCTAAATACGTACAAATAAATTTGTCACTTACGAGTTCGCTCGCTGGCCTGCACCGCTCAGTGTTGTCTTCGAAGTAAACACAATTCATCGGTCAAATTTTCAATCAACATCGCTTGTTAGCAGAAAAAAGAAAGGATACCTGGATTTACGAGGTGAAAAAATACAAAGCCCTTGAAAAATTGCTGAAAAACAGGGAGTTATACCTGCCGAAGCTTGTGGACTGTAGGACGACGTGACTCTACTGTGTTTGGCGTCGTTGACGACACCACGACGACGAAATTTGTAAACCGGGCTTGCGCAGTGCACGGTATCTCACTTCCAGTCGTCGTCGACAAAGTCGTCGTCGTGGTTCTTAAGTTCCCTATTACTCCAACATATGAGGAGGACGTAGACATAAATGCCGCCGGCAACAAGAAACATCGCAGGTCATTAACGACAGCTATGTCGCAGGTAGCTCGGCGGCATATGAGAACCTAGCCTGCGTGGCAGGCGTTCGAAAGGGAAGGGAAAGGGAGTTTTGGGAAAGGGAGTTTTAGGCGCGAGAGAAATGCGAGGGGCGCGCGAGGAGGGAGGGAGGGAAACGCCTGCTAGGAAACCATTGTTTTTCTCTAAATAGCGTGATTTAATTGGTCTCCTACATGTCATTTAGTAACTTGAGTGTTACCATTCACAACTAAACATTTGTCGTTAGTCAGGTCGTTATTGAAGCGTGTTGAGATTTCTCTACGGGAATTCATCATTAGAAGGCGTCAATTTCAGCTTCAAAGGAGAATAGAAAAAAACAGTTAAAGAACCGTATGAAGGAAAAGGCCTGTCAGCAGATGAGGTTTACTAACTGGTTCTGAAAAGTATTATCCCCCAACGGCTTGTCGGTTTTACTCGCCAGAAGGAAGGAAGGAAAAATCATGCTGCCTGTGTGCTTGTTATCTACTGTTTGACCCGCGTCATCAACGGCAAGATAATTGAAGACGACGCGATCTACAACTTTTGGCAATTTTTGGTCGAGGACTTCTTCTTGCCAGTTATAAAACCGCCAGGAACTTACTGTAATAATAAATTGTTGCCTTCTTGCAGATCTTCGAAGTTCAGCTCTTCTTTCCTTGCCACCAGCGTTCTTTAGTGTGCTCGAGGATTTGACATTTTTCAAAAATTTGCCGTCAAATTCCCTCCCCGCGGGCAAATCATTCCAGTCAATTGCAACCAAATTTCCCCACCCCGGGCTGCACATTGCGGTCCATCCCAAGGCTGGACCCAAGAAAGGCACAATAAAAATATCTCCTAATAAAACTCTGCAATCTTTATTTATAAACGTTGCTGCATCACCAAAGATACATGTTCTTATTATAGCTGCCATTATACGTTTTAACCATTCAATCCGTGTTTTGATACACTGCGTAGAATACAGAAACCTTTAGGAGAAAGTCCACATTTTGTAAGTTTGAATATACCATTTTTAGTAAAGGGTACAAAGAAAGTCAGTTTTATAAGCTTTATACAGTGAGTGTAGCGAATGTCAGTCATAGACTGATCAATTGTACATACTTGCAAAGATCGACTTGGTTTCTCTTTACTTCCGTTTACTTTGATACCACAGTATCTTAAAAGGTTCAATTGATCAATACAATGAAATCCACTCACCTTTGGCTTGTTCTCGTTGGCTTCCATGATTTCCAGACTCTTCCAGACCGTACGTCGCGTGCGTGAAGCGTGGAAGAGGGGAAACCTATTTTCGGTCTCAGTCTCTTTCGTCCGAGTCGGCAGTCAAGTATCCCCACGTCGGTCCCACGTCGGGCGAAGAAAGATTCAAATATTCCCTCTCCCGAGATAACAAGATCGGTCAAATGTCCTACCCCAGGGCCAACAAAGACAATCAAATCCCCACCCCATACCCTGCCTCCCTACCCCCCCGCCGGCTTTACATTGATAGGTGCATAATAATCGATAAACTTTTCATACAAACTCTTATAATATTTCTGTTACGCAACTCACTCGTGAGCTTGAGGTACCTGTGAAGAAATGTACCAAAAAAGCGTCATGCACGTGCAAAATTGTTGTTTTTCTAATCTATTAATTAACCTATCACTTTTTTTGCCGTTCTCGTTACGGTCGCCGTCGTCGTTGCTTAAGCTCCCTAATAATACCGTAACTTTGAACGGCCCATGTACAGTATACCAGACACGTTTTAGCCACCCGAAAGTAGCGATCCCCGTAAACCAGCAACCTTCCGAAAGGAGCAATAGGATCGGGCGGTAAGAGAAAGCCGCTTAATCCGAGGGTCGTACGTAACGTTACTTTCGGAACTTTACGGTATCTCAGTTTACATCTGCACTGTAAACACAAAACATTTTCAAAAAAAACTCGGAATTTTGAGAAAATTTCACGTTTCCACGTTTTGCATGTCTTTCTGAGTCGATGAGAAACGGAAGTAAATACCATGCTGTAATACTTTTCAAGAACACGGGGAGAAGGCAAAATAAAATGGCAATGTATTTCAAAGTGGAGGAGGGGGAGGGGGGAGGGGGAGGGGGGATAAACAAATATGAGAGAAACAATTTTAGAGCCAAGTTCTGTCAATGTCCGGTTCACTGATATTTTAGATCTTACAATTAATGAGATAACAATTCACTTAACGTTGCAATTGTATGCAACGCTAGACGCTAGACGCTTATATGTTAAATAAATAATTAACTATACTAAATGAATAAAGCTTTCTGTTGTTATTTGTCGAGACTGAAAACTGGCATTGGGTCACGCACCCGTTATTTTTCAGATTTTTAGCTATTGTTTATAGGTATTGAGCGAAAAAAATTTCAACATTCTCACTACTACTAATTTTAATATCAACTTTCTTCTCACCACCTTCACCGTCCGTACTAAAACGTGTTGTAATCTTCCAAGGGCTCTTGTCCCGCCACTTGAGATAGCTTCATTGCTCGAATCTTTTTCCCGCTCTGAGACCTGGTAACTCTTCTTTGTTAATCTGAACGTTCATCATCATCATCAGTTTTATTTGTCCATTATAAATTACATTTTTACAACTGTTCTTATTTCTTGTTATCTGCTATAACAATGCAATGTAATGGCAGGAGATCTCAGCAAGCTCTATTGAGCTTCACCAGGGATGTCATTTCACTGTTCCCTGCTAGCAGAGGTCTCTCACGACGAGGCAAAAATGAGAGAAAGGAGAAAGACCTCTGCCGGCTTCCTGCGTTTCCTATCACGCATGCGCTGGCGTTTCCTTAACAACCAGTGACGTTTTTCTCACGTGCGACACAACCCACAGAACCGGTTTGCGCGCAAAACGTCAGCTGAAGGCGCGGGTGTGTTGTGGAGAATTCTTCGCAATGTGAAACGATGCCGGGAACTCCACAATCTCGCAGATTTGGGGAAAGCGCGTCACCTCGGACGCCCATTAAACCAGCAGGGCCTGCCTTTTGTGTGGTTTAGATTTTAAAATAAGCGGGCAAAACACTTGGAGATCCCTCAAAACAAAGAGCTTAGAGACATAGTTTGTCGGCTGTTGGAGAAGACGCCTGACTTTGATCGAGAATCGACTCGCCTGTGTAAAAAGTGCTTTCGACGCATTGAAGCCATATATAAACGAAGCAAGGATATTGAAGACAGTAAACGGGAAATAGTTGAACACTATGAGGAAACAAAGGCGGTGTATGACATTTGCAGACTGCAGACTGCAGATTGCAGACCGCAGACTGCAGACTGCAGACCGCAGACTGCAGACTGCAGACTGCAGACTGCATGAGGCAGCACGACTGTAAATTGAATGAAACCAAAAATGTCGTAATAAAGGTGGCATCATCATCAACATCACCTTGTTCCGAGAAGTACATGTAAGGCCTAGAAGCGAAGTTTATATTTTTCACGCAAATTACACCGACCTCATTCCTGAAGGAGTTGTTGGCTGCTCTTCTCGTATTGAATTAGAGCAGAATAATGTCTGCCGATGTCAAAAACTTGCTCATGAATCCATAGCAACAGGCTAGCAATTTAGCCTGCACCACAGACGAAACTATACTTTGGTTATATAAGTCAGTTGGTGAAACAGCGCCGGAATCCTTATTCTACGGGGTCCCCGCCTGTGTACTAGGATTTGAGTATGAGCAATGATTGGCCTGTTAAAAAAGCCATTGTCGATTGTTTACATTATTTAGCATATCCTTAAATACTGCTAAGGTGAAATACGTCATTTAAATTTGTTCAATGTCCGTGATCTATCCTAGTTATTTTTGTCGACTTAACTGTAGTGAGCACGAAGTGCTCGCAATCTAAAAACTCTTTTTTACAGAAGACTGCTATTTAGACAGGCATTAGTGGGCATTGCTAACTCTCATTATCAATTCACAATAATCAAAGAAGAATAAAGAATCAACGCAATTATCGATGTGCCGGATGAGTCAATAAAGAGTCGCGTCGGTGAAGAATACTGAGCCAACAGCATCTTGGAAATGAGGCCAATGTATAACTTTGCGCAAAAATATCAACCTTGTTCCCAGGCTACTTTCTCACTTTCACACGATGTTATATTTTTTATGGTGTCACCTTTATTAGGAAGATTTTTGGTGTCTTTTAATTTACAATCTGCGATCTGTGGTCTGCAGTCTGCGGTCTGCAGTCTGCAAATGTCATACACCGGTTCTGAATTTTTATCCCCTTTTTTTATGATACACTTTCTCTCTCCTTTCTCTCATTTTTGCCTCGTCGTGAGAGACCTCTGCTAGCAGGGAAATTTCACTGTTAATTATAGCGAAATTCGTTGTATCGCGCTGTGCGTTTTGCATATTTTGGGTTTTTCTGTTCCGTCAATCATCTTAGCGGACCTTTTAGGAAATACATGTTTACTTGCACGAGTTCAAAAGGTCATGGTTTGTGATTCGTGATTGGTAGATCTCGATTCGTTTTGTTCGTTTCATGTTTCAAGGTTCGTTGCTTTGTGATCGTCCTGTTTCGGGCAATAATCGACTAGTTAAGTTTGCTTCGCACATTTTTATGACCTTTCTCATTCTTGCCACTTGTAAGGATAAAGCAACGTCTGCCTCCTTCCTTCGACAAAAAATCCACTCACAATCGGGATCTCTTTTGTACAACCCAATTGATAATTCGTCTGTCTCTAATCAGTTTTTCTTTAATGAGTTAGATCCAGATCAACAGTTTACTTTTTCTCCTCCTCCTAGTAATTATTATACTGAGGATGAAATTAATGCTAAGCTAACTAATAGTTCAAATTCTCCTTGCTTCTCTGTATTTCATATTAATACACGAAGCCTAATCGGTCATTTAGATAAATTTAAATTCCTGCTTAGTCATTTGCAAAATCCATTTTCTGCCATATGCGTATCGGAAACCTGGCTAACTGAGCTTACGTCGGATCAGGTGGAAATACCTGGATATAAATTTATTTCGAACCACCGCGATAGCAAGTCCGCCGGTGGAGCAGGTCTTTATTTACTTGACGATTTAGAATACAAATTATGCCGCGATTGTAATTATTCTGAACCTGAAGTGATCGAAACTCTTTTTGTTGAAATTAACATTCCCAATGGGAAAAATATTATAGTTGGTACTGTTTATCGTCCGCCTAATTATAACACTCGGGACTTTTTGGACAAATTTAATGAGATTCTTGCTAAAATAACTAGAAATGACAAATATTGTTATTTGGGTGGAGACTACAATATAGATCTGTTTCACTATTCCGATCATGCCCCTACTCAAGAATTTGTTGATAGTCTATTTTCCCATATGTTCATTCCTCTAATCAATAGACCGACTCGGATCACTGCTCATTCGGCCACACTTATTGATAATATATTCACGAATAATGTAAGGTGTAAACATTTCAATGGTATTGTTATTAATGATATTTCTGACCATCTACCGGTTTTTGTTTATGAAGTGGATGAGACAGAAATAGCGTCGAAAAATAGCCAAACTAAATATCTCACTAAAAGAGATTTTTCAGAAAGAAATAAGAGCAATTTTCGGCTCTCTCTTTCTCGTGTTAATTGGAAAGTCGCCTGGATATGATAACGTTTCAATGGATATAATAAAAAGCACCTTTGATCTCATTTCTCAGCCTTTGGCCAATGTAATCAATTTGTCTCTTATTAAAGGAGTATTTCCTGATGAACTGAAAATTGCTAAACTGATTCCGGTATTTAAAGCTGGTGATTCCCAGTATTTCACTAACTACCGTCCAATTTCGCTTCTTTCTAATTTTTCTAAATTCTTTGAAAGAGTTATGCACAATCGTATTACAAATTTTTTAGATCGTTTAGATATCTTATACTGTTGCCAATTTGGATTTCGTAAAAAATATTCTACAGCGCTGTCTTTAATTCATCTTATTAATAAAATTGCAACTGCTATTGACAGAAGCGAATATACAGTTGGCATATTCTTAGACTTATCAAAAGCATTTGATACTTTAGACCATCAAATACTCTTGTCTAAGCTTGAGCATTATGGGATTCATGGGCTAGCACTTAGCTGTTTTCATATTATCATCAATTACTGCCACCGCTTTTTTCGAACCTTTTTGTTACTAGTAGCAATATTCATAATTATAATACTAGAAGTTCCTCGCATTTCCGTTCTCATGCCTGCCGAACTAACACCAAACAATTTTCTATTTTGTTCCAAGGCCCTAAAATTTGGAATTCTTTACCAAACTCAGTCACTTCGATTTTTACATTGCAATCGTTTAAAACGAAAGTTTTTGATTTTCTACTATATCGATAATGCGTCTTGTACTGTCCGTTGTTGTGTGTTGTTATAGTTCTATTGCTTAATATTATTGTAACGAGGGGGCCTCCTCGTACAAGCCTTGTGGTTTTCTGAGGTCCCCTCGCCACATCTTTGTATAATGTAATGCTTGTGTAATCTTTATTGTGGGAAAATAATAAATAAATAAATAAATAAAATAAATTTCCTTCGCTATTCTTGAGCAGTCTAAAGTCATTAGCCAAGCTGGGCGAGCAAGTTACATTATGATTTGCATTAACCCCGCCTTCACTAATATGATTGACGGAACAGAAAAACCTAAAATCCCTTCTAAGTTTTCAAAACGCGCAGCGCAATACAACGAATTTCGCGGTAACCGAATCGATGTTTAAAGGAAGTGTCAATGAATGTGTTGGACCCCCGTCCTTCGGCATAAAGCTATACCAGAAAGTGTTGACTCATAAACTTATGAGTTTTTGACTGTGCCCCGTTGCGTGATGCTGATGTTCTCAGACATTTGCATAGCTACAATTTTCGCTTACAGTATTCGTTATTTTCTGTTTTTTTGTCTCTAGGAGTGGACGTTCGGGTAAAAGCTATTGAGCTTCAGGGAAAGAAGATTAAATTGCAGTTGTGGTATGCTAGTTTCAATTGATCTTTTTATACTGGCTTTTACAAGTTCCTGTTTTATGGCTGTCGGCTTAAGTTGTGCGGGCTTTTTTACCGCTAACGGTGGGTTATTCTTTTGACTTTACCGTTACAGTTAACAAAAGTAATTTCCTTTGTTATAAACAGTTGAATAGGAATAGACTTTTATTCGTTATACTTTTAAAGCAAAACAACCTTGGGAGTTCCCTGTTAGTTCCTTGGTATTTTGCGGGGGGTGGGTGGGGGCAGGGACGGGAAGCCCACCGAATACAAGAGAGAATGAGCTCATTCATTAGGGAGCTTAAGCAGCAACGTTTTTGAGCGACGCACGTCAACCGGAAGTGAGGTATTTTCCCTCTTAACATGCCTTGATGACATAAAATTTGTATTCCTTAGTTTCTTTACTGTTATAGAGGCGATTTGACTGAAAATTTGCGCGAAACCACCGTCAAAAAATGAAAAAAGGCCACTTCCGGTTGACGTCCGTCGCTCAAAAACGTTGTTGCTTAAGCTCGCTATTATCTCTTGCTGAATACCATGGAAACTGCTAAACGGGAATCTGCTAACCGGGAATCTCGGGAAGAAGTGAGTAATGATGGGCTCCTGTTGGAGCATACTGTAAAAGCTTGGAAATAACAATAGAGTGACACCATAAACTACTGAGGCTTCCGGGGAAGGGGGTTTTTGTTCCCTCACGTTTGAAGTTTCATACTATGCGTTTCCTTTCCAGGAAAGGGCCATCTACAATTTAAAGAGGAGCATTCCCTCGTGGGCCAATTCTAAATGCCTGCATATACCTGTTGGAAAAAACGTTTTTGATTGAAAACTATAAACTATGAATTACAAGGCTTCAAGGATTTCTGGGCGGGTATTAGCAAAACAAATTCAAAACTTTTTCTAGAAGAGCTTATATATTATCCTGATTATCACGAGCTTCTCGTGCAAATATAGATCCCAGGTTTACTTTGTTTGAGATATGCCAGCTTCTTTTTAGCTCATTCAGAAAACTATTCGATCTCATCTTATGATTTTCAAGTCTACGTTAAGTTACAAAATTTTCTCCTGAACGAGGCTAAATATGCATTATCATACAAATTTTTAATTTGTTAGTTTAGTTCATCGCATGTGAAGGTCTATGTTTGTCCCAGACTCGCGGGGTGGGGGGGGGTTACTCCCTATGATGGCCTATACGGGGAGGCTCCGCCCGAAAGGGGTACGGTACCATTGTCAGGCATCAGGTATATGAGAGGGTAGGGATTTTACTCATTGAAATATACGGAAGGGAAGGAAAAAATGTCTTTTGGGTCATGAAAGGGCCCAAAGGGCTAACAGATAAATTTTATGGCTTTGTAAAGTAGAGAAAAGTATATGAGAGGGTAGACTATCTGTCATTTCGTTCTGTAAAAAGACTAACAGAAGAAATTTGTGACTGTAAAATTGTCAAAAAAATTAACTGGTTTCTGATTCCTTTATATTAAAATGACAGTGCATATAAAACAGTTAACAGGAAAGATGCATGTAAGGGGTTGGACCTCACAACGTGTACAAAATTTTATTGTAACAATGCAATGTTACAGTTGAGATTGGAATTTTACTTTAGTCACAAAACGAATCAAACATATAGGAAATGTCACATGCACATCACCTTTGATTGTCAGCAAATGTTATGCAGTTCACTATATTTGCTCCCCTTGCAAATATGGATAATTATGATGCAAATGTGCAAATTTATGATAGAGCCAAATGTCTTAAATGCTCTTAAGGCAAATACTAGTAAACCACAAGCGAAAGTATTCTTTTGGTATCCTGGAAAAACAAGTGCAAACACCACTGCAAATTAGGGGTTTTGCAATATTTTTGCTTGCATTTGAAGTACAGTGAAAACTGTCATCTTTGCCAGGGATGTAAATTTGAGTAAATTGGTAGAAATGTTGAAGATTTGCCCATGCTGCAAATATGTATCAAATTTGTATCAAACCATTTCATTTACTTGACTTTTGCGTATCAATACCTATCTAGCAAATATATGTATTTGCCCACACTTTAGCCGACAGCGCAAATGTAATGCAAATTTGGAGCTCCAAATTTACCACATATTTGCACCTTTCGAAAACATTAGTAAATCCGTTTTTTCGTCCAGTGCTATTTAAATGACAGTGCATTTACAGTAGTTAAAAGGGATGCAAAGTTCTAAACAAGATATGAGGGTAAGAGGTTGGACCCCGGGGCGGAGCCTCCCCTGACAAAAATTTGTTGAGTACCCCCCGGGCCGCGATCTTCAGACGTTCTATCCGCCGTCCGTAGAAGACGGACAGAACGTCTTGGACGATCCAAACTCATCCAGACAAAATTAACTGAGCCAGACGTCGAAGTTTTCATGACTTTCACTCACTAAGTAGGTTCATATCATGAACAGTCCGGCGTTTGGCCTAGGCCTAAGAAAACTGGAAACCGTTGGAACCTTGTTGGAATGCATCGGTGCGAGAAGATCAAGATGATGTAAGCTTGCATTTTCTAGAAATAACTTGAAATTTGCAATGGTAATAAACGTTCACCCATAAATCCATTAGGTCTCATCGGTCATGGTTTATAGTTTTCAGGTGACAACTTTTTGCTTTAATCAGGTGTGCATGTAAAATGCCGTTGAATGGTCTTTGTTCCGGCTTACCTATAAGATAAATACAATGGACACAAGTGCAACACATTTCCTGATTCCTAGTCAGAAAAAAAAAAAATTGCAGCACCCCAGACGCCAGAGCCTCGCCATTACAAGTTCCAGCACTCGTGGGTGACAAAATGACCTGTCCATGTAAAAATACAGATGCTTGCTTTCCACACTGTCAAAACGACAACCATTTTGTCTGATACTTACTGTCCATTAGTTAATTTTTAAGGGCTCTCTCATCAGTTGCCAAGTCGTGGCACGATACTTAAATGCAACAAAAAGCGACTAAAAGCGCAACAAAAAGTGACTTTGTGATTACATGACAACCGAGCCAACCCGGCTAACTGGGACATTACATAATTTTCATCCATCTTTTTAAGCCTCTTTAAAATTTGTTAACGTTAATTTCATCAGTGAAGAGATGGTTTGGCAAATTATCCCAGTCTTTGACGATTCTCACAAAGAAGGAGTACTTAAATGAGTTAACTTTAGCTAATTTAGTTTGTATTTTGTATAGATGGTTGGCTCTAGTGTTTTTACTTCAATACTCGAAATGGTCATTATAGTCTAGGCCATTTAGACCAAACACTGTCTTGTAGCATTCCACTACAGACAGGTATTCTCTTCGATGCTGAAGTGCGTTCCAGTCTAGCAATATACATCGTTCTTCATTTGACATCTCCCGTGGTTTTGACCGAGAGCGATTCTCGATGCTCTTCGTTGTACTTTTTCGACTGCCAACTTTTCTTTAACTAAATAGGACGACCATACCGGGCATGCGTATTCTAGTATTGGTCTAACCAAGGACTTATAGAGCATAATCAGAGAAAATTTCTCTGTTCTTGCGACCAACTGTACGCTTTAGTAGGCCCACCACTTTGTTTGCTTTATTTACGATGGCATCCACTTGCTTCGACCAGGATCAGTTTCTTGACACAAACACCCAGGTCCTTGCATGAGGTAACTGATTCTAATTCTGTATTCGACAAGTGACAAGGATGTTTACTTTTGTCCTGCTAATGCGCTGTTCTTGCATCACTTCGCGTTTCTGAGGATTAAATTTAATTTGCCACTTTCTTGTCCAGTTTTCCAGGCAATCCAAATCCGATTGTAGTGCTGGTGTATCCTCAGCATTATTAATTTCACGGTAAATCCTTGTATCTTCAGGAAACATTTTAATAGAAGAAGTAACAACATTTGGTATTTTGTTTACGTAAACTAAGAACAATGTGGGCCCGAGGATTGTGCCTTGGGGAACACCAGATGTCATTAGGGACCAAATCGAGAACCTTCCACTTATTACGACTCTCTGTTGTCTATTTTTTAGAAAGTTTCTGAACCATAGCAACGGATGGCCATCAATACCATGTCGGTTGAGCTTAAGCACTTGACGCTCGAGAGGCACGCTGTCAAATGCTTTTGATAGGTCTAGAAAAATGACACCTGTTGCCTACGAGCTATTTCTTGTTAAGCACCATTGGTGATAACAACTTAGCAGTTCTGCAAGCGAAGATTTCCCTTTTAAGTAACCAAACTGATTTGGATTTAAGACGTGGCGATCTGACCAGATCTAGAAAGCTGTAACTCGGGATCGTACTATAGAATACTCCGCCACTTTGCAAACAACAGAGGTTAAAGAGATTTGACGGTAGTTCTCTTTTTGTGCTTGTGTCCCTTTTTGTGAATTGGTGTAATGCTGGCTATCTTCCAGTCTGTTGGCAACAACAACCCAGTGGTAAATGAATTGTTTAAAAATGCACTCAAAGGAGTTGACAATTCATGTGCACATTCTTTCGAGATGCGAGGTAGGATCAGATCTGGCCCTGTGGGGACTTGTGAGCATTCAGTGTGTTTTCAGGTATTTTTCCACTTCGCTGGTAGCCCCGAGAATGATGCTCAATTTATCGTTTATTATGTTGCCAAATTCGGGGTAAATTACTTTGTTCTTGTGTGAATACAGATAAAAAATATAAGTTCATTTCTTGAGCTATACTTTCATCTTCCGTAATTTCCTTTCCATCTTTTTTCAAAAGCACCAAGTCGTTTGTTCGTTTTCGTTTCGATTTTATATAGTTCCAGAATGGTTTAGCATTGTTGTCTGTTTTCAGTTTTTCATTTCTTTTTTAGTAAGCTATTAGGGTTCTTGTACAGACTTCTTTTCTTCCTATAAATTTTAAAAAGATCTTTAAGTTATCCATGGTGCTGTGAGTCGCTTCTTTTGCCTGTATTTTGGAATGCAATCATCAACTGTGGCGAAGAAAATGTCTTTACATGCTGTCCAATCGTCATTAATATCTTCGCCTGCCTACAATCGTGGACAAGTCTTGGGACACTATGCATTTCTAGGGCGTTTTCCAATTCACACAGGTCCAACCCCTCCCCTCACTCCGCAAACAATGTTGGACGCGTGTATCCAGAATTGTTTTCGAGTATAGGGTGAGGGGGAGTTTGTCTAAATGTCGCGGGTCGCGACTCGCGGGTAGAGGTCGCAGGTGCGGGTGCGGGTGCGGGTGCGGGTAAAGGCCGCAGGTAAACATAAATCACCAAATTTAATATAAAATTATCAATAAAATAAAGGAAAATTTGATTATGTTTCAAAGAAGATTTGCAATACTTTTTTTTTGGTCCTCTGGTCATAACGAGGAAGTCTAGTTATTTAAAGCTGACTAAGGGCGATGAAAAGGAAAAAGTCACTAAAGAAAAATCCACATGCTTAAAACTACATTGGCTAGTTAAATTTGCCCCAAGTAACCGAGATACCTGCATTTGGGATTTGTAGGGGAGGAGGTTCAAGCTTTGATAGAGAAAAGAAAAGTATTTCGGGTTCACGTTCTCTCCAAAGCTTGAATTTAGCTTGAAGTAGTCATTTTATGCAGCTGTTTTGCAGACTGCATGACTTTTTCAAAAGTCAATAGTTGGCCCTTTGCTGACCTCTATATTACCTATATGTAGCAGCGAAGTGAATTGAAAAGGGTGTGTAAAAATTCAGTGCCCGCTTTAAACAACCGAAACCCCATCGGACTGAAAAACGTACTTTAATTAATACTTCTTTTTTTCATTTTTCTGCAACCCAAGACAAATAAAATTATTTTAGGGTCATAAATGCGTAATCTGCCTGTTGGTTTTTGATAATTACCATGTTGCGAGTGATCAGCCTTAAATAATGTTTCCTCCATGCCTAGTACATTTCTCTCTTCATTTTCGAGTGATGGAAAAATCAAAATTTCGTCAAGAATCCCCCGCCCCCCCCGTGGCCAAGACCTGAAAATGGCAAGTGAAACCAGGGTTTAGCGCTGTGATAGGTTAGAAATGAAAGAGTTAGAAATAGCTGTTACATTTAACAAGACCATATAATACTTCAATTAGAACTTTTGTTGTTTTTCAACAACGAGCCCTTGAAAATTAAATAAAAAGAAATGATTAAGTCCTCCAGCAAGATCTTACAAAAGTGGTTACTTTTTTGACAAAAACAATCTCCCCTCTCCTTGAACTACATTCTTGACCACCCACTATGTTTTCTCTCCCCTTCTTGACCCCTTCTTTATTCAGTGTAAGCGTCCGCAGTGTCAGCTTATATGACATGTCCACTTAAAAGAAGTGGTTTTCTGTGTATATATATGAAGACATAATTTGGTTCATCGAAAATACAGCTTTGATTTTTTTTATGAGACTTGCGTGTACTTACTTCGTCAGCAAAAAGTATGAATCGATAGTTGTCATTCGTCGTTCGTGCTCAATTTTGGCGCGGCCGCACGAAGAACTTGCCGTCCTGGTAAATCGAATTTTTCCCACGTTACTGGCGGCTTGATCACGGCAACAATACCCGTGCACGTGGGTAAAACTCTCATTCACAGTTCTGATTTCACAGAGTGACAAAAAGAAAGAATATTTCAAGTTTTACTTCGATCGATCGATTCTTCATCCTGATGGAGTCGATAGTTCCGTTGCGTTTTTGGGGGCCATACGATTAGCGCTGATCGCATGGCCCCCCAAATATGACAACATATGTATTAAGATGTTTCTTATGACGTCCGTTTACAGCATATTAAGTTATTATTCACTTCTATCGGAATTTTTACTTACGCAGAAAACGTGTGTTATATACAGTTCTTTATTAGTTGTATTCATTCCCTGAAGAAGTCTCAGTAAGAGACGAAACCTGTCGGAAATAAACGAAAAAGCTGACAACTACAAGAAGTCTTCCTTTGCGCTGCTGACTAGTCTTCGTTAGAAAAGTTAAAAAAAGAAATTTTTGTTTGGTTGTTTATTTTATCTTTTGGTTAAATTTGGTGATTTATTTTTACCCGCGACACTTACGCGCACCCGCGACCTTTACCCGCACCCGCACCCGCACCCGCGACCTCTACCCGCGACATTTAGACATACTCTCCGTGAGATGTTACTGTGAAACTCACAAAACCGTGAACACCAGAAATATTTATGGAATGTTATTGTGTTGCGAGAAATAAGCCAATAAGATGCAAAATAACTAAACCGCAAACAGCAACGGTAATTAGTTTGCGGTTTTGAGGTTTGCCTGCGTATCCTGAACTTTATTGTGATTGGCCAGTGCCCAATCAACATTCCTGAAATTTTTCAGGTGTTCACGGTTTTCTGAGTTTGACAACAAGATTCTATAGAAAAATTATTAAGGTTTTAGAGTGAGTACTGTTGGTGAGTTCCGTCGAGTTTTGCAAATCAGTTCAAAGTAAACTAACTTGGTTGTTTACTTAGTTCGTGACAAATATCACGCAACGTAGTTTTTGTTAGCAAATTAACACAATTCAATCCGGTACAATTCTCGTGAAGTCAGCGAAAAACTGTTTAATTTTGCTATGAATCAGGCGTATTATGAAACAACCGCTTTTTTTTACATCACAGTTGCATTAGCTCCTGTCGTATTTTTTGTGTTGTACAAATGACAGAGACGGCTATTCATATAGATTTTTTCACGGCCGTTCTATCTTTTGGAAAACGTTATTTTTTTACTTCCAAGCCTGCTGGGTTTTTTGACATTCGTGGTGCTTATGTTGACATCTCTGAGTAATTTTTATACCGGGTAAAACACCTCGTGCTTTGTCGTATATCCACGACTCTAGCTCTTTGGCCTGCCGAAATTCTTACTGTGTGTACACCATAATGTTAGTGACTCGTTGCTTCCCTTAACTGTTTTCGGACGTGAGTCTTGTTGCTGCGGAGCGACCATACGGAGCAGGCAGCAACATAATCAGGATTTAAGGGAAATATATAAGTTGGTACGAATTCTCGAATTCATCACTTTTTACCACAATGCATTGCATTTAACCACACTTTTTACCACAATGCATTGCATTTAACCAGAGTGCACTGCGCTCCTTTTTACCAGAATGCTTTGCGCCACGAACAACTCAAATAAACAAGGGGAAGTTCGGTGGGTTAGAGTGCATCGTTCGCTGCCTAGATTTAGGGTTTTCTTTGTGGCAAATTTCCTACAGCACGGTTAGAGGTCTTACCAAATTTAAGACACACAGGAGTCTTTCAGATGAGTACGATGGTTAACATGGGGATTGGATTTCAATTCAAGAGCCTTTGTGTGTATGTATGTATGTAAATCTTTATTTAAACACGGGAGATCATCAGTTAAGCTTAAGTTAAAAACTAAAACTAATTACAACTGCTTTACATGATTGCCGTGTGGGAATCCGATATATCAGCTACCTTCTTGTTATTTCGCTTAAAATGCTCAACGGATGCAGCATTTTTTAAGTTTTTGGGCAAGTTATTCCATAACATGGCCCCGCTGTAAGAGAAGCTTCGTTTCAAATAATTGGTGCTTGGTTTGGACAGGGTCAGCCTTCCCTCAGAGTTTCTTAAGTTGTAAGCAGAGTGACGCTGAGAGAAAAGACTTTGTAGACATTCCGGAGCAAGGTCATTCATGGTTTTATACATCATTAAGGCTTTTTGTTTCTTTCGTCGAAGAGATAGCCTCTCCCAGCTGAGGGTGGAGAGAAGGTGGTTTGAGCTCGCATGAAAGGGTGATTTAGTAATAACTCTGACTGCACGATTCTGCAATTTTTGGAGCATATCACTCAAGTAACCACTCAAACAGTCCCAGACGGGGCTGCAGTAATCAAAATGAGGCATAATTAAGGCGTTATAAATTTGAATTGCAGTTTCTTTGGATATAAAAGGCCGAACACGTTTTAGGGCGCCTATAGCTGAAGAGACTTTCTTGCAAATCTCTTCAACGTGTTTACCCCAAGAGAGTTGAGCATCTATGGGAGGACCCAAGGATTTGGTATGATCGACTCTCCTTATAATTTGGTCATCAATTCTGATTTCTACATCGTCACATTGGGCAGATAGTCTTTGTCTTGATCCAATAATCATTAGCTCTGTTTTAGCAACATTTAGACTGTGCTTGTTAGCTTTCAGCCAACAGCTAAGGTTATTTAATTCAGGGGTTAGAGCTAGCTTAAGCCCTGTTAACGTCTTAGCAGATAACTTAAGGTTGGTGTCATCGGCAAACATTCTTGGTACGGCGTCCCGCAGAGAGTTGGGAAGATCATTAATGTAAATTAAAAATAGCAAAGGACCCAATATGCTACCCTGCGGCACGCCGCAACTGAGGGTACGAGCAGATGATAGTTTGCCACTGACATTACATCTTTGGGTTCGGCCACTTAAGTACGACTAGAACCATTTTATGGCTGCCTGATCGACACCCAAGTATGACATCTTACGCAAGATGATCTCATGATCAATGGTATCGAATGCCTTATTAAGGTCAATAAAGACAACGCCATTTAGAAGGCCATTGTCGATGTTTACTGACCAAGCATTTGTTGCCTCAAGCAAAGCCGTGAGCGTACTATGTAGAGAACGGAACCCTGATTGGCAACCTAGTAGCAATTTATTATCATCTAGATAATGGAAAAGTTGATAATAAACAATTCTTTCAAAAACGTTCGAAATTATAGGGATTACAGATATTGGCCTGTAGTTGTTAGGGTCCGATTTAATGCCCTTTTTAAAAAGTGGAGTCACTTTGGCCAATTTCCAATCGTTTGGATATATCCCAGTGAGAGCAGACTTTGAGAATATTGCATGAGGCAAGAGAGGGTGCGACGATATTAGCAGCCATTTTCAACAATTTACTCGGAATCATATCAAGACCGGTGGCTTTCTTTTCATCAATTTTCGACAAAACGTGAGAAAGAATATCAACACTCGGAATTTGCAGAGAAAACGAATGGTCAGTGGGCTCTAAATAAGACTCAGGATTAGCATCGACAACAGGAATATCTTGTGCTAATACTTGCGCAACGTTTGTAAAGTGATCGTTAATAGTTTCCACAATGTCCATAGGGTTACTTGCTATTTTATTATCTACCTTGATCTCCAAAATATTCGTTGACTTACCACTGTTACGTGAAGTTAGCTCGTTGATAACATTCCATGTTTTGCGCAAATTACCTTTGTTGGCTTCCAAGTTGTCAGAAACATAGAGTTTTTTTGCGAGTTTAATTGCGTTATTTGCCTGGTTTCTTGCACACCTAAATTGATCCCATATAGCCGGGTTATTGGAGGAGATTACCTTCGTTTTAAGGAAATCTCGTTTTCGGATTTTGCTCCGATTTTGCTTTTGCTTTTCGGATTTTGCTTTGACTCGTCCAGGCGTTAAACCTGACGAGAAGATGAGCATTGGGTTTTGCTAAAAGTAGGCCCGCGACGGCCCAACGGCCCGGCGGCCCGGAGGCCCGACGGCCCGGCAGCCCGGCGGCCCGGTGGCCCAGTCTTGATTTTCCACAGTTTTTGGCCAGCGGTAAATCCACGCGCATGCACAGATCTGCATCGGGTTTGGGCGTGCAAAATGGACGACGGTGAGTTTGAATTCGTTTACCATTTTAATAATCATTTCAATCCTTTTCGATCCTTTCTTTCCTTGCCCAGGGCGCTTACCGTATTCGAATAAATACGGTATTTACATCGACGGAAAGCAATGTTTGATAACAGGCTCTCCTTTTGGGGTGGGGTTCCTGTAAATAGACCGACATGTTTCTGTTTAGAAAAGATTCGCAGTTCACATATCCCATTACTTATGATATTTTCACTTTCAAATTATAATGGTTTGAAAATAACTTACATCGTTTGATAATGAACGTCCTCTATAGGTTTCTGTAAATAGACGAATGAACAGAGAATGAAAACGTTCTTATCTGAACAACATGCAACAAACAGAAACAAGGATTCAAATGATTAAAATGGTAAACGAATTCAAACTCACCGTCGTCCATTTTGCACGCCCAAACCCGATGCAGATCTGTGCATGCGCGTGGATTTACCGCTGGACAAAAAAAAACTGTGGAAAATCAGGACTGGGCCGCCGGGCTGCGGGCCTGCTTTTAGCAAAACCCGATGAGCATTTGCTCTGCGACTCCGCAACACGGGGGATATACAAATTCCAGCTCGCTAGAAGGTGATGTGAAAGTGCGAAAATGTCATGCCATGCTATTCTTAAGAACCTGCATGAGCCGAAGATGGATGTGATTTTGACCATTAGCTTCAAAATAACAGCGGAAATCGAGATAACAAAACATACATTTTGCGTCCTACTTTGCAGTCGAGAACGTGTATCGGCGTTTTGAAAAGATAATTATGTTCTTTCATTCATTCATTGCCATGGAAAATGCGTTTACATTGCCTTTTTACTGTTGATAGCTCGGTTAATGCGGCTGGCGATCATCTTGCCGGCGGAAGTTTCATGGACAAGGGAGTAAATTAAAGACTTTTCCCCTAAGTTACGTAATTAGCCTCTGTGGTGTAGTGGTTAGGTGTAGTGGCGTCGAGCCCTAGGTGCCGGATTCGGCTTCTACTCTACTCTTTTTTTCCTTCTTTCTTTTTTTTCCCGTTTTTTGTGTTATTGTTTTCTATAAATATATACCTAAATAACTGTTATTTAATAAAGTGCAATAAACAAGTATCGTGTTTTCTGAGAAAAGATAGTACACCCTATAATAAATATATGGATAAACAATCTGAATTTCTATCATTTGTGACCCTCCACGGGAATTTGATGCTAAAAGTGAAAGCACGCTCACGACACGCTTGCACGACACGCTTAGCGTGCCGTAGATCACGGATATGCGCATATTAAATTGAAAAAACAAAGACGGACACACTTGCCTTTGTTTTGGTAAATTTAACACGCTAGGCCTCATGTTGTTTTAATTTAGTCCTCAAGGCACCACCAAGTTTCAGGAGGGTGACAAATCCACTCGTGCATCAACGTAAAATAGGCATTTAAAAGACGCAGTAAACTAGCGCGACATAATAAAAAATTATTTTCGCGCTGCTTAAATAATAGTCTGCTACACAACCGTTTTCAGTGGAAGGAGCGTTGCGTGACGACACTAAGGCCCGGTTCAGACGCCGCTCCACTCATGTGCAGTTAGGTTCGACTTTGGAGCGACATTGGCGCGACATCTGATTCAGACGGCGCACCGTGTGTCGAACATAATCTTTATTTCATGTAGGGACTTATGGGAAGATTTATAAATTACCATAATGTATGCATTTGATTCGGCACATGAGAAGAACGCCGTATGAATAACCTGCCGCTCCAATGTCGAATAATGCGACAGACCCTGTCGAGCTTAACGTTTTTGCCGCACCAAATCAAAACTGCCGTACCAAACTGATTCAGACGCCGCTCTTTTGCCGTACTTAATACGATGACGCTAAATCGGTCGCCGTAACTTCATAGCGCGAATGTTTGTTTAGATGGTTGTAAAACAGACGGCAGTCACAAGAACGACAACAGGATGATTACGGAATTTGGACAATAAGACTGAAGCATACGCGATGTAATATTTCAAGAAGAATGTGACAGTTTCGTCAGTAAACATTTCTGGAAAGAACTTTGATTTTGCAATGCTAATAAAGTTCTACCCATAAATCCAGTAGGTCCCACCGTTCCCTGTTTATACTTTTCAAGCGACAACGTTTTTTCAGTCAGATACTATCGCTGCGATTGCTTAGGTAGAACTTTTTCTTTCTCGATAGTTACCAAAAAAATGGTGCCGGTCATAATCATTTACGGTTCCTTTTTGTAGAGGAAATTTATTTAGCTTATAGATAACACTCCATGCGTGCTTTGAGCACACTGAAAGCTTGTTGTTCTTTTTCGCACGGGGCTTTTGTTTGAAAAACTTTAACACGCTCTTTTGTTCGACTTGCTCACGCTCAATTGTTTCAAGCGTGTCCTCTGAAACAAAAGAAATTCCTAATGAGGCAAGATTGCAAGCGTACTAAAGCGTGTTAAAATAAATTCTTTTGTTTTAAAGTGAAAGCGTGTCGTGCGCGTGCTTTCACCTTTAGCATTAAAATCCTGTGGAGAGTCACATTTTCTACAGTTTACTGTGGGCAAACCAGAGTTGATAACCACTTGATCATTTTCTAAACAACGTCTCCACGAGTTCTTTCTGTAGACTAATAGTAATTGTTACTTTCCAACATCTAAATAGGACATTCAATGTCATTTTCTATTCTTTTAAGTCTCACTGCCTAATGTCAGTATCAACAGAATGTGCCGCAGCATTACTATCTTTTAGATACCCTAGTTTAAAGTTATGTTATCCTTCGGAAGATACCACAATTTCTGGTGTATATTATCCGTTTCGAGCGAATTCTTCAAACACGTTCAAAAAACTCCGAAAAGCTGGGAAACGGTTTGTTTAACAACGATCCCGCGGGGAGTATTGAAATAGAGATCTGAGGTGACTCCAATCTGCTTTGTTGAAGGCTTAAACAAACTTCTTAGAAATACGACTTATAGAAGGCGCACTCTTTAGGGTGAAGGTGATGGAATTGTGATCAGAAAAGGGTTCACCTACCACAACATTGCCTATCAAGTCAACGTTAGTAGTTAAAACAAGGTCCAGTGTGTTTTGATCCCTCGTAGGTTCGTCCACTAGTCCACTAGTTGATGCAAGAAGTTGTCCTGAATTATGTATGTGCAAGAGTAGTGTATTTTGCTCCAAGCACCTTAGTCATCGATTCGGTTGGCCTGGCCCAGTCAAATTCACTTAAATAAACTCTCTGATTAATATCATGTCCGTGGTGATGTTACTGATAGGAATTTTGGAGTCATTGCAAAACTTTTGGGTTACTATTGGGCGGCCGGTAAAATACTTCATACATCGATAAACAATAACTCAGATTCGCAGGCGAGGTCTTCCCTCGAGGAAGCCTTATTACACCCTTTGGTGGCACTTAGTACACCACCACCAAAACGTCCTCTTTGCTGCCTATGTTTCAGTCATTTTTTTCGGAAAACCGTCTTTGCCCCGTGTTGAGAAGGCAGTGTTGTTGTTCTTGTAGGGATACAGCTGGCCAAGAACGCTTCCACTCAATGACAACGTTATACTATAGAGGAGCGATGTTAAGTGGAATTATTTACTTTGAGAGGTATTCAGTTTCTTTTGTGCCAAGAAACACCTTACCTTATAGAATCATTTCAAACCTCAGAAGTTAGAATAAAAAGAACATCAGTCTTACCGTAACTTACTTAAAACATATTAATTTAATACCCTTTCAATTCAGCATCAGTCATCATTAAAAAAATTAACATGTTTTTTATTTTTGCAGGGCATTATGCTTGTATACGATATAACCCAGGAGAAGACATTTGCAGACATTTCAAATTGGCTACGTGACATAGAAGAGGTACAATTAAGGCTATGGTAACCTTGGCAATCCATAAAAGTTTCATTCTCATTTCATTTTTTTGTTTCATTCCATTGAAGTAGTACAAGAAATATCACAAATTTCATTTTCCTATTCCCAACATACGAGAGAAATAACGTAACTAAACTCTAAGAATTTGATGGAAAAAATAGAAAAAAATGATTAAATTTTTGTAAAATCCAACTAGTGGTCTATTATCAATGCTGCGTTCTGATTGGTTGTGACAGTTTTATTAACTCTCATAACCTTTTCTCCTGGCAACATATGGATATTGTTAGGAGAAAATTGATGTTGGTCACTGTTGGGACTCAAAGGGTTAATTCTTTTTCCCCACTCTATTTTAGCATGCAAATGAAGATGTAGAAAAGATGATCCTTGGTAGCAGATGTCATATGGAAGATAGAAGAATTGTCAGCAAGGAAAACGGGGAGCAGGTGAGTTGACTGAAGTGTAAGACACTTCACAGTAGGTCCACCAAATCAGATGCAACAAATCTGTGGTCTCCTAAATGGTAATCTTGGGCTTTCTGGAGGAAAAAGGGGTAGAGTGAAACCTGGTTACAGGTAAATACCATCATCATTATCATAATCACTGTTTGCCCTTGTTGAGAACAGGACCAGCAATCAAGTTGTTTCAACACATTTACTTCGTCGCTGCATTTTCTGAATCTCAGGGACATTCCCCTTGTTTCTTTTTCCAGTCCTGGCCCCAGTTGTTCAAAAGGTGGGTAACGCAATCCACCGGCTAAATCTCTAACCGGTGGATAACGCAATTGGTTTCCCTTTAATACTTATCCACTGGATAGCGCTATATCCAACTTTTAAAGCAACTGGGGCCTGGACATTGCCATGTCTTTGTTAACCCTTATTGAGCTATTTTGAAAACATAGCTCATATGTCAGTGGTGTGAGAGTATGTATCTTTGTGGTTTTGTATGTTAGGATGTTTGTTGCAAGAGCCAATAAGGCTGAAGGTACTATGATTTGATGCTTAGGAACCAATGAGATCTTGGCATCTATTTAAACATGGCACTGGTAAAGGTCGAACAAGGGCACTTTGAGACCGCCATCTTGATTCTTCACAATTTTTTCGTCTTTTATTACGGCTACTGGTGTTTGGAAGAATTACATTAAATATCTTCATGATTCAAACGCTGTGTACAGTGATGCAGCTGTTTAAGGGTTCATATTTTAGCATGGGTGCTGCTTCAAGGCATTTCTGACCTAATTCGGTTATCGGTACAACGCACGTCAGTATGAGTTCTGTTTCACCTGCTACAACTGGGTAGAGTATAAAAGATCATATATTTTCAAAGCTCTTCCAATAAAGCAATAATTGATATTTAGATATAGACTTTAATTCGAAAGTATGCGCCCTATAAAATGTGGTTTTAGACTGCGGTTTTAAAAGGCAGCTTATTTTTGTGAAAGCTGTACCGAGTATTGTTAATCCTGTAAACAAGCTTTAAAAATATTATTCTCTCGCTTACAAAGTTCAACAGACCTTTTTCGTTCTGGCAAAACAACAACAAAAAAAGAATAATAAGTGAACAACATGATACATCCTTCCTGCATACTAAGTATTATAGTTTCTGAAACGTATTTTATTTAGTAAAGATGCGTAACTTAAGTAGAAACAGTAGCGTTAGGGAATAAAATTAAAAGAAGCTAGTTGACACAATAATTAGATACTGTTGTATTGTCTGTATTGAGTGGAGTAACATGATACAAGTAGAGATATATTTCGGCAGTTTGATAATTTTCTTGGAAGTTAATAAATGTTAGGCTATCAACCTTGACATTGCATGAAACATAATTTAATTGCAGATGTTGTAATAAAGCAGAGGTGATTTCTTAAAATCGCTCGAGAAAATTTTGTAGTAAAACAATTTGCCTTTTTTTTACGTACGAATTGAAAAAGGGCCGAAGACCAACACCTTCACATGCAAATTGTGTGCATGAGTTATTTTTATAATTCTGTTTACCAGATTACTGTGTGATAACTCGAATTCCCTCACGCACGAACCACGAAAGGGGGCAAAGTCCAACACTTCCACGTGCCAGCTCTGTGATTGTACATCTCATGTTGCCTAGTCCCTAAGCCTCATTATTATGCGCGGCCGATGCGTTTCGGGTCACGTGGTCCGAGAAAGTTTTTGAGGCCTAGACAAACTCGGAGAAGTGAGACATTTTGGGCGCTTTCCGT